CATTAGTGCCTATAGTCAAGTATGCCATGGCATTATGTGTTTGTCCATGTGTATCGTTGAGATTATGTCCATGGGCATCCAACGGTCCATGTCATAAGACTCATTTCCGTGAGCCCTGAAAAGGATATAGCGGCCGGATGAATCTGAATTTGACAACGAAAGAAAGAAGGTACGTCCAGACTTTGTTGATCCTCCCACTAAATTGACTTACAGTCAAACATGTACATGATATATAGGTTGTTAAACATATATATATATATATATTGTCATCTTGAGGGGAAGTGCCATGTCAAAAGATATATAAATAATATATATGTTTCTAAAACCGTGTTTTATTATTATATATAAAAAAAGATAAATATACATATATATATATTTTACATGTAATATATTTATATACATTATACATGTAATATATTTATATATAGTGCAAGACTGCGTGGACATTTTTTTATACCCATGGATCTTTTGCTCAGTTGCCTTCATCCCTTCTTCCTACGCTCACTCTTGGACGAGTGCTGGATCCCCTTCTTCAGGTGATAGAGGATGTCTTGGTGCATCTCCATGTAGATGCTGGCTGTGCCCGCCCCATCAAAGAGGATTCGCACCAGCTTCTCTGGTAGGTCCTCCTCAGGAACGGGTGGCAGGCTCATATTGAGCACCTTGGGCACCAAGTGATCATCGCATGATTTTGCCCTCCTTCTGCGCTTCTTCACCTGGCTGCTGTCATCATCATCATGATGAAGGGCGGCATCGAGGGCATCATCACAGGCAGTCTGCCTCCTCGCGATGAGCTGGTCCAGGAAACTGCAGTCTGCACTGCCTGCGGTTTTGTCCTTTCTCAGGTCAAGTGATTTTCCTGTCACCCACTTCACGAAACCACGGTCCCATTTACCGAACTGGAAGTATATCACATCGTCAACCGTGACCTGTGTCGGTGCCCAGGTCTGGTCACCGTACTTGACCACGAGATGGGTCTCCAGCGTGAAGTCCATGGCTGATCAATCCTTGAGAGCAAATATACCTGCAGTATAAGTTTCATTATCATGACATGATATATACATATATATAAATTATATCATATATATATATACATGAGGTCATGCATTGAGACGTACAACATGACCATGAATGACATGAATATAGCAAGATATTATATAGATTGCACATGCATACAATATAATATATATAATCATGGGACCATGGCAGCTACATGCTGCAACATGATTGTAGCAGCTGTGCACATTTATTCACCCCTCTGGCTGAGATATCTGAATCCTAGCTCTTCACACGACGGCGCTTGGCCGGAGAAAATGCCAGTGCCTCTGACGCTACCTGCTTCTTCGGCACATGGCGCAGGAGCTTGTCATCTGGGCTCAGGGCCTTCGAATTTCTCAGCAATGGCACCTTGACATCGCCGTCCTTGTGCCAAGTGATCTCCATGTTGGCTTCATCAGCCACTTGGGTGCAGGCCACCAAGAAGAAACATGCCAGGCATCCCGTCCTCTCATCAGTCGGAATCACCGTGGAAGGAGTCAAGGTGAAGTCCATCCCTGCAACGCTGGCCACTATGTCTGCATCCTTGTCTTTCCTTGACATGGCGCACGGTGTACATGGTGGTCGCTGACATCATGTGATGTTGATGCAATGATATCCCATGAAATCTTGATATAATATCTATACATAATATAACATGATATATACTCCATGGTTCAAGAATGAATGATTAAATAGATATATATTATGATATACTCCATGGTTCATGAACAAAATCTATAAAACACACATATATATATATATATATATATATATGTATACATGTTCAATGACCATGTGTCTTCGGTTTGATGGCAGTGCTCAATGGGACGAACACCAGCTTGTTCTTGGCAAACTTGGTCGTCACCATGATGGCCTTCTGGGGGCGCAACTGCAACTTCAACTTATCCATGATCACCTGGTCATGCTTCTTGGCCAAGGCATCCAATGCCATGGTCAACTTGGCAATGGCCAGTTGGCTCTTCCATGACTCCTGACGTGCCATGAAGTGTTGAGCCAAAGTTTCCATCACCACTGGATCGGCGCTCGGAGTGAACTTGACCCACTCGCCATTCAAAATTGCTGACATCTTCAGCTTGGCAAGCCTGCTTTCACCCTCCACCTTGATCCTGACCATGCCGTTGCTCTCGACGCTTTCGATGATGCCTTCAGTGCCATCGGCCTTGCGTTTCACATGGCATCCAATCTCATACCCTGCACTGCTCAAAACTGAAGCCTGGTTCGTCACCTGGCCTGCATCATTGACTTCCCGCATCAGCAATTTCGGGTCGAAGGGCTGTGCACTGCCTTGACTGGAAGAAGCAGGCTCAGGCTCTTCACAGTCTGCCCATGGATCAGCCACTGCATATCCCATTCCCCGAAGGCACAGGCAGAAATCATGTGCCAAGCCTTCTGGTTTGTCATACTGCCGTTCTCCAGGCAGCTTGATGTCCAACGTATGGGCAGTCAGGTCCATGTCTGCCATGCTGCATGCAAAGAGCAGGTTGGACTTGTTCTTGTCCGCTCCGATTTCATTGAGGAGTGAACGCCACTTGTTCATGATGCTCTCAGCTGTGCTGACCTTGTCTTTGAAGTCCTTGTTATGCAGAGCCTTCTTGATGTCAGCCAATGTGATCTTGTCCTTCACATAGGCCATCTTCACCTGTGGTGATATACTTGGAGCTACTTGTACAATACAGGTACAAAGCACATGGTCAATATATACGTGATTCATATAAAATTATATATATATATATTTATAACATGTATTACATAATATATATATATATATCGACTATAATTTATATATATAGTTTATTTATATATGCGCAGGCAATAATATAGCATATACACATATGTTGTCGAGTGACCATTCCATGCCGGAAACGCAAGAACTGAGTCTGCCCCTTGACATCCTGTCCCAAGGCTTGCCAGAGTTCAGCCCCCAAGGTCTTCGTGCTGCTGGCATGGGCCCTCACGAAAGCCTCTGTCTCCTGCAACAACCATGGAGTAATCCCACCTGAAGCCTTGAGGGCGAAGGTGAACAAATGGGGCAAAGTTTTCATCAAAGGTGATGAAATGCCTGGCGATGCAATTCGCTTCACCTTCTCATAGCTCACGTGCAGTCCTACCGTCTGCGACTGAGAAACCCAGATTCCATGAAGTCTTCTCAGAAGCTGAAGCTCATGCTCTCCACGTGCCAGTGTTGCGTTGCCAGTCCTCTGGACCATCGTCAAGAGTTCTGGCAACTGCTGCGTCACGTGCTTCGACAATACACGCCACTGGTACCCATGAACCACCGCCTCGTGGAATGCCATGTCGTGCCGGGACAGCATCTCCTTGCTGAGCTTGCCATTGGCGCTGACTTTCTCATTCTCATGCGCCACCTCCTGGTCAAAGAGCCGCATCACGAAGTTCGTGTGGCTGCCAGCCAAGCTCAACACCTTGAGCTGAGAGGCGTCCATGCTGCCAAGCTGGCCGCCATGTTGTGACACCAGTGTTTGGTTAAACACCAGCTCTGCATTGTCGGAGACTTCAACGGCAATGGCACTCACCCGTTCAGGAACGAATCCTGCTGTCACTATGTCGTCCAGGAGCTGGTGGACGTCCACACCGTTGACACCACTTCCATCCCTGTTCTGGGGGTGGCATCCAACATGTCGGTTGTGGATCTGCAGCTTGTACAAGTGGCCACTTGCCTCCAACTCCTTCAAGGCGGCATGAACGCTCTTCACGAAGCGCTCACCTTCCTCTGCCTCGGAGATGATGGCCTTCACTTTCTGCACCACTTCTTCCGGGATCGCCATGGGTGAGATTTCCCTTCACGCTTGCGGCTACTTGATGCTGGAAAAATATATAAATATATATTTATAAATATATATATATACATGTGTTGTTAAATTTCAAGTATATCATGAACCCAAACAATTCAAACATGACGCATGCGTGAAAACGGACTGGATGGCAGTTATATAAACGATCAGCAAATATATTCATTTAATATATATTATCATGATTTCGGCGTGTCATGAAACATGCATGTATATATATATATATATTATTTTATTTTTCCGTCCCTGGCGTCGAGCAAATTGCCCTGACACCGAGACTATGTATGAACAACCATGCATGAAAAAAAAACTACATCCATGGCACACCTTTACAAAACCCATTCATTAAGAAATCCCTCAGCCTCCAAACCCCTGGCGCAGCCGGATGGGGGGATGGCACCTCTGCTGTAGAAGCTGGCGACCGGTCACCTGATTTGCCTCCCTTGCCGAGGCTTTGGCAAGTTGATAGATGGTTTTAAAAAAAATGGTTGTGTTCATACGCTGGAAATGGGGTTCTTGTTGTATAATCTGAGGTTATATATATATCATTAAAAAAAATAAAAACATCGCATAAGTGGGCTAACTCAGTTAGTCGACTTAGAGTTTAAAACTTAATAACCCCGGTATCTAGATTCGTAACTCAGCTAATCAAATACACAACATACTATTTGAACAGCACCAGTTAGTAAGTTGGTCAAATCATATATACCACATAGATCACTTATAACTCAAATAGCCAAGATATAACCATACTTATAACCAGTCTTAGCACAAATAGTAAATGCCATATCTGTGCTATCCATTTACTAAACGGTGTGGACCTTCAAGTAGTGAATTATTATCATTTGCCCAGATAATTGTCTAATTGGGAATATGATTCATGATATAGATATGGGATATACTTGAGATTAGCCAATCTATCATTACAGTACTTAATAGAGGGAGATTTCACACTTATCATCATTTGGCTCTGTGTGAAAATGGGAGATTTAGTGAACATCATGGAGAACATGAGGATTCATCAAGAAATTCGTTGTACCCCATTTAAATAAGTAGGATATATGGGGAAAATCATGATTAACCGATTAACCATCAAATTTTGGTGCATCGTTGACCGCTTCAAAGTGTCGCAAGGTCTTGTTTCGCACGAAGTTTCAGAAGAACGACTACACAAAAGAAGAAGACTTCACATCGCTTGCTGATGCAGTGCTCTCAGTGCCCTATATAGTGCCCTATATAGTGCCCTCAGTGTTTCCTAAAGCTGGACAGATGGCATGAGCTGGGCAAGTGAAGCCTGACATAGGCTGAGATTGTTCTCAAAAAAGGAGGTCATCCCTCACGCCCTAAGGTTGCAAATCTGGTCCGCAATGTCAATGATCCGCGGGGTCATCCGGAATGGTCACTTGGGCTGACATGGGGGTTGACTATTGGAGCTTGAGATTGATGAAGATTATTACACATGGAATAGTTGTAAACAGATTCCTAGTCCTAGTAGCTGTATCATCCTGTATCATTCCATGTGAATTCTGACACTGTTTCTCAAAAGTTGAGAGCACCAACTGCTCACCAGATTTACGTACAGCAGCATATCATTACAGATTGTATGCATGTTTGTTGTTTTGAATCAATATCTCAGGTTTGACTGCCTGAACATGGACCGGGCTGGCTTCTCAATTCACGGGTCACAGGTCAAGTCCTTTCTGCAAGAGACAATCCATGAAGAATATGAACATGTATGTGGCAATATTATGGAGGTTTCCATAAATGGGGGATCCCCAAATGGTTAGTTTATAATCGAAAATCCTATATATATATATATTAAAATGGATAATTTAGGGGTACCCCCATTTCAGGAAACCTCCATATGTGACAGCTTGGAATGTGTTTGCACAATTTGCACACCCAGATGGACCAAGTTTGATGTGTGCAGCTGGCACTCTGGCCAAGGATGCATATCGTGGGCAGAGTATGGTTCGGCCAGACGATGCCTTTGACGAGACACCAGTGTATGCGTTGGTCTAAGTGGTGGTGATGTGGGGATAGATCAAGACCTAGTTGTTCATACCATATTCATAGCATATGAGATAGTAGTATTGATATCTATGGGGATGGTCTATGAATAGTAGTCATATGGGATAGATTCATACCATATGACAGTCGACGGTCCGGGGCTCGCCATGACAGTCGCCTTATGGCCCCTTTGAGGTGCAACTCTTCCACAAGGACATTGACTGTCCAATGCGCCTTGTAGATGTCCCAGGCCAAGATAATTTTCTGCGGGAAAGCAACGGACTTCGGGTTGGACTGCTATGGACTGCTATGGTATAGATGGCCGTTCCTTTAGTTGATTTAGCTCTTAAAAGTGGTGATGTTCCATAGTTATGCTACTTATGCTTGTTGACCAAAGGGTATATCAGATTCTCATGGGGATGTCATTGGATATGGCTCTGTTTTTGGACGATCGCAGGTTTGAGCCGTGGCAATCGCCTGACCACTCGCATCGCCCTGTCCTTCATCAAGCCGGACAATGCCGTGATCTTGGTGATTGGTAAGGACCCTGACAGCAAAAGCGCAACGGCACAAGGATGAGGTCACGAAAGTCATAAAAAAGTAATAACAGAATATACAATAATATGTATATATATATATTACATTGTATACATCTTATATCATAGTATATCATATCATTAGTTAATTAGTCTTGTATCTAGCAGTCTAGCATCTCTCTGAGAACCTGCTAGAGCTATTTATGGAACCACGGCAAGTTGCTGATAGTTGCTGCAACAACGGATGACGTCAGGACCATCCAAACAACGGTGGCTTTCCGCACTTGGCGGCCGCAATGAGGGAGTGTTCCCGCACCATTGTGGTACAGAACTTTGCAAACACCAAGATTCAAGACAACCAGGCTCAGGGACTCAGGGGCTGCCTGAAAATCATCGTCATATATCTTCATTTCATTCTGTAACTGTCAATGGTCTTTCACATGGCACACTGCAGCTGATGTGGTTTCTTGTTTCATTCATAGGTCACGGAGAACTACAACGCATTGTACGAGAAGATGGTGGGCCGAACAGTGCGGTGCTGAGTGCCCAGTGGATGCCCAGTGGGGCCCTCATTTTCCAGCCATGGACATGTCAAGGATTTGGTGCTCTACTGCATCGACTACGGTTTGCCATACGAACCTGGACTTCCGTTGTGGCAGGAAGGCAGGAGGTGGTCGGAATGATTGAATGGTCAATGTGTGGAGTATATGGAAATGGATAGAACATGATAGAACATGATAAAACATGATAGATCTAGTCTAGATTCATATACATGAATCATTGAATCATTATCAATATCTATAATATCTATATATATATATACACAATTATATATATATACACACATTGTATGAATCTAATAATCTGTGTGACACAACTGACATAACCAACAAAATTTATGATCTTTCATGGGTCTTATCATTAATGAACTGCTTGTTGCTTCTAAAAAACCGTCGAAAAAAATGACTCACATCGGCGAGGCTATGATCAGCAAGACTGGCACAAGATCAACAAGGAACAGGGACTGCAATCAGTGGAAGCCTTGGTTCAGCCTTGGCAAAAAAGGGATGCCTTGATTTCAGTGACGAGGTTTCAGTGACGAGAATGGATGGATGCTGGATGCCTTGGGAAGTGACATTGATATATATATATAGTTATATATAATATATATATATAATATACATATACATTTATGATCATTCCCGGAAAAGAAAACTAACTCAATGTCCACCCCGGATTGTGATTCACCGGTGGGCTGTTTAATTGGACTCTGTTTGCCGGGTAGCAGTACTATTTTGGTGGCAGAGTATCACTATTTGCGAGCAACCCCCATAATTGATCAAACAATATCAATCAGGGTTTATGAATCCAGAGTTGACATGAGACCTCCAGAATCGCACATTTTGAGAGGAAAGTAGTTGTATCTTCCCCCGAAGAATGGCAGGGTCGATTTGTTAGTTGGAAGATACATGCCGGCAGTGGCTACAGGTTCGAAGAGCAATGGTTCAACACACAGAGATGAGAGTGAAATGCTCAGAACTTGTAGACGGCAGCAATAAATGGGACTCAGAGATTGAAAGCGCATGAAATTGCAGACGTATAGTGTATATAGATATATACATATATATATATATATAGATATTATATATTCTAATTATTTATATATAAATATTTCCACAATTCCGCGGGCTTTCAATCAACCAATGGAGGAACATCACTTTGACAAGCAGAATTGATCCGTTTTCAGGCCAAACAGCTACAAGAGCGCTTCCGGGACTGATGCGCTTCGTTTTTCTCGGAATGGGATGATGGAAAACTTGCAGAAGATCTGTATAAGTAATACCCTCTGGTAATGTAACATAGCTATTGAAAATGGCCATAAAAATAGTGAGTTTTCCCATTAAAAATGGTGATTTTCCATAGTTATGTAAACGTTTACCAGAGGGTAGCTGCATTAAACCAAGCCGCTGATGTCGGATGTGTGTGGTTTGGGACGACTGCCTTTGTGCCGGATTTTTGCAGGACAGTCAAGTATTTTCCAATGTTATTGTGCCCGGGATTGATTTGGTGCCTTCCTCAAGCAGCAGACAGAGACAAGTAGACGGAACAGAAGTCAGAAAAGGTTTGAATTCTGGGAGGAAGTAGTCCTTTGCTGGCATGACAATGCCATGTTATTAACAGGATGTCAGAGTTCATAGAAGGTTTATAGAAGAATCTGGAACCAGAATTGAGATCTTAATCTAGTAAATAATATTCAAAGAGATTCAAAGAGTGTTTTTGTGTTTTTGGATATGAATATTAAACAATATATCTTGTATTTTTTTATGCCGTAGGCTGAATTCATCCAAAAATGCATTCCAAGGTCCGCAAGAAGTTGAATGAATTTCAGAATCGGCCTCAGCGTGACGAGTATTTCTTCGAGTTCCAAACAGACCAGCCTTGGCAAAGCAGACCAACTACCATCTGGTTATGACTAACAGTTCGCCATGGTATAGATGGCCCTAATCGAAATAGATGGTTTACCTGGGTTTACCTATTAAAACTGGTGATTTTCCATGGCTATGTTAAATCACCAGATGGTAATCTAACTAGGCATCTTCAGGTTTCCAAATCAGGTTACCCTAGGGTAAACTAAAAAACATTAAAAAACAACATCTTCAGAGGTGGAAAAACCACCATTTGTAGATAATGTTCCGAAGGGGAAACCATTGGTTTTCCAGATCTATGTTTGTTTACCCTAGGATAGTAGTTTGCACATGTTTGCAAAGGAAATCCTTAACCCATGACGGATCCATGGTGCTGGTATATATGCTTGCATTGGGTGGGGGTATATTCATGGGATCCATGGCACACCAGATATAGCAGCACCATGGATCCGTCATGGGTAAGAGTCTAGGTGTCACTTTTTTGCACTTTCATGGCTTCGATATCACGAATTCTCATGGGCCCACGGCGTCAGGTTTCACGACATCGACGGGCACATCTCGCGTTTGCAAGAGGAGTCATGGCCTTGGGGAGCGGTGGTAGCGATCTCCAATCGATGGGCATACGTAGTAGATCATGCTTGTATACATAGATCGATGTATAATTGATGATCATTGAATGCACAGAAATAATTGGAAGTTGTCTTCCTCATATTTTTTCCCCACTATGTTGTTTTCGGTTTATGTTGTTTTCCTGTTCTCATGTACTTATGAGAGGAGCAGATGTCAAGGCCACACGGCCTTGATGCCTGGCACAAAGCCTCCAAGGTTGAAACGGCAGATTGCGAAAAGAAAGGCTGAACTGGAACGAGCCGACGCCTTGAGAATATCTTGAAATATCTTAAATCGCAATGGCATTTTGTTATATTTTGTTGTGTTTGGAGAAGTTGGAAGAGTTGGAAATACATTCTGTTGATGTGACAAGAGACACAATTTTTCAGTTTGATTCAGATTCTAAGGCTCAAATCCGAGTCAAGCAGCTTCAATTTCCACCAGAGCACCATCCTTAGTGGAGCCGCTGTGGATGCTGAATGATCTCAATGGCCAATGCCAGCAGAGAAGTCTCCATGGAAAACTAGCATTGAATGAATTTATCAGATACATTTGAGTCTGAAATTACAAGGTATCTATAATATATATAATATATACCAGCTAAGCCTCACAAGCCGGAATTTTGGCAATTTTAACGAAATGGCTCGTTTTTTCAAGAGAGGCTAGAATTCCAACACCTGTCGTATTAGATGCAGAAATTCCGTAATAGGTCAGTTTGTTAGCCCTGCAGCCATTTGCACATTCTCAAAACAAGCCCTGGCACCTGTCATGCCGTGACTGACGATGTTTTTAGGTACTTCTGGCATGTTTATCGAAATTTTGGTCAGGGTTTGTCATTTGTGAACGCACTTGCACTTGATATGTTGACCTCCTGAAGCCGCAGCCGCAGCCTTTTCACCATCATGAACCGCAGGCATTTGGCTGAAGGCTTCTTGTGCTCTTGGTGTTGGGGCGCACTATGGCTCCCAAGGCAGTGCTCTTCACTGACTTGAAAGGGTTGTGCCACGCCTGGGACGCTGACCAGAATCTGCGGACCCGCATGCGGACGCACAAGCGTCTTTTGTTGGAGAAGCCCCCTGCTGGCCAAGAGCCAGAGCCGAGCACCAATTCTGTCAGCAAGACCGCAGAGAACGTGCGCTACAACGTGCTGGCGCTGCGGCCTTTGGTGAAGAGAATGTCTTCGGCTCGTTCGGCCACGGCGTGCATAGAGACTTTGACAGCAGAGGTCTTGGCTTTCCATGAGTCGCACGGCTTCAATCCCGGCATCAAGGTTGTCTCAGATGAAGCCTGGGGCCTGAGATACTTGATGGGGTGCTTGAAGAATGTCATGTGGAAGAAGAATCCTCCAAGAGAGACTTGGCCCCACATTGTTGTTTAAAGAGCCTGGTCTTGTTTTGTGCTTTCATGACTTGCCGCCACCGACCATCAGGATGAAGTCATGAAGTCCTTGCTTGTGGACTTCGGGGTGGACGTCGTGAATTGGAAAGGTGGCGCGCAGAGGAGTGCTCAGGAGGACTGCTGGGTCCAAAGGGTTGGTTACCTTGAAGTCAGGGTTCATGCCGTAGCCACCTTCTGTAAACCATGTTCAAAAACCCTGCAGCCATTTCTTTTAAGATCATGTGTTCCTCGAGTGATTGCATTTCTGAACTGCAGCCTTCTTCACCGCATTCCTTTTTGTTCACTTCGTGTCATGTGTTGACTGTAGCCGTCTTCACCGCAGCCTTTTTTCTTTAACTTCATGTCATGCGTTTACTGCAGCCGTCTTCACCGCAGCCATTTTTGTTCCCTTCATGTCCTGTGTTTACTGCAGCCATCTTCTCCGCAGCCAATTTTGTTCACTTCATGTCACGTGTTTTCTGCAGCCGTCTTCACCGCCGCCATTTTTTTTCACTTCATGTCACGTGTTTTCTGCAGCCGTCTTCACTGCAGCAATTTTGTTCACTTCATGTCACGCGTTTACTGCAGCCGACTTCACCGCAGCCATTTTTTTCACTTCATGTCACGTGTTTTCTGCAGCTGTCTTCACCGCTGCCTTTTTTCTTTAACTTCATGTCACGCGTTTACTGCAGCCGTCTTCACCGCAGCTATTTTTGTTCACTTCATGTCCTGTGTTTACTGCAGCCATCTTCTCCGCAGCCATTTTTGTTCACTTCATGTCATGCGTTTACTGCAGCCGTCTTCACCGCAGCCATTTTTTCACTTCATCTCACGTGTTTTCTGCAGCCGTCTTCACCACAGCCATTTTTATTTACTTCATGTCACGTGTTTTCTGCAGCCGTCTTCACCGCAGCCATTTTGTTCACTTCATGCCACGTGTTTTCGGCAACCGTTTTGTCAGCATTGGTTCTGACCATCTTTCTGCAGCCAGCTTCCACTGCAGCCATTTGTCCTTGTTGCTATTTTAGGCTTCTGCGGGTACGTATACACTTGTGGTGCCCAGCCATTTTTCTGTAGCCACTTTCTTTCGCAGCTGGTTTGTCGGCGTTGGCGCTAACCATATTTTTGCAGCTACCTTCCACTGCAGCCATGTCCTTGTTGCCATTTCAGGGTTCCTAGTGTTATACCTGTGGTCCGAATCCAGTCTTCTGCAGCAATTTTCTTTCGCAGCCATTTTGTCAGCGTTAGCGCTGACCGTCTTTCTGCAGCCACCTTCCCCTGCAGCCATTTATCATTGTTGCCATGTCAGGCTCGGTTTATAGAAGCCATTTTTCTACAGCCATTTCCTGCGCAGCAATTGCATGATTGGTAACTTTTGTTCTGCAGCCATTTTCCTTAGCAGCTGTTTGTCTTAATTTTCTTTTGTCGCCATTTTTCTGCATATTCTGCCCCGCAGATGTGCGTCAATTTCAAAATAAATCTTTGCGCAGCCATTTTTCCACAAGTTGTGATCGTAGCTACTTGAGGATATTTCTAAGTTCCTTATGTTCGTATCTTGCTTTTTCGCGGCCGTTTTCCTTCACAGCTGTAGGTTCATTTTCTATAGGTAACATGGTCCCTACTCTTCCTTCTGCTGCCATTTCTTGCCCGCAACTGTTTTCTGGTGAATAGTCAATGTTTCCGCAGCCATGTCTTCTCTGCAGCTGTTACCTTTTCAAAGTTGCCTTTCGCCAACCGTTTGTACACCATATCTTTATCTTTATTTTCATGGATTGTCACTCTGTCCCTGCAGGAGAGGCCCTCACCAAGTTCAGCGGGGGACTCTCCAAGCTCAGCTGTGGTGCCTGCAGCCCCGGAGGCACCAGGTGCGGCGCCTTCATCAAGTTCAGCGCTGCCTGCAGCCCCGGAAGCACCAGCTGCGGCCTCTTCCCCAAGCTCAGCTGTGGTGCTTGCAGCCCCAGAAGCACCAGCTGCGGCGCCCTCACCAAGTTCAGCGGCGGCCTCTTCCCGAAGCTCAGCTGTGGTGCTTGCAGCCACAGAAGCACCAGCTGCGGCAAGTTCAGCGGCGGCCTCTTCCCGAAGCTCAGCTGTGGTACCTGCAGCCCCGGAAGCACCAGCTGCGGCTCCCCCAGTGCTGGAGACGCCTGCTGTGACCCCTGCAGTCTTGGAGCCACCTGCAGCGGCCAGCGCACCTGCAGAGAAGTTGGACGCCTCACCTGGAGCCCGCCAGCCTGAGTTCCGCCAGTCCTTGCTGTCCTTGGCCATGCGTCGCCAGTTGATGCTCCGAATGTCGCTTGGCTTATTTCACACACAGTGCAATATGCTGATTGGGTTGTAAGCCAGCACATGATCATTAATGACTATATATACTGTGTACAATCTGTGTACTTAGAATGTGTCTACTTGATCGGCATATAATCCTGCATCACTTTCCATGAGCATCAGGCTGTCTTCCTTGAAGAAAGAGGAAGAGGTTTTAAGTGTGCAAGCTGAAGCTGCCGCCGTGGCTTTGTGTTCCGCGAGATCTTCTTCTTCCACCGGTTTCTAGGTGGCATTCTTGTTTTGCCGGTGTTTGAACGTGAAATTGGTTGAGATTCTACAGGTTACGACGCGTTTACCTGAGGTTCTCCTGCAGACATGTTGGAGACGCTGCCTTTGCCTGAAGCTGATGATCTGCTGGATGTTTCTTCCCTGCCGCCTCCCAGCGTTGCTCCTTGTCCTGTAATGGCAGAGGCAGAGGCATCCCTGGAAGCACCTGCTGCTGCGGAAGAGGAAGACTTCCGTCGGAAGCAGCTCGCTGTGCGGGCAGAAGAGAAGGAGGCTCAGCAAGCTGCACGGGAGGAAGCAAAGAACAACAAGGAGAAGCAGCAGAAGCCAAAGGCGAAAGCCAAGGGCCGACCACGAAAGACTGACGACAAGGCAGCCCCCAAGAGAGCACCCAAGCGCAAGAACACGGAGGAGGCTACGGAGGAGGCTGAAGTTCCTGCAGTTTCTGCGCCAGTTGAGGCGAAGCCCAAGAAGCAAAGGCGCACAGCTGCCAAGTCCAAAGCGAAGCCTGGGCAGTGGGAGTACCCTCCGGAGGTTGACAGGGACATGATCCCGGAGTTCCTCGAGGTCATGAAGCAGTTCAAGGACCAGTCCTACGACAAGTCTGAGATGACTCTCCACACGAAGTACCTCGACTTATTTTTTTGGGGGTGGGTGGATCCACGATCACATATTGTGTTGGCATGATATGTTATCATACATGGACAGTTATCCTGTGTATATATATATATATATATCTCAAAATCTTGTGATCAGACCATTATGACAAAGAAAATCCATGATACTTTATTGATATTTTCATGATCTGACCTTGCAGGAAGTTTGCAGATTGGATCACCATCCCTGTCTACTGGACCCGCCCTGCTGTCGGCATCAAGATTGCCACGGAGAGCGGTGTGACACAGCGGTACTACACCGGAAGGAAGTTCAACAGCATCGCCGTGAACATCCTGGTTGCCCACAAGATGGCAGAGAAGTTGGTGGCTCATCCGCGTGAGTGGGCCATGAGTAATGAAGCCAGCACGTGCTTCGACAATTTGCAGTTGACCGCTGCGGCTGCCCATGACAAGTTTGAAGATCTGAGGGCCCGGGGTCACTGAATAGGATCCTGTTGTTTTTGGTCATATTTTTGACCTTGACATGGTGAATGCTGATGGCTTACCAACAGCTGGGTGTCCCATGTAGTGAAAGCTTTTGAAGCGAGTTGAGGGTGTACAGTTTTATGGGGTATAGTCGTTTGCCAGTCAATCCACGCTGTCACTCGCGTTTCAAAGCAATCCCAGACCACCCTCAGCTGCGCTTTCGTCGCTTTGACCTGCTGTTCGCTGCAAACAATGCAAATTCAGCCGGGAAAAAAAAGGTTGCTTCCACACTGCTTCTGTCGCCGTTTTCCGCAGCCGTTTTCTGAACAAACATGAATGTGATTGAATGTGCTTGTGCAATTTCCCGCCATGCCAGGTCTTGACCCGACTGCGCTGGCTGCTATGGCTGGGTGGCATCTGCATGCCACCTTGCTTTGCGGAGCAGCGGGGCCACCTTTCGATTTGCTGGAGGCCTGGTCGCAGCTTTTTTAAGGCATTCACCTGGATTTGCTTGCCGCAGTTTGCAGTTGAAACTATGTTTGCTGTTGTCAGCCGTGAAACTATGTTTGCTTTGCCTCTTTTTGGCTCAATTTTATATCAAGGGATGATAAGGCCCCCTCGCTGAAGGGACTTGCGGCGCCCCTCCCGCTCATGCCGAATGGTGATGGTGATGGCGGAAGCTCGGACGATGGCCGCCATGGTCCGCCCAAGGGAAAAGGATGGTGTCTTGGTGGCATGTTTTGTTTAATTTCCATTAGTTGATAATATTATATGCTATATACAGCGTAATTTTATCCATTGTCCATGAGAATCATTTGCACCCAGCTAGCCTGCATCGTGGGTGACACTGAGGTCCAAAGGGCCGGACGCAAGGGATGGGAAAGGAAAAGATGGAAAAGGTAAAGAGAAGGGAGATGAAAAGGGGTGACTTGACTATAAGTTATTTTGCTTGTGTGCGCTTGCATGCTTGATTATCTATTCATTTTTTCTCAAAGTGCGTGCGCCAGGAAGGGTGGAAGCCGGCCTCCAAGGGGGACTGCGTGCAGCAATGAGGCGCCAACGTCCAAGGGATCAATGAGGCCATCTTCTCCAGTCAGGCCACCTTCTGCGCCAATGGGGATGGGGCAGTGGGTCTACATGTGGCTGCCCTATGGGCCTGGCGGACTGCCATATGGACCCCCGCAGCCAGTACCTCCATTCCCACCACCGCACATGGTGCCTCCTATGATGATGATGCCCCCACCTCGCCCTGTGAAGAAGACAAACAAAAAGGAAAAGAAGGATCCCAGTGAATCCTCCGAGGACTGCGCATCTAATGTTTTACATTATGTTGTTTCACACTAAATCCATGTCGAACATATATATATTATAAATATATAATATATATTCCTGACCCTGCAGGATACCCACAGTGAACCTGGAGACGGTGGTGCAGGGGCCCCTGGCATCTTGGCTGCATTTTTTTACTTTTTCCGCGATGCTCTTGGTTGAACTGCTCATCATATTTTTCGGCTTTAAATCTCATTGATCATCAGGTGCTGGCCCTCCAAAACCGAAGCCCCGGCCAGATGCGGTGGAGAGAGCTTGCGCTGTCGCAGGCCTACCCGCTGGCTCCACGGCAGGAGCACCTGCTACAGTCCCAGGCTCCAAGGCTAGTGCACCAATGCCTAAGGCGTGCGGAACAAGTGCAGGGGGAGACCTCGCTACGTCTGGTGATGCTGTGATTGCTGCGCAACAAGCTGTGCGCCATGTGATGGAGTATATGCAGCAACAGATGGTCAGGGATCCAGCTGTGTGGGGTGCCTTGGCTGCATGCATTATGTTTCCTTAACATATGTGTGTTTTTGGTAATCGCCATTTTTGGGCATCAAGGGTCAAAATTGTTCAAGGGATACAATTTCGTTGTAACAATTTTTGGATTATCAATAATTGTGTTTTTCGTGAAACATTGGTTTTGTTATCAATATGGGATACATTTTTTGCACTAACATACTTTTTTTAGTTGTAACCATTTTGGGTTCTTAGTCGTGTACCTTGGTTGTTTCAGTCTTGTTTGCCATTCATTGTCAGGTGCTCTCCTCAGCTCGGCAAACCTTGCCTCTGGAACCCCCATCCCTCGGGAACTGCATCCAGGAGCCTCCGTGTCAGCACCGCCACCCGGTACTACTACTACCACCACCAGTGACGCCGAGCCAGCAGAAGATGCTGCCTTGAGAAGGAATGCCTCCGAGCCAGCCCCAGCTACCTCGGCCCGGCGGAGGCGACATGACAAGGACAAGAGCAAGAAGGAGGACCGTGACCGGTCACGGCGACGCCGCAGGGAGGAAGGATGACGCAAAAACCTGGCGAAGGGAACAAAGAATGCATTGGCGTGATGCACTGGCATGCCAGACATTCTGCTAGTGACACTCAAGACTCGCTTGTGTTAATTGACAATTCATAAAGGCATAATGCCCATGCCGTTCTGTGCAGGTGCTATGGTGAAGCGCGGCGCTCGCTCTTCTGGCCATCGCTTTGCACGTGGGGCCATCCAGAAGGAGAAGCGGCTTCAGCGCGAGCAAAGGGCTGCAGCCAGACCTCCTCGAAGTGCCCCTGGCAATTTGCTGTCTTGTCTGCCTTGCCATTGTTCAAACTGAAGCCTTTTCACATGGCCTTGCATGATGATTGCATTTCTGCAGCTGTTTCCAGAGGGTTTCATTGATGATTGCATTTCCGCAGCTGTTTCCGCAGCTGTTTCCCGGAGTTAGTGGCCATGGCTCGACACCATGCTGTTCCGAATGATGCTGCCTTAGATCGTTTGATCATTCGGCTGATGATGATGAAAGTTCCAAAGGCACCTTTTGTTTTTGGCAGCGCACGCAACTGGTAAACTACAGGAATAATTAGTGATCACTGTCGCATTCTGTCAGGCGTTCCTTTGGATGATCGTAATGACGTTCTATCATACCGGTATGCCCACAGTGGCACAGGCCTGGTATTTTGATACGTTTTTGCGATCACTTGAAATATTTTGTTGTCGCTATCATGATGAATTTGCAGGCGTGGACATGTGTCGAGCTGTTCGCTGGCGATGGAAATGTCGGCAAATCCACCAAGTACGGCCTGGTGGCCACCGCTCAGCTCGACATCCGATATGGAGGCCAGGTGGCTCAACGCAACGCCTTCGATCTTGGACACGCTGCTGGTTTACCGTTGCTACCTCAGCATTTTTGAGCAGCACGTTTGGACGCCCAAAGTCACAAAAACATGCAATTAAGGCTGGCGATCTGGGTGCTTCTGAACACTTCGCCAGCAGGTTTTTTTTGTCTGCTCGCAGTGGTGTGTACGAGCTTCAGCGCGATGAACGTCGCAACTTCAAAGAGGTCTCCTTGTACTCCGTTTGGGGACACAACCCTGCCACATGTTCGAGCCACTTGTTCGCATTTTTTTTAGGAATTATTTTTTTCCATCCCATCATGTATAACTATACCCTTTCACATACTGAGGTTGGAAACCTGTTACTCTCCAGAAGCATTTTGCTATGCTATCTGGCCGTATGTCTCAACGGTGCACTGATGTTGGAGCAGCCATCTTCCTCACGGCTGCCGTGGTTTCCACGGTGGGAACAATTCGCCCAGATGGTAAAGCTTTGGCGAGTGGGCTGGTGGATGAAACATTATGGCTCACTCACACCGAAACTGGACGTAATCATCGTACATCTCGACTTTTTTGCTATCAGAAATAAGATGTATATAAGATAGCACATTAGGACCAATAATATTCATGTGTTCATCTAAAACAGACCAATGCCCAGGAAGAGACATCGAGCATGGTCTAACAGTGAGGCCATTGGCCTGCTTGACCGCGGGTTCTTGCAGAAGAAGGCCCGCGAAAAATGCGTTGTCAAAACAGCGACCAAGAAGAAAACCAAGAGTGGGAAGGTTTCGTACTCCGGGACGAAATGGCTCAAAGGTACACAGTGCAGGCCTCAATTGCTTGGATTTGCATGTGTTTTTTTTGCATAGGGGTGGTTTGTTCAGCGATCCAAGAAATTCTCATTGTGTTGATCTGCAGGAGTTACCCGATAGCCTTCGGCCTCCGGGTGCAAAGGATATTGCCGAAGCTTCTCCAAAAAAAGAGCACCGCCCCGAGACTAGCAACTGAGCCTGCGGAGGGCTGGAATGCACCTGCCATGTTCCAGCGCTTGAATTTTGAAGACAGCTGGGCGGAGGCCGAGCTGATGGAGTCTTGTATATATCTGCGGGGCTCGGTACACTTAAAAGTACCTGCAAGATGGAAACGGGCATTCCCGACTCATGTCTGAGGGGTCCTATAGATGTGACAGATGTTACTTTTTAAAAACAACATCCACCAATTACGCCCCGGATAAAATGCAGGAATTAGCCGGAGAAATTCCAAAATGACCCGGAGAAATTCAAAATACGTACCGGAGAAATTAGCAACCCGGACTAGAGGCGAGAATACCCGGAGAAGCGGCGAGAATACCCGGAGGAGATGCGAGAAATAGGAGCGAGAAAACCCGGAGAAGAGGCTAGTAATCCGTAATGGGGACATAAAAACCATATGGTCTGAAACGCCACTTTTGTATGCAAAATGTGGGTTTATGAAAGGGTTGAAGTTCTAGCACCCCAAAGATCCCCAAAGCGTTGTCTCTTCGCAACTTCCGTTTGTTTTTTGGCATCTGCAACTTAGTTGGCATGTTGTTTTCCTCACCTAGCCGTTTTTCCGCAGCCCTGTTTTTCAGTTTCAAAGTAGGAAGATGGAACCCAAACGCCTTCAGAGCAAGGCCTGGAGCTGCAGCGATCTAGTTCGTGCTGCGGCCACCGTGGTTGACATGTCTGCTCCTCCTGCCCAGATGGTGCTGCAAAAGGAGTTGCAGGAAGCTGCTGAGGAACTTCAAGGTAAGACTGCAAAGGAACTTCTGGCGATGTTGCAGGACTGCTGTTGCTCTTTCACGGTTCATTCGTGACTTCAAATTGTTTATTTTTTTGGGTGGGGACACAGGAGAATGAAGCAGCCCTCGAGGGCCATGACTTGGGTGACCACGCTGTGTCCGTTGTCAGATCCTGAGCCTGCTAGCCATCTTGTTGCATTTTTGATCGGTCTACAAGCTACAAGTGTTACCTCGCAAGCCTCAGGCTGCATGGGTCCAAGCGAAGCTGGAGCCAACAGAGGACTGGGACTGGTAATGGTTCAATATGTTTTTTGCATCAATAATTTCATTTGTTTGTGGTGATCATAAATTATGTTTGCCAAGTTTTCCATTTTTTCACCTTCCTGATGTTGTTTTTGGTTGTGGTATGTTATGGAGATAGTATGATGTAAGCTGTTTATTTTAGCATCATGGTTAGTATGGTTTTTATTTGGGTCATAGATTATTTTGCCAAGTTTTATCATTTTTTCCACCTTCATTCCGCCCAGGATTCGGAGGCAACTAGCGCAAAGCCAGTGGTACCTGCAGTACCGTCGGTCCCAGTGGGAAACCTTGCGCCGCACAAACCGCAGGAAGTTCTAGCAAGGGAGCGGCCCAGCGAAGCGGCAGCCTCAACCTTGCCAAGTGTGGCTCATACACCACCTGCGCAGCCAAGTGTGGAACCAGCACCGGCTCCTGCAGCCCCAGATGCTGAGACGATTCCTGCTGACCTGGGCGACCCAGGTGCCCCAGATGTCGCTCAGACTGCAAGTTATATGACCATCGATGTCATTGGACCAGGCTGGGAGCCATGGGAATGGAAGACGACCGCACCACCAACTACTAAGGCTGCTCCGAGCCCTACTGTGCCTGACACCCACTTGGACGCCCCAGGCTCCTTCCTGGCGACCAAGGTGGAGCAACCAGAAGTGCCAAAGGTATCCCTGGGACCATCCACGGTGCTTTGTGTCAGTTCGGATGAAGAGCATTTTCCGGCGGACTCGCAGCTCACAGACCAGCAGCTTCTCAGAGCCAAGACCCTGAGCTTGGATGATGCTCACCGGTCTCCGGAAGCCACTGTGGCCAGTCCAGGGCAAAGCTCGCAGCCTGCCACTTCGGGAAAGGCAGACAATGCTGAAGCTGCAAAATGGAAGGCTCACTACGAAGCAGCCCTCCAAGAACTGGCTGCGCTGAAAGCTAAGAACAGCCCTGCACCGAAGACTACACCACCTCCCAAGCCCAGCATGGAAGCCAACCAGTTCGAGACCCCTCCGCAGAGCAAAGCTTTGTTCACTCCTTCCCCTGTGCCGCCTTTGGCCGCCAAGTCCAAAATGGCAGTTGCTCCAGCGGGGCCTACTGCGAAGCCACCACCGGTTCAAGCACCAGTTGGACAAGCAAAAGCCGGCTCACCTTCATTCAAGGCACCCCTGCCTCCAGCCAAGAGTTCCCCTGCAGCTTTGCCTTCGGCCGCTGGGACTCCGATCCCTGTGCCTAGCGCTGCTCCTACCTCTCCGGCGCCAAGTGTGGCTGAAGGCCTGCATCCAGATGAGGAGGAACTCGCGGAACGCTTTGACATGGACCACCAGGAATACGACGAAAAATGGTTTACTTTAAATCATGACACTTTATCATTTTTAATCTTGTATGTAAAATTTTCCATCATGTCTGTTGCGTTGTTTCCTCGCGTCTCCAGGTGATGTTCTATGTTCAATATGGTTCATTCCAATTTCATATATTCATTCATCTCCCGGTGATACTAAAACCCCAAGCTTCAACATGGTTCAAGCCCAACTCATGATATTCATAAAAAGCAATGGTTACCATGCGTATTGCATAGGGATTTGTTATTTTGTATTCGCCCGCAGCTGTTTACCATCCATGCAGGAGTTAAGTCCTCACGCGTTGTACATGCGCTTGAAGCGCTTGTGTGGCCGTACGGCGGCCGGCAAGTTGCAGGTGCCAGAAAGCATCCACAACCAGTGGCTTACTGGCTCTCGGGACGAGTTGCTGCTCGCTCTCACCCGTAGCCTAAAGACTCATGGTTTCGACCCCAGTGCTCGCACGCGCAACCTAGTGCGGGTCGGGTGGGCCAACACTTTGTTTCAATCATGTTTCTGGCTTGGTGCTATTGCTGTGAGTATCAGGGATATTGTTGCTTCCCGTAATGATAGTTGTGAATTTTCAATCGGTATGTTTCTCGCGTATACATGCAATAATATGTGTTCGGGTTTAAAACAAATTGGTCGTCGTCATATGCACCTGTGATCTTTCCTCTCTTCGCACAGGGCGAATTCGAAGAGCAACTGGCACGCTTGCACGAGCAGTCGCGTTCTCGCGATGAAGAAATTTCTGGCGGGTGGTATCTCGAGGAGCGCTTGGAGAAGGACCTTGGATGGGGAAAGTGCCTTGGTACAGATTTTAATATTTTTTGTTCCATGTGTTTAATATATGATATTTAGACAGGGATCATGGGTGGATTTGGAATATTGTGTTTCATTATGTACGAACATGGTCTATCTGGGGCTCACATATGGCACATCTTTTATTGACTTGTTCTATATACATTGTAGCATGTACAGTCAGATGTGTTGCTTCTTTGGCTGTCTTCACCGCTCCACACCTGCAGGGGCCTCATCTCGAAGGTAAAAAGCTACTGCTTGCGGTTCAAGTCGGTTTTGACCAGGTCGGGCGTTGAAACTGTTGCTATTTGAACTGTTTGAAAGATACTTCAGTTGCAGTGCGTTTTCCAAAGCATGCCTATGTCGAGGCCATGGCGCTATGATTCCGACCAAACGGAATATTTTGTGCAAACGTCGGATACAGTGAAGCTGAAGAAGTCGGAGCTCGAGCGTTGGCTTCACACAAAGGATGGCAGTGAGGAGGCGGCATTTGTTTTTTTTTCAAGTTTCATTTCAAGTTTGGTCGTTCCATCGACCCAATCCACTTCTGTCAGGGAATGCCTGGCGACCAGTTGAACCACATGGCAATGCATGATGAGCCACTTGAAGCTCTGCCGGATGGATCCAAGGGTGCTGTGCCCATGGGGACGGTGCAGGAACTGGTGGACAACCTGCGCCAGTTCACGGACTCGGTTCACCAGAAGGCTTCTTCCGTGGTCAGCTGGCAGAATGCTTTGGAATCTATGACCAATGAGCGTGCACAAAAGTATCTAGGATGCATTAGCACCAAACCTTGTCTTTGAGTTTGCTCACCACTGCCCCAGCATGTCCGCAGCCATTTTCGTCAAATTAAGGTTCCCCGCAGCCGTTTCTAATCCTTTGCCCTGCAGGTTCATGGCGGACAGCAAGGAGATCTTGGACAAGTTGGAGGCGTGCTTCGAGGCCCTCGCAGAGTGTGCCCACACCGTGGACTCGCGCCAGAAGCCTCTGGAAGAGCCCCTGGTCGTGTTATTTGTAGGTTTGCCATGCTTCTTGTTTTGTATAGCACCTAGAAATAAGCCCGTGCCACTGCATTTGGGTCATTTATGTGTAATTGGGTGTTTCATTTTTTCTGTCATGCTGTAGTCTTAGGGGTAATGTCCTTTCAGATTTTTGATGATGGGTCTGGATTCCATATACTTTTTGATCACATGATTGTTCATTCTAAATTCCAAAAAAACGAATATATGTTCATAATATCTTGTAGTCATGGGTCTGGATTCCGGCCCTTTCAGAAACAATCCTCAGACTTGTATTGTGTTTGTAATGTCTTGTAGATGGGTCTGGATTCCGGCCCTGCCAACATATGTGTAATATCTTGTAGTCATGGGTCTGGATTCCGGCCCTTTCAGAAACAATCCTCAAACTTGTATTGTGTTTGTAAGGTCTTGTAGATGGGTCTGGATTCCGGCCCTGTCAATATATGTGTAATATCTTGTAGTCATGGGTCTGGATTCCGGCCCTCTCAGAAACAATCCTCAGACTTGCATTGTGTTTGTAATGTCTTGTAGATGGGTCTGGATTCCGGCCCTGTCAATATATGTGTAATATCTTGTAGTCATGGGTCTGGATTCCGGCCCTTTCAGAAACAATCCTCAAACTTGTATTGTGTTTGTAAGGTCTTGTAGATGGGTCTGGATTCCAGCCCTGTCAACATATGTGTAATATCTTGTAGTCATGGGTCTGGATTCAGGCCCTCTCAGAAACAATCCTCAGACTTGCATTGTGTTTGTAATGTCTTGTAGATGGGTCTGGATTCCGGCCCTGTCAATATATGTGTAATATCTTGTAGTCATGGGTCTGGATTCCGGCCCTTTCAGAAACAATCCTAAGACTTTGTATTGTGTAGGCCCTTTCAATCTACTTTAGTAATATCTTTTTTTCATGGGTCTGGATTCCGGCCCTTTCATGTCCTGCCTCTACCTTTCAGGTTGCAGAAGATGGTGCAGGAAGCCAAGGAGTTTGCCCGTGCACCGTTTCTTGAATATATATCTAGTGTTCTTGTTGTTATACTGTCATTTTCCTGTGCACGTGCAATCTGCCTGTGGGCCAGTCCAGGTGCGTGAAAATTTTGGCCTTGGAGCATCGTTACAAGTTGCTGAATGCTGAAAGGAAAGGCACCAAGCGCCCTCGTGAGAACGGGCCGGAGGGTGGGAATGGAGATGGCGAGCCAGCTCCGAAGGCCGGTGCGAAGAGCAAGGCTAAGGCCGCGGCCAAGAAGAAGAATGAGGAGTGAGGGCTTCTCACGAAGTTTTGGGTTTCGTGCACACCTTCCTACTTGAAACAGTGGGTGTAGTTTGCGTGCCACGCAGCGATATGGCTTAGGCTGTGCTTGCGGGAGTTGGATATGATGGTTGAAAGCAGCTGTTGCATACTGTTCTGAAAATTTGACAAGGAACCTGCAGGCACATGCCATGTTTGCGTGCCAATCCTTTACCAAGGGGACGTGGCCACACAATAATCGTTGTGTGCTGCCTTGAGCTTGCGATACCCATCTCTATCCGCAGCCCTGTGAAAAAAAAAGCGTCTCTAGCAAGTCTGAAAGTTTGCTTCTGCAAGGTTTCCTTGCATAATATTTTTAGTTTTTACCTTTGCACATTTCCAGGTACTCCTGCAGCATCGGCGGCTTCTTCCAGCGCTGCCTGCGCTGCTGCTGCGGGTCCTAGAGCGCCTGCCTCTTCTTCCAGAGGCACTAGCGCCATAGCTAGCAGTTTGGCGCGCAGTATGGCACGAGGAGTAACTCGGTTGCAATTTTGACATGATATATATTCCAAGCCTTGCATCACTGCCTGCTTTTAGTCATGGACGGTTCTGCTGGATAAACAAATCTCGTTTTCAAGGTTGATCTTGACGGTCATGAGTATCTATAATGAAACGACTAAGAGTGATCACTACTGCAAATTATAATTTGTGCTATGCACCAAGAGAGGTTGTAGCAGACTTAGGAACTCAGTAGCGACGTATTATATAATTATTACCTCATTACCATCTATCCTTAAATTTCACAGCACTGAACGCACAGGTTACACCCTGGCGTCCAGTCTAAAGCATTCGGTTTGGGCAAGGACTGCTTGGTAGAAAAGGCTGCGGTATTTTCTTACATTCCTAATACCTTACAAAATTGTGACTTGCTTTCATTCAGGCTCCTGCCATTCAATTGGCAGAGCACGCGCAAGCAATTCTGGCAGATGATGCTGCCTTGGGAGTGCGACGCAGTGACCCAGTGCTGCAACGCCTTGCTTCTGGAAGCTCGCATGCAGCAACTTGTTTGCAGTAGCGCATTTTTTGATCAAGCAAGTTAAGTCGTCTTCAGTCATGTGTTGGTTCGCGGATTTGCCTTGGTAAGGCCAGGGAAGCTTTCAAAGCCTTTGACCATTCTGGCTTGCGTGGGCCAATTGATGTCAGTGCTGGCCAGATTGGTGATGATGAGCGTTTCTGGGTTTTTATTACGATAGCCTTCGGGAAAAACATGTTATATTTTAGATGGTCTTATCTTATCATGTATTTCATGTTTGGTGAATCAACTGAGGTTACCCGTGGATCAAACTCACAGATATGGTGAAAGCCTTGAGCAAGCTCCGACGTGTGGACGTCTTGCTGCCATCTTCGGACTTGCAGCAGGCTCGCGCCATCCTATCAGAATATTGGCGAAGGTACCATCTCCAATACCCAAACTTTGAGCTGTTCGACTTGGAATTCACCCCTGAAGACTACACACTTTTGATCCCCATAAAGCTGCACGGCGACGAGGGGAGAAGCGCCTTGGTTGCACATGTGCTGTGAGTGCTTGAATCGATTTGCATCACATCGACTTTTTTCAGCTACCAAGGCAAAAAAAAGTCTCCCCTGATGTTGCTGAACTGGCAGCCGGTCCTTGGGCGAGGAACCACCAAGTCACAGAACCAAGCAGAAGAAAAACAGCAAGCAGCCCAAGGACTCAACATGCAGCTCGGCACTAATAATTGAAATATTTTTTGTTTGTGTTGTTTTCCTTGTCGGTTGTTTGTTGATTGAAGTCGCTGATACGGATGCACCTGTGGCCACAGGATGGGACACGTGCTGCAGACGCGCTTTCTTCTCTTTGCAGCCCTGAAGGAGACGTACTCCGAGAACCCTGAAGCGCTGGATGAGGCCATGGCCATGGTGGCGTCAGATCTCCATTGCGCCCTTCACACTGGCGTTCCGGTAGTGGTCAACGGACTACAGCTTCGCTTAAGATTCTGCGTCTGCTCGGTCAAAGGTGATTGGCCGTTTTTGATCGAAGCAGCCCACTTGGAACGTCACTTCCGGCGTGCACCAAAGCGTGGAGAGTCCAGCCTGGCTTCACCGGGCGTGTGCCATCTATGTCTTGGCGGCGTTTCTGGCATATCCTACACGGACTTTTCCACCTCCCCAGATTGGGAAAGAACCATGGACTCTGCTGCTGCCCAAGTTCCTTGGCATAGCGTCAGCCCCTGGCACAGTCTTCCTGCCATCAAGGACTTCCGTCCGTTTACGTTTCGGCCGGACTTGTTTCATGGATTTCACCTTGGTCATGGACGCTACTTTCTGTCTAGTGCCCTGGTGGTTCTTCAACAGTTGGAAGAAGGGGATGGAGTGGAGACGCGATTCCAGCAGCTGAGTCGCAAATGGCTGCAATACTGTCGATCAGTTCGAGTTCCTTGGCAGAACGTGTATCCTTTCACCTTCTTTGGTTTTTTTTGCCTTTCTGCATGTGACTGGAATATTGTTTGCTATAGATGTTGCCCTTGCATGACGTGCCAGGAACGGCCGTACCTGCAAAAGATTTCTCGTGAATCTTTAGGCTTCATGAGCCATTTGGACTGGCCGGAAGGCAAGTGGCAAAAGGGTAGTACCACAACACTTTTGATGGCGCCTTGTCTGCAGATTCTTTTCACGCAGCTTCTGGTGGTGTGGAATTTGAATGTTTTGCATAATTTGCCCATAGCCTAGGAGTGGCTGGAGACTATGTTGACTGACGACTTTGTCACTGAAGCGGCTGAACGTGATGGCCGCGTGCCATTCATAGCCGTTGCTGTGCAGCTTGACGTACAGACTGGCTTGGTGTTTGAAATTCCGACAGCATGTCTTTTTTCATCTTGATCTTGTTGAGGCGACATATGAATGCTGCCTTCCGCATGCTTTATCGTGGCGGCGCTTGGTTGGATGCCAGTGAGGCTTCTGAGATAGCGCGCCGCGGGCTGTTGCATTTGAGAGCTTTCAAGCATTTGGCAGCGTTGAGCTTGGGTCTTAAAGAGCCTCGTTTTCCGTTGCACGTTAAGGCACATATGTTGTGCCATGTGTTCAGGCTCTTGCAGCTTTCAAGCAGAAGATTGCAGTGGGTGGAGAACCCGCTGACGGATTCTTGCCAACAGGACGAGACCTTTGTCGGAGTCCTTGCACGGTTTTCGCGCAGAGTTTCACCGAAAACCACAGTGCATCGGACATACGATTTATACATCACCGCATTGACCCAGCAGCTCCGAGAGGAGTGAAAAAGGTGCCTCCATCGTGTTGCCCGCAGGGATTGGCAGGTTGACCAGGCCATTCTACCATGACCGGACTGATATGGATCATTTGTGAGAAAATATCAGACAATCATTGATAACAACACAACATGCATTAAGCACGTGTAATTGACAAACGATGGCATAAATCACAAGTGGTGCGAGAATCCGCTCGTGGAGCGAGAATTTGCGGAGAACTACTCAGAGTTGTGGGAATTCATGGAAATTGTTCGTTTTTGTCACTGGTGTGGGAATCCCTACTCCTTTGGCTTCGCTGGTATATATATGTATCATGAAATTCAAAGTAATTCAAAGTAATTAAAGTCAAAATGAAAGAATATTATATAGTAGTATTAAACTACGGTATACTATATAGGTATTATATAACATTGCGCCCGCTGTGCGGGTAAGACATTTCCACCCGCAGACGAAGACGAATTACGAAGACGAATTCCCCGAAGACGAATTGCCCCCCGAAGACGAATTGTCCGAAGACGAATTCCCCGAAGACGAATTGCCCCCCGAAGACGAATTCCCAAAGTAATTAAAGTAACCAAAATGAAATTAATATTATACTAGTAGTATTAAACTACGGTATACTATATAGGTATTATTATATACATTGCGCCCGCTGTGCGGGTAAGACATTTCCACCCGCAGACGAAGACGAATTCCCCCCCGAAGACGAATTCCCACCCGAAGACGAATTACGAAGACGAATTCCCCGAAGACGAATTGCCCCCCGAAGACGAATTCCCACCCGAAGACGGATTCCGAAGACGAATTCCCCGAAGACGAATTGCCCCCCGAAGACGAATTCCCCCCCGAAGACGAATTGCGAAGACGAATTCCCCGAAGACGAATTGCTCCCCGAGGACGAATTCCCCCCCGAAGACGAACTGCGAAGACGAATTCCCCGAAGACGAATTGCCCCCCGAAGACGAATTCCCCCCCCGAAGACGAATTCCGAAGACGAATTCCCCGAAGACGAATTCCCCCCCGAAGACGAATTCCCCCCCGAAGACGAATTGCGAAGACGAATTCCACGAAGACGAATTGCCCCCCGAAGACGAATTCCCCCCGAAGACGAATTGCGAAGACGAATTTCCCGAAGACGAATTCCCCCCGAAGACGAATTCCGAAGACGAACTCCCCGAAGACGAAATTGCCCCCCGAAGACGACTTTTTCACCAACGACTTGGGAGAAAAGCATGCATACACTCAAAGCCTACATGCATGTCATATATGCATCTAGTTTTTATTTTGGCAAACCGTAGGGACATTTTTTTTGTCCATGGTGGGTTTTCACCGTATAACGGACGTCTTTGTTTGGTTCACTTGCATATTTTCCCTACAAGGGCCTGTCATGTTAGGAACTGGGCCCCCAGTTCCAGGAACTGGCGGAACCATGGTCACGGTTTGACGGGTTGGTTTATGGACCCCAACACCGATCATGATGACTATAACGAAGGAGGTAACATGAGGTAACGAAATGAACGACTTGGAAAAAAGGAAGAGATAAACAAACCGCATGTAAGACTTGAAAAAAGGAAGGAAATAGCGACATGAACGCGTTGACATGAAAGGAAGAGGTAAATGAACAGGATGGAAGCGTTGAAACGAGGGGGGGAAGTAGCGAACGGAAGGGAAGAGTTAAACCGATTTAAAGCGGAAGGAACGACGTATAGGGAACAGAAGGGAAGAGTTGAAACGAAAGAAGCAGCGAACGGGATTACAAAGAGTTGAAACGAAAGGAAGGAAGCAACGAATGGAAGGGAAGAGTTGCAACAAAAAGACGGACACAATGAAAAGGACGAGTTGACAGGAAAGGAAGAGCAGGAAGAACAGGACAGAAGATTTGAGCGAAACGACGGACTTCGCGAAATGAACGCCTTTAAATGAGAGAAAGAGGTGAACGAATAAGATGAAACAATGGGGAGGAAGTAACGAACGGAGCAGAAGTTAAAACGAAAGGAGCGACGTAGGGAACAGAAGGGAAGACAAAACGAAAGGGAAGAGAGTAACAAACGAAATGCTCTGGATGCTATAGCCTCTGGGCTTGCTCTTTGAGATTTTGAAAATTCTTTTGATGCTACGCTCTTGGCCTTCACCTGAGGCGTTTCAGCACGCCCTTGACGCTACGCTTGGAGACAGTCGCCTCTTGAATGCTATGCTAATTTTCTCTTGGAAGTTCGAACAAGCCCTTGGTGCTACGCTCTTGGCTTAATCTTGGGTTTTCCGACACGCTTTTGCTGCTACGCTCTGAGCATCTCTTAGCTTTCTCCTGGGCCAGTCCGGCAAGCTCTTGATGCTACGCTCTTAGCTGTCTATTGGAACTTCCAACACGCTCTTGGTGTGTTTTATCTTCCAACACTTTCTCTTTGCCTTGTCCTGGGACGTGCCAGCACGCTCTTGACGCTACGCCCTTGGCTTCTCTTGAAGCATGGCGCGCTATTTTTGCTTCTTTTTGTGACGCATTGAATTAAAACACGCTCTTGATGCTACGTTCTTGGCTCCGGCTCTGACACTCTCTTGATGCTACGCGCTGAACCTCGTCTTGGAACAGTCCAAGATGCTGTTGACGCTACGGTCCACCACAATCGTGATGATACGCTCTTATAACTTTTCTTGGAACTTCCAACGCGCTCTTGTTGGTGCTACGCTCCGCCTCTTGACGCTGCGGTCTGGAGAAAGTCACGCTCTTCCTGCTACGCTCTTAGCTTTGTTCTGGAACACGCCAGGACGCTCTAGTTGCTACGCTCTTTTGTTCTTCGCTTGATGCTACGCTCTGACCTCCAACACGTTCTGGATGCTAGACTCTTAGGTTTTTCTTGGTCCTTCAACACGCTCTCCTGGTATTGCTCGCTTAGGTTTCTCTTGGAACTTCCAACACGCTCTTGGTGCTACGCTCTTGACTTCCTCTTGGAACTGCCAGCGTTCTCTTGATGCTAGCCTCCTGTGCTATGCTTTTAGCCTTGGAACTTCCAGCAGGCTCTTGATGTTACGCGCTCAACTCCCGCATGTTCTCAATGCTACACGCTCAATACTTTTTCATTGAACTTCCTGAGCTTTCTCCTGGAACACTCCGGCGCTCTCTTCGTTTGGGTTTGGTAAGAAGATAAGAAGGTTCTACTACTTCAACTTAATGATTGATCCTTGCCTCAAGGATCTTCAACTGAGGTTGCAAAAGCACGCCACACGATCTTGATAATTACCTCTACGCTTTATATTTCGACATAACCTAGCCTTGGTGGTCAGGCCAAATCCCTATCTGCCCTCCGGCTCCTCTTCCTCTACATTCCTCTATTTATCTTCCCACATACAAAGAATACAGTACGCCTGCGCCCTTACTCGTCATGCCTAGCCTGTCAACAGGCAATGTGTCGTTAGGCAATAATATACACACAATGCGTCATCAGGGGGATAATGCGTTGTCAGGGGGCAATGCGTCGTCAGGGAATGTGTCGTCACAATGCGTCGTCAGGGGGCAATGCGTCGTCAGGGAATGTGTCGTCACAATGCGTCGTCAGCGGGTAATGCGTCGTCAGGGGGCAATGCGTCGTCAGGGAATGTGTCATCACAATGCGTCGTCAGGGGGTAATGCGTCGTCAGGGGGCAATGCGTCGTCAGGGAATGTGTCGTCACAATGCGTCGTCAGGGGGTAATGCGTCGTCAGGGGGCAATGCGTCGTCAGGGAATGCGTCGTCATTGCGTCGTCAGCGGGTAATGCGTCGTCAGGGGGCAATGCGTCGTCAGGGAATGTGTCGTCATGCGTCGTCAGGGAATTGCGTCGTCAGGGAATGTGTCGTCACAACGCGTCGTCAGGGGGCAATGCGTCGTCAGGGGGCAATGCGTCGTCAGGGAATGTGTCGTCACAATGCGTCGTCAGGGGGTAATGCGTCGTCAGGGGGCAATGCGTTGTCAGGGAATGTGTCGTCACAATGCGTCGTCAGGGGGTAATGCGTCGTCAGGGGGCAATGCGTCGTCAGGGAATGTGTCGTCACAATGCGTCGTCAGGGGGGCCGGGGGCATCGCCAATGTGTCGTCACAATGCGTCGTCAGCGTCAGCGCGAAATGTCTTACCCAAGCTGCGGGTGCCCTGATTATAATATATATATATTATTATCATGAAATTCAAATTCAAAGTGACCTTGAAACCTCAAAACCTGACCCTCTCAGGTGGGACAGCATGCTTGCGTCCTTTGCGGGCACCGTTCGAAAGTATTTAGATGCAACTCATGCTGCCACGGTGCTGCCGGCTAATTTTTTCTGTGTGAGGTGTTGGGGCATTTGCGCAAATCAAGCTATACTTAATATATTTGGCATATAATTATATATATATATATATCTGGTTGGTGGTTTGGAACATTTTTTATGTTTCCATATATTGGGAAGAATCATCCCAACTGACTAATATTTTTCAGAGGGGTTGAAACCACCAACCATATATATATATATATACACGTGATATTGATCGAATGATGATATGTAATAATTATATCAGCATATTTGGCCCATGTCCATAATTATATCACCATAATTATATCACCATATCATATCACCATATCATATCTAAATTATCTACTATGTCATTATATATGATATGGTGACATATCATAATTGTCTCTTCATATCTAAAGATCTATGGCATCTATGGTTGAGATTGGGGGCAGATATGGAGATGTTACAATCCTGACCCGTGGGCCAGGAACTTTACGATCCATCGTCAGAAGCCTCAGAGAATGTTTTAATGTTTTTCACATGTGTGGAACGTGTGTGGGTAATCATTAATTATATATATACGGTTATATATTATATGTATATAATTTATGTGTATATACATATATATATATATATCGTAATATACCGTCATATGTCATATTATATTGGATCTAGTCTTGCATGAAGACCGTAGAAAGATAATGCAAGATAAAGCGTACATGGTTGAAAGGTGCGTAGTTCAAATCGCAAAACGTGGCTGAATCGCTATCCGCTGTCTCAGTTCTCTCTTTAGTCAACAAGCTAGGCCAGGAAAGGGAATCATAGGCCTCGATCTTACTTGAACAGCAGGGATGTAGTAGATTATGTTTGAATGAGAAAATCCCGCAGAACTTCGAACCATGAATAGTCTGCGATGCATGCATATGTTATGTTTTGAGTATAGAAGCAGGCTTGAAAACAGTTAATTACACATATCCAGACATCCCATATCATGCCCGCACCAGCAATCACCCAGAGCATGTTGTTCTGCGAGCAGAGGAATTAGCCAAGGACTGGGTCAACGAAGGAGGATGATTCCATTCTGTGGACATCCGATGAAGAAGCAAAGCGAGTGGCGAAGAATGCTTTGGACAGCGCGGTGCCTAGAGTATTGCACGAATTCCACAGGCTTTCAGAATCTTTCAGACATAGATGTGCTTTTCTCCCAAGTTGATGAAAATAAACAGACTTGCCTGCCACCTTGATCAACAACCAGTTCAATCTTGCGAAATCAATCCCACAGTTTTTGCTTCATGAGGTAACGACAAACACGACGAAGAGGGGCTTTCTTGGTCTCCAAGCCATGTTTCTTGTGATAGATTTGTTTTAGAAAAAACTCTTGAACACCCGTCTAAAACAAAATCGACCAAGACTTCACAACATGTTTCACTGCGTACTGTATATAACCCCCATATATTTCACGTACTGATAATATGTTCCCCTAAACCAATGCCTTGACAGGTTTCCCCAGCAGCATCCAGCAGTCTGTTTGGACGTGTGTTCGCGACAGGTTTACAGGAGAAGTTGATCGCAAAGTTGTGAGCCTTCTGACCGAATACTGCGGCTTTGAGGTGCCATGGTCTGGATGGAAAACATAGCCATTCATGGGGGATGGGAATAATCACAGGGATTCATATACTCATTTTTTATATTTTTTTCAGGATTTCACTGGGGATTGATGACCATAACTTACCCATACTACCATTTGTTACAGGATTTCAATGGGGATTGATGACCATAACCCATACCATTGTTTGACCCTCGCGCAGATGTTGTTGATCTGCAGACGACTGACGGTTTGCAACGGGCTTTGTAGTGTTGGATGAACTTGGTACACCTGAATGTGCACAGAGATGCACAGAGGAACTCCAAGAGTCACTCAACAAATCGTCTGTGTACATATACATATCTAAATATAGCTAAATCCCCTATATCCCCCACCCCAAAATCACAAGGTGATACCCCGAAACATTCCCGGAATCACCTGAAATCACCTTGAAACTCCCTTGAAATTCCTAAATACACCCTGCAAAAGAAACAGAAACCCAAAGTTAATAAACCCCAAACATTCAATTTCCCAAAACCACTCCCAGTTTGTTGCCTCGGGAAAACACCAATTCCCCCTGCAATGCAGTCGGAGCTACGTATCGCTTGCATTCGCAGCTGGCAACGGCTGGTTGATGAGCCGTGATCCAAGAGGGTTGGGGGATGAACAGCCACAAATCCCAGCCATTTTGGGGTGAACAAAATAGTGCCTTTGATTCATATATGATCAGATATGATTTTTAGATGTGCACTGATAATATCATTGTGTATCCCAAAAAAGATACTGGTTATATCAATATCAATTGTTATATTGGGGACCCAATATTTTTAACTGTGTTTCTTCGATCCATTTCGAGACGCCTGAAATTGGGCGGTGGATGGCTCAGGTTCACCGGGATGTTGTCATTTGCCCCAATGCCGTGTGTGCCAGCGAGCTTGCACGACATGGCAAAGATGCGAGTGGGCACTGGACAGTCGAGAACTTAGGGGGTCCAAAATTGTTGGGGCCGAGAAACCATTGGTGTTCCTTTCTTCATTTTTCTTCAAAAGCTTGGGTTTCCTCCCTTTGAAAAACATCCATTTGGTACATTTTGGTACCAGGTGAACTTGGAGGTCTTACTATATTTCTTATTGTGCGTGAAAACCATCGTTTTCCTGTATGTTTTCCTGTTTTCGTTATGTCCTTCTCAGGTCCGGTCAATTGAACTTCACAGAGGAGACGGTGAAGGTCGTTGTGAGTCTCGGCGAAGATCCAAAGCATCGAGGACTGGTGAGGCCCTTAGTGGAACAACTGGAACGACGCATGCGGCTGCTGGTGGAGCGCGACTACCGCAGCGCCGTGGCGTCGCTGGAGGGCCGCTGTCAAGAGGTGGGGATGGGTCAAGTTATGAAATTTCCTGAAATTGGGGTACCATGGGGTACCCATAAATCATCCATTTTCAATCATGTGCATGGTATTTTCCTTTAAAAAAAATATTCATTTTGGGGGTACCTCCATGACTTAGGAAACCTCCTCACCTACGCGATTTTCGGGTACCTCGGGCATCCTCGCGGGTGACCCGGCGCCAGGTCTTGAAGGCCTTCTTTGAACTGGTTGGGCAGGAAGATGTGGAGGAGCTGTCGGATGCCGGCACAGAGGATCATGATAAAACCAAGATCAACCCTTGGGTCACCCCGAGGGAGTTGAATCACAAGAAATCCAGCAAGGCCGAGGCTCGACAGAAGGAAATGACCAGAAGCATTCTCTCGGGAGTGCTCAAGGCACTTTTGAACCATGCAGATGTGGTGATTTCGACCACTCTTCAAGGGACCATCGAGATGGACAGCAATGGAGAAGCGGTGATTGATACCGTGACGCAGCGGCCTCGCGTCAATGAGAGATCCGGCATCATGGTGCGGGTGGACGAGAAACTCGGAATGACAATACGGAGAGACGGCTGGATACGTTGGATACATATAAATGATAATGGGATATAATGGGGTTCATATAGAATGATATAGTTACATTTATAAATCTAAAATCATATTAAATTACCAAATTAAATTGATAATGTGGTGTTCATAAAATGTTGAGGACACCAAAAACGATTAAACGATGATCAGATATGACTTCAGTGACGACCAGATAATTTGGGCCTCAGGAATACCACCTCACCCGGGCCATTGCATTGGATGCTACCTTTCAAGTTCAACAACAGTGGGTGCGGAGCTCAGGAAGTGCTGAAAAAAATGTGGTGCGATGTGGTGGATGTGCTGACTCTTACATAGTTGATCAATGTTGATCATAGTTACTTGTACCTTGGGGATGTTGGTCCAACGAGGCAACTCACACTTCGCAAGCTACTGTTCAACGAGCGCAAACTGCTGAGAGATAGCAGTCAAGGCCCGGATCCGGCACCGGATCCCAAAGATTTCGTGAGAGATGTGAGATATTTGGTTGGTGGTTCAAACATGAATGACTTTCCATCCTGCTTGGTATCAGATGTATCAGCCGTGCTGTTTTCCTGCAGGCTTGGGGTGGCATGCAAAGATCAAGAGAAAGAGACAAGGCCGCGGAGGGGAATCTTAATGCTTGAAATCAGCTCTACTCGTATAAGGGAAAATGAAGCGGATCAAAAACGAGCAAAGTCCTAAGTCATCAAAAATGCATGTGGCCTTGTCTGAAAATAGGGGTTTTACATGGTTTTACCCCCAAATCGCCATTGTTTAATGAATGAGGAAACTTATATAACCATCAGATGTTGGGATACCCAATTTTAAGACAACCCATGACTCAGTGGCTGCAAAGCTTGAGATGATCATCTCGATGTCATCCAGATGCTGCAGAGGTTTCCTCAAGAGCATTGCGAACGCATCAAATTGCTGTGACAAGCAAGAGGACGATGATGCTGGTCGCCACTCGGTCAAACATGGTAAAACATGGCAGTTTTTGTGGCTAGTTGTGTTCATTATGGTTTTGGCTCAACAATGCTGAAGCCATGTGGACGCCCAGAATTGGATGGTTTGGCAACTCGTGGATCGCGTTGTGGGTCGCAGCCAAGGTCCCGAACTGGGATGGTCCAGAAAGCTGATTGAGGAGATAGGACTTCACATGGAGGCGGCTCCAAATTTGAATCGTAGTTGAATTGATTCTTATTGAAGAACCCGAACTGGGAATGTACTTTGGAAAAAGTCGTCGACACCCTGGGGGGGTTCTTTTAGAGCATTATCTAAAAAATCGAATGTGGTTTCCAATTTGAGAAGCTCTAGGTTGGATATTACATGATACTACATGATATTACAATATATTACATACATATATCATATCATACATTACATATATCACATATCAAACATAATATTGTATTTATTGATACTACAGCAGCCTTTTCCATCCTAGCGCTTGCCAGGATGGCACCCCAACCATCAACTGCAGCAATGCGGTGAACTTGCGCATCTATCGGCTGTGTACGGAGGACGAAGTCGTCCAATCTTCCGAAGAGAAACGACGGGGAAATCACTGGATTTATGTGGATTTATATCCCATGACGGATCCTAACGGTGCTGCTATACAGGGTGTGCCAATTGGTGTGCCATGGATCCCATCAATATATACCCCAAATGATGTTAGCATATATACAGAAAACCAGCCGGATCCGTCATGGGTATTGGAACATCACCATTGGATCATGATTGGACCAAAGCAAAAATGAGCTGAAGATGGCTCTTCAGCACCCTTGGTTCAATGGGATGTACTGGAAAATCACCGTGAATTTTCAGTGGGTAAATTACCATTGAAGTAGATGGACCTCTCCGAAAAAAGCAGTTGGCAGACATTCAAATGACCAGAGGGTAGCTGGGTAGCTGAGATGTTTGGGCAAAGACCAAATCACCGACCCTGTCCAATGAAGAATTGATACAGCTGCTACGAGATTGCTGTGATGGTTTGTTGTCGTTGAGCATGGCATCTACTCCGATGCAGTCCGATTTCAGGACTACGAAGTGCCAATGAGTTTGCAACTCAAAATCATGGGCATTGCTATGCAAAACAAGAACCTGGTTGGTGGTTTCAAACATGTGGATTATTTTCCATTTCATACATGGGATGTCATGCTTCCCAGCTGACGAACTCCATCATTTTTCAAGATGTTTTTTTTTTTACCACCAGCCAGTTATATTGTTCAATATTGTTCATTAGATCAGGTATTAATCACTAATAACCACTATTAATCACTATTAATCACTATTAATCACTATTAACCAGCCATTGATGTGCAATGCTGCAAGACACTAACGGCAGTTGTGCAGATCCACAGTCCTGGCTCTCGATCGAAAATTGCAGGTCCCAATGCACCGCCACATCTCTATGATGTTGAGGTGGCTGTTTCAGCAGGGCCTGATGCTAGCGAATAATTGAAGAACTGGCGAATGTCTAAGAAAAAAGTAGATTACCCATGACGGATCCATGGTGCTGCTATATATGGTAACATGGATCCCATCATTATACCCCAAATGTGAGCATATATACCAGCACCATGGATCCTATGGGTTATCTATATTTATCTATGTTTGGCTACGGTGTTCAATGTGACATGCCGGTCTTAAGGCTTGGAACATGTTGGATATTTTTGGATATGTTTTGGAAGGCACTGATCCTGAGTGAATATGGTGAATGTGATTTTTAAAGGAATCTTTAACTGGAGAGTGCCGGCAATCTCTCCATGGCATTTTTAATTCAACAGAACACCAGTCAAAGATGGTGTCATACTCCTTGCGAAATCCTGTACCAGTTAGTAGCATGGTTAGTAACGTGGTTCATCCCCTTATAATCCTATGATATCCTATGATTTCCAGTGTAGAAATTCCTGAAATCCCCATGGCTTTTGGGGCAACCGTTTGAGGTGCTGAAGTTGCTAAAAGCCCTGCAGTTCGAGATCGCAGCCTCGTGGGCCTCCATGTGGAGGGGCATGCTACAAGAGCTCACGGACAAAGACAAAGTCCGGGAGTTCGTGCAGTCCTGTTTGGTGTCAGCTTCTCAGTGACTGATGAGGCCAGCTTGAGGCCAGTTGCCAGTTGACTGATTTTTGTCAGGTTGATGTTGATGTTTGATGTTTGTCAGAAATGCTGGGGACAAACAAGTTGTAAATACTTGTTACAATGATCCAACGAGAAAATGATCGGAAAACATCCGGAAGAAAACCCCAAGGACCGAAGAGATGCAGGACTATGCAGTCAAGCGGCTCGTTCTGAGAACGGCTTCGCTGTTGGACTTTGAAACTGGTGAATAGCAGAATATCTGTGACTTTAAGATAGGGTATTTAAATAACATCATGTTCAAGACCACTGTTGATTGATGATTATGTGGGAATTTATACAACCCAATATCTTTGAGACTATCATAATTCATGAGCTGGAAATCCCTTATACTGCTCAAATAACATAGTGTAACATCAGTTGTGGGACATTGTTTCACTTAACAATCTCATTTTGAAGAAAAAAACTAGATTTTGATTCCCCCAAAATGTCCCACAATGTCCCGTATGTATGGAATAATCGACCAGAAATGGCATCACATGAATTGACAGTGGAATCCATTCATGCGAATGATGCTGAAGAGTGAATTACCCCATATGGTGGTTCGAACACTAGAAGCCACAACTCAGGTTTGTCTGGAAATAGGGTACCCCACGGTATCCCCAAATCCATCCGTTGATCATCATTTTCCCTATTCAATGTTCTTTTTGTGGGCATATCACGGCATGTCCCATTTTCAGACACGCCCGTTCAACATCATGCTGTTGGCGAAATTCCCATTGATTCCCATTCTCATTAACCCTCATTAGTTCTTATTAATTGATATTAATTGCCGTAGTATCCTATATTTTCCCAGCATATAGCATAATCTCCCTCTATATCCCTCTATTGATGTTAGTTCAACCATCCATTCTGGCGCCGTCCAGCGTAGCGTCCACAAACGAGGCTGGACGGCCTGATCGATCGGCAAACCTCTGGAAGAATTGCGGAACGCGATCCAACGTTGGAAGCAGTGGATGCAGTGACTTGGGCCCCGGACGCGTTGACTTTGGGAGCTGAGTAGATATATATCCATAGTTGACTATGCCATGGTAGTATATATATATATAACTTCGGATATTATATATATATACAAAGGTTTTTTAAATAGTGGAACATGTCCCATTTGGAGTAGATGAAGCAGTGCGTTGAGAGCCACTACCGTTATACCATCGTTGATTGTTATAAAAGGGGTTGCAAAAAAAGGGATTATGATCGCCCAGTCAGTAGGAAAAGCTATCAACCAACTAGCCTGGCTCAGTTGACTTTAGGATGGAAAACCTTCCATCTGTTAATGGCCATGTGTAGATATGTTAATGGGTTTCGGAATTCATGATCTACACATGGCTGGTTACACATTTTTATGGCAGTGGAAAATCCATCATTTCGTGTGTGGATTTCCCAGCCTCATCATGAAACGCTGATTTTTTGGAGACCCAATTTAGCGCTTATCAACCCAAAACAAAGGGCCCAGTCGAAATACAGTTTATTTACCCATCCCAAATGGTGGATCTTTCCATAGTTAAACGTTTACCAGAGGGTAAACCTCCATTTTCCTATGGTTTTCCTATGGTGTTCCCATTTTACTATGGTTTTCCTATGGTTTTAGCCATCTGGCCTTGAAGAAGTTTGCGCATCCATCGGGGGCCCAGCCCAATTATCTCCTGGTCATTTGGGGCTGCCCTGGGCTGCCCAGGTCTGTGGCTGGCTCAGTGGATCCCGAGCGTTGCCAATGGACATGTTGACCACTGAGGCGACAGAGACTCGTTGTTTTTGGATGTTTTCCAGTTCCTGGTTTTGAAACATGAGTTACATCAATACTGTATGTATTCATATAGGTTTATAGGTGTTTATAACATATTATAATATTTATAACTTATATGCATTATGTAATAATCTGTTGAATTCTATTCACTTAGTTCGTAGCACTGCTTGGGCAGGAAGAAGTCAAACGCGCTGGTGAGGAAGCCAAATGGTTGCAGCCTGAGACAGATCCTAATGCCAGTTGTTGCTGGTTAATATTTCATTTTTGGCCAATCACAGTTGTTAATATATTATAATTGTATTACTGTATATGTGTGTATATCACATAGATAAGATTAGATGTTGATCTAGATTAGATTAGGCTAGATGACAGATAGCTGTGTATATATACCCTATAAGTCCAAAGACTAGACAAAGTCTAGTCGTTCCGGGGAAGACTAAGATGTGTCACCCTAGACTAAGATATGTCACCCTAGACTAGGATATGATACCCAAGGGTTCTGGGGTAATAGTCCTTTCGATATACGACTCAACCATCTAGGAAGATGTCACCAAAGGGTTCCTCATCACCCAGCACTTTCACATATCACCTTTTCCACCTTTGCGCGACATCATTTGCGTTTGGCAGCTGATTTGTTCAACCTCAGATACACAGCCAGTTTGAAAACAAAGCTTTCTGTTCAATGTCACGGTGTTGGATGTACCCATCAACATCAAATTGCAATTGGGTGGCCGTTTCATCTTAAATTTTGCATGGAGCATCCTGGAAGGAACGATTTAGGAGGCAGAAGTAAATTAAGAAATTGCCAAAATGAAAATGCCAATCGAGTGAACTGCGAGTCCTGAGTTTGGCGGCCTTGAGAAGCCAAGATTTTTGATGAGAAGGATGTGCACGTAGTGCCATTTCTCAGATGAGCAAACAGTTTCAGCACAGCAACAGCCACCGATTCATCTGTGATTCTGTTGGGCTACCGGGGTAGATAGGCACTAATGAGCCATGAGTTTCAGCACTTGATAGATCTACCAACCTTTCATGCAGCTGAACTATGCGGCCATGCGTCGCTTCAACCAACCCATGGCATCCTCATCGACAAATGTGTGTTCGTGTCGAACATTGCATCCTTGGCCGCATCGGTGGCGACTTGAAGGATAATGGACGGACAGGCCGGACAAACCCAAACTCTAGACCAGTCACTCGATGGATCAAAATATTTTAGCCCAGTTTCTCAACAGATAAAGTTGACGATTCAGGTGGGCAAAGGCCTAGCAGCAATAATTACATGCAAGTTAAGTTGCATGTACAGTTAGTTGCATGTACATGCACACAAATGTGCACAAAAAATCTGGCAAATACGCGCCCAGGCACATGTAGTTTTGGTTTGACAAAGAAGTGGGGTTTCATCATCCTGAGTTCCAGATGTATCAAGCTTCAATCATCCAGCAGGCTTCTGTCGTGCATATGTGACCAAAAAAAACAAATATGTGCCTATAGGATCTGAGCCAGCACTCTGTGCTTTGCAGCAACAATCTCTTAACACCTCTGTCCTCTGACATGTTTCTTCTCATTTTATTTATCCCATCTCACTGTGTTCAAACTCTGCTGACCGCATCCCGTACAGAAATGATTTTGCACTTGCTTTTGTGATTTGTTTTTTGAGATCAATGCCTTGTGGCTTTGGGTCTACTAGCAACTGAAGATCTGCAGTAAACCGGCAACAACTGATTCCCATGAATAAACAGCTACTTGCCACGAATGTAACCTGAGAACATGCACAAACGCATGTTTTTTTGACACCAAGTTGCGCGATTGATTTCCTCGTCAAATGAAGAAATGTCTCGCAAAAGCGAATGCCTTCTCGGTAAACACGTTTCGCCTGTTGCCCAGTCCTGAGATCTGGCAGAGGGACGTAACAACTATCTTGGAAAAAACTCTTATGCCCTGCTGACACAGGGTCAGTGGCCCCGGGTGCTGCGAGCTTTTGATAAGTACCCTAAACACACAGTAAAAATGTTGGCACTATAGGAGTCAATAGCACTCAGCAAAAAATATGGTGTACGCAAATCGTTCATCATCAGCCCAGCTTCAAAAATCTGGGATACCGTTCAATGAGGCCAAACCACCGTGCCAGTGAACCCCTGAGTTGTTGTTTGGGCAGCAATTGGAATATACAAAGTATCCAGCAATGGAGCAGTGGATCCAAAGCAACATGTGATGATAACATGAATCAAACCGAATGCTTCTCAAACAAAATGACTGTATCGACCAGGAAACACACATATGCTCATAGCAGGGATCCTGTCATCTAGCGCTTGTGATTGGGGATCGTGGGAAGCCTCCAAAAGTTCAAATGCCAGCCATTCAGTGATGCATCGGCCATTGTATGCCTTTGCTGTCAACAGAACTTCGCCACTAGCTTTGCATACCTCATGCGCATGAAGCAGCCAGGGTTGAAAGTTTCTCAAATCCCAAAGCTATCACAATTTTGCTGAGTCTATGAAGGACAGACATGAAAAATCTTAAACCAGCTGTAAACTTTGGTCAAGGTTTCCATTTTCTCTGTGAATGGAGGCTGCGAGCACTGAATCAAGCGTGACCTGCAGAACTCCTTGAAGCGCTTGAATGCAACATCTAGCCGCTGCTGCACAGAACCGTTCACATCACCAAACCATCCAATTTCCAGCAAGCCCATCCTGATTGGACAACATTGTCGGACTTCAAAATTCGCACTAGCTTGCGCAAGGACAAAATTGGTTTTGGGAACTAAAACCAACACCCGTGCTGAACTAGCTAAGCCACAAACATCCTCCGTTGACACCAAATGCGAGGCCAAGATTGATAGTATGCATTGAACAGAACTTCAATGTGGTGGGATGAAAATCTCGAAGGCAAATTAGCGGGCCTTGGCTGGGCAAGAGCTGGACTGAAACAGATAACTCAATGAAGGCCTTGAATGGCAATCCTCAAGAAGAAATTAAAAAATGCTATTGCCATCTTGGGTGCATGGATGATCTTCCGGCATTTGCTGGAGCAGAAAATCAACCAATGAATATTGTTTCCCCCACAGTGGAGATGTTTCACTAACATCATAGAAACGGTCCGGCCCAGAGTTCCAAGCAGGGCATTGAAAACAAACTGGCATGTTGGCCCCGCCAGCCCAGCTAGAAAAGAACCTGAGAAGCTGCTTGTGATAGCTCCAGTCCGCACGGACTTCTGTTACAGCGAACTTCATGCCACCACAAATCTCGGTACCTGCGCGTTCTTTCTGTTTCCCTTCCAGCACCTCACCATTCGGCCCACTGCTTGGGTAAAGGCCGTCGTGCAGCAAATTGAGAGACCACACCAGCCGATGGTAGATGCAATTTAATGTATAGTGTTTGTACAACTCATCTTCTCTGATGGCACACAGCAACCACCGGGAGGCTCTAACGCTTTTTGGGCGCCACAAGGGAGCATTTAACCAGATACCAATCATCTTTTCTGGCTTTTGAAAGGACACTTGTCGTAGTTTTGCCCCATCCCCGTGTAAACCCAGTGGGATGTGTCGATTTGTCGCTGTGGTGCCCATTGCCCAACGTGATTTGACTTCCCAATGGTGGGACCAAAAATTTTCAATGTCATCATAGTTGACTGCCACTCCAGCTTCGCAAAACATGTACTTGACAACCGAGAAAGGCTCTAACATCTTGAGCTCTTTCATCTCATAGGGAGGATCCAGCTTGTCATTTGCCATAGGAACACGGATCGTTATTGTTTCCTTGGTCAAACAACAACTCTAGAAACCCAAGCAGGATGCACAGAAAATTCAATCAGTATCGTAGAATACTCTTTGCCCCCAAGGTTGGCTTTCTGAATGATTTTGCCTGCGCATGAAAACAAATGCGGCGCGACATGCGCCAAGCCACCACAGGTATCCTACAGAAAGACCAGAAATCACGGCTGCAGTTGCCAGGGGTCTTTGATCCCAACTGACGGGTCATTGGGTGGCTGAACTCTTTTGCCTCCTCAGTGCACCATGTACTGAGCCAAAGGACATGATGTTGAGACGTTGAAATATCGATCTGTTGGTATCAATTGTGCATTCAATCATTTGATTTTGAGTGCCATCTGCCTGACATGCTGGTTACCACTTGCGAAGCAGCGAAAAAAAACATACCATACTGGTTACCACGTGCGAAGCAGCGACAACACATATCATACTAGCTAGCTAGGCTCAAAACATCTCAAAACTCAATATTTTGATCCATCTAGTGTCTGGACCTGACAGTGGAATGCATTGTGGGATTGGGGTAAGTGCACTGGACCAAGAAATAGTGCGGCTGGGCGTCATTGACATGAGCCCTCACTCCCCTCATAGCACGGCTGATGCTAGACACCTCTGGCAAAGGACCCACGGAGACGGAAACACCAACATCAATCGATCTATCAAATCTAGAATATATGCATGTTAACATTGTTTTTATCCCCAAATGGCACCAATATTAGTTTGGATCAAATAAATGTTTTGCAAAACAAAAATAATTTCATGGATTTGGGGTCACCGATGAAGAGATTTTTTTCCGTAAGCACGGTATGGACACCTATTGGGTCAATCAGAATCCTTCCATAAACAATGATGTTGCATGCCTCAATAGATTCTCAGGATATCATTTTTGGGGGGGAAACAATAGAAGGTAGCGACCATGTCCGACATTGGGACCGCAACAACTGAGCAGTGTTCAAAACCCAGTGTCTTTTAGTGACTGGTTGAAAGTGATTCCCACAATGGATTACGATAATCCCCATTATATTGGGTTATATATAATTTTAATATACTCTAATATATTTATTAATATTTATAAACTTACAAAATGTAGGAAAACTGGTCAATTGTTGCCTCACGTTGCCGGCTTGGCCAAGGTACTCCAGAAGCCACATCGTCAATGGCATTGAGAACGACATAGGCCTCACCATCACCTGCGTGTGGGCAAAATTCGGGTTTACCACCTGTTGGATTTTCAATCCTTTTTGACAAGCCAAGAACAATACAATTGAAAAATATTTCCAAGAGGGCTTAAATGATGATTTCTCCATAATATATTACAAGTTTCCTCCGTTGCTATTTTTTGGGGTTACTTAACACCCTTGCAGAGATCACAAATGGGATCACATCGGCATCAATCATGCAGTGTTGATTTTTTGCCATCCCTGCGAACACGTTTCGCGAAGGTTCGTCAAGACATCAAGTCCCTCAAAAGCTGGAGACACATTTCCGTTGGTTTCAAAGCTCCATTCCATGGAAACAAACTGAATCCTTTTTTTGACTCAACTTCACTTGCCACATAGGACCCCCACTCAAAGAAAACGCAAATACTATTATCTGATCTGATGTCGTTCAGGGCCTGCCAAAAATGAAATTGATATGATTGTTTGTTCTTTGTGAGCCATGGGCATCCCGGTGGCATCCCCCACGTATCCAAAAACTACATCGAGCTGGATACCAACCCTTTCATTTCAACTTCGGAGAAATCCTCCGGGCCCAACCAACCATGTTTTCAAACACCAGGGTTTTCATCCCAATTGTCCAGCGTCTTTGCAAGCTTTGAACTGGCGAATTGCCGTTTCAGCATCGGTCACTCGATTGGGAATCTCAGTCACCTCAACCAAAGGTTGCAAACAAATACTGGGGAACAAACCATCAATGTTCACAGAATGTTTCTGAATGTTGCGGCGTTGAATGAAGAAATAAAAACTAACATGCACAGGCATGTGATTTTTGGGGATATGACTGCATCCTTGTCCACTGCATCCTGCAGGCTTGTCCTGGCAGACATCAGTGGCTTCTTCTGCTCGGACACGACCAACAGGGCGGCGTCTCGGAATCCAGCAGACCTTGGATCCCGGCAGCAACAGCATTATAAGGGGTGGCATAATATCATGACTATTAGCGTAATTTGTGGTGTAAAGATCCACATGAGATCGATATCGATTATATAGGATAATTTGTGATAACATTTCTGGTGGTTATCTCCATTGGTCCATTGGTATCCGTTTATATATCATATCCCATATATAATATATTACACATTATACTCCACAGGGTATAGGTATCTCATAGAATCCCTGAGAAATTGAAATGGAAGGATTTCAGGAGCCACTACAAACTTGGGCTGGGTGATGTGAAAAACCCAACAATAAACCCCACCCAATGGACACCCAATAGAGGGTGAGCATTCGGTGTACCGCCATTTGGGATGACGCCACATAATTTTGACTGGTTATTTTACCAACAAAATGGATTGGTTGAATGTGGTCAGCATATGGGATTGTCCCTGAAAGCTTGAAATGTGGGATGGCAAATCCCAAAGAAGACATGTTGATGATCTTAAAAATACAGATTAATACATACCCTCTGGTAATTTAACATAGCTATTGAAAATGGCCATTTATAGCAGATTTTCCCATTAGAAATTACCATTTTCAATAGCTATGTTGAATACCAGAGGGTAGTAAACATGAAATGGGGCGAAACCATGGTACCCTGGTGGGCTCGAAAAAAGCTAGCAGCTAGTAACTATGTAACTCATAACTCTTAATCACTTTGACGATCGATACCCATACCCGAGCAATGAAATACAAATTGTATGTTCATGCATTATATTAATTCGGGTGCATCCGTATGGTCATTACGTAATCTCTTTAGGCACCCCTAAACTCAAGGTGGTGTATGTTCACCCATTCATTCTGAAAAACGGTTCTCTGGTTTACACCATGGACCATTCATTGAGTGGTTTACGAAACCCAAAACAAACCAACATTTACCAACATCGGGATTCTGATAAGATCATTTTCTTTTGGATGGTTGGAACATGTTGGAACCCCCATTATTTCTGAAATCCATATCCAACCGCATTTTTGGGATAATTGGACCAATTTTGTTGGTGATCCTGCCGGTATAGCTCCCAATGACCTATTCCCAATACCCCGTACACTGAGTGAGTGGCCTGTCTTGGGAAAAAAAAACAACCTTTTGAATGCAACCAAGGTTGCATGCTCTGAGCCTTTGCTTCTTTCTTGGCGAGATCTTGGATGGCTTGCTGAAGCTGATTCAGCACCTGGGTGAACAAATATGATCTGGGCGGTTTGTCTCCAAATTGGATCAGAAATTCCCCAATCATGATAAGCTTTTGTCAAATTTGATTGATGGGACGTTTTACCATCCGATTCTGGAATATGATTGCAGTGGGACTTCACCATACTGGACCACAAAACCGACAGAGAAAAAAGGGAATCGGGAATCTAATAAACAGCTAGCTAGCATATAATGAAAAAATCGTGGGCTTTGGCAATTGATTGCATGCACACATGCAGGCAATGTTTTGAGTTTGCAAGCAAATCATACTAGCTACATCCAGGTACTATATGGCCCTAACCCCATGTCCCTGGCCTTTTTGCCACTTGCTCGTACCTTTTGCTTGTCCTTTTCGACCTGCTGCTTTTGCTCCTTCTCGGCTTTCTTCTTCTCATTCTCCTGGTCTTTTTGACGCTTCTTTTCTGCTTGTTCCTCTTCCTTTTGTCGTTTCTTCTCTGCTTGCTCTTCTGCCTTCTTCCTATCCTTCTCGGCCTTTTGAATCGCCGCCTTCGATAGCCTTGTCGCTCCTGAAGGTGAGGACTCTCGCTTGGACTTGCCCTCCTTTTTGCCCTTCTTGCTTTTCTTCGACTTCTTGGTGACCTTGGTGCCTGCCTTTCTGGATTTCGAAGACAAACTGTCTGAATCCTGACTGCTCTTGCTCGATTGGCTGCTGGAACTGCTGGGAGAGCTCTTGCTGGACGAGGTGGATCTCCTTCGTCTCTTCCTTTTGTCCTTCTTCTTCTTGTCTTTGCTTCGGCCACGTCCATGGGAATCTTTCCGGGACACTTCCAACATCTTGCTGATCAGCACGTCCTCGGTGTCGGTTTCGAAGGACTCATCCCAGCAAAGATAGAGGCGGAGATCTGCTCGCTTGGGCAACTCTGGGTGATCCCTCACCTGTGTGCGACGCAAAGCAGGGTCGCTTTCTTTGGCATGGATCAGCTCATCAGCCGTCACCTCACATCCGTATTTCTTCACGATGTCAGCTCGGAGCATCCACCGCCGAGCCCCAGTTTTGGAGCCTTTGATGGTGGAGCGGGCTTGTACCACAAGTTGCGAAGTCTCCCACTGGCCACCAGCCTGGACCCACTGCTCATAGAGGACCTGCAGCATCTCATTCTTGTTGGTGCCTTGCGGCGGTGCTATATTTCTAGTATGTCTTTGCACACATGTACGTATTGTGCGTGTGTGCGTGCGTGTGTGTGTGTGCGTGTGTATGTGTTGCTATAATTATAATATTTGCTTGCGTCCATGCACCATGCAAAATACATAAGACGGATTCATCATACCCACAATAGTTAGAACTCCAAGCTGCTCGCACGTGCGTTGGCAGCCATAGAACGAACTTCAGGAGGGCTCCTTGAGCCTTGGATGGGGTATGATGGAAAAGGAAAGGTATGTTAGAAGTTTCTAAATGTTTTCTAAATTTTAACCACACACAGTGCATTATATGTAGTACATCTATGTGCAGATTCATATTGAATTCACATATGATCGCATAAGCCCCGTACTAACCAACGTTCTGTAGAAACTTTGTTTCTTCCGGTGGACTGCCAACTGTTCTTTGGTTCTCTTCTTCGGTCCCTTTGAAACCATGGCTAGGTGGGTTTCTGTCGGAATATCTTCCAAGTCCTTGTGAGGGTTCGGGATCTCCTCGTCACTGCTCTCTTCATCTTTGGCCTTCTCGGTGTCACCCTTTGCCTTCTCGGTGTCACCCTTGGCATTCTCGAGGGCGCCATGTGACCTGGTCACACTGCATGGCGGTGGAGTTGGAGGTGACATGTCATTGGTGTGGGATCGGTTCAAGGCATCGGCAACAGCTTCCATTGAAGAGCTTTTTCTGACAATTGCTGGCTCTGGTTTCGGTTGCTCTGGCTCTGGTTTCGGGTGCTGTGGCTCTGGTTTCGGCTGCTGTGTTGCAACCTGGGGAGTGGCAACAGGACGCTTCTTTCCATCCTCACCACTCTTGCTCTGATTGACATTGGGCTCCTTCACTTTGATCGTCTTCTCTGTCTTCGCGTTCATCCTTGTAGCTTTCATCTTCTCCTCCTTCGTTTCTTTTGCCAAGTGTTCTCTGAGCCTGGCCTCTTTGGCCAAACCCTCCTTATCCTTGGCTTCCTGTTCTCTCATCTCTTCTGCCAGCTGCTCTTGGACCTGTGCATCTTTGACTTTCTGAACTTCCATCTCCGACTCCGGCTTTGATTGCTCCTTTTCCTTGGTGCTGTTCTGTTCATCATAACGAAGCGTGTCCTCAACCAAGGTGTCATCACAGGCATCATCGGATTGCCAAAGCTTTGCACCAACGGCTTCCAAGTCAGTGGTGGCATTGCTTTCAATCTCCATCTCGTCAAAGTTGAGCTCACGGGGGCAAAAGTCACTTCCATCATCGCCTTCATCTTCAGAGATAGCCAGCTGAGCCCTTGCCTGAGCCCTGTCAGCCTTTGTCTCTACCTTGTCTGCATTCTTCGCTGTCTCTGCCTTGTCTGCACTCTTCGCTCTCTCTGCCTTATCTGCATTCTTCGCTGTCTCTGCCTTCTTGTCTGCATTCTTCGCTCTCTCTGCCTTATCTGCATTCTTCACTGTCTCTGCCTTCTTGTCTGCATTCTTCGCTGTCTCTTCCGTATCTACCTTCTTCGCTCTCTTTGCCTTGTCTGCATTCTTCGCTGTCTCTGCCTTGTCTGCATCGTTGGCAGTCATGGCGTTCTTTTCTTTCTTTGTTTTCTTCTCTTTCTTGGTTTTCTCTGGCTTGTCGTCTTTCCCAACTTCATATGCAGGAGTCCCAGGAACATCTTCACCGAGCACTAAGGTGTCCTGGCTGTCCATCTGTTGAAAGTCAGCCTCCTTTCCTCTCTTCAACCGTTTGGTCGGTCGGTCGCTGTCCAACTTGTCCAACTCTGCAAGCGCAGTGGTGGCTTCAGTCACTGCAGTGTCATCAGCTTTTGTCCCTGCATCGTGTCCTGCATGGGTGGTAGGTGGATTACATACTGTGTAGTCACGGGCGTGTGTCTGTGCGTGTTTGTGTGTGTGATTCATATTCTATCAAAGTTATGACACGTGTGTGTGTGCGCGCGCATGCACATGCACATCTTGTAGTATTTATCGAAGCGGGTCAGGTGAAATTCATGGGCGTCGATGATGGAGATATGAAAATTTTCATGTAGTAAATAGAGTAAATAGTAGTGATTCATTTCATATGTTTGCACAACTACAGGAGTGCAGCTGCTGAATACCCTAAGTGGAAAAATGATACCATTTGGTACAACAAAGGTTGTTTACCATGCCCAGCTTTGTGTCAACAAAGTCCATCATTTTGGAATGACCGATTGACATTTTTAACTTAGCCAATCCCCACCAGATCATGCCATGGACCTACCAAAACAAGAGTTCATGTGGCACTAGACAAAATCTAGGCCTAAGATGGAAACCAGTTACTCTCAAAAAATGTGTTGATACATTGATAAAAATTTTTACTTGACAATCGACAACCTGTCCCAACCCGGGGGTAAAAATTGGATGGAGTCCTTCTGCGTTTTCCTCAGGCTTCGAGCACCGCAGTTGCCTTGCTGCAGCCTTAAGCAAGGCCGCTTGGACTGGGTCGGAAAGCCCCACGGCCAGCTGTTGGTTCTTCTTGCCCATTGCAATTGCTCTAAGGGCAGAGTCCCCAACAACACCAGTTTTTTTTTGAGCCCTCCATCCAGTATTGCAAATATTGTGAAAGGGATTCCTAACACCACTGGCGAATCTCTTTGTTAACACGTTCAGAAACCCAAAACAAACATTATTTGCTGGTGTTTTGTGTCTTGACCTGGGTGTCAAACCTTCACCTGCACTGATTGGATTGACAGCAGCCGTCAAGAAATGAATCCCAAATGAACCCCAAATGAACCCATATCAACCTCATTTTTTCGAAAATTTCAGGGTTTGGAACCACTTTTGGGGGGTGACAAACCACGGTCCTTCCACGCCAAAGTCTGGTCTTTCCACGCCAAAGTCTAGTCGTTCCACGGTTGCGCCACGGTGGCGCCACGGTCCAACATTTTTGGACCAGACCATAAATTGCTTTGGCCGGGAAGGAACCAGTGTGAACGAATATGAACCAGTTGATTTCAAAAAAACGTGTGAAGGTTATGTTTTTTTTGCATCTTAATATTTTCTTAGCTGATTGACAATTCAAATTGCCTTCCCTGACTGAAAAACTGCGCTTACAAGCACAGTTGATAACTTGGAATTGTTTTTGCATTTCATCGGAACACCTTTTAATTAGTCACAGTCCAATCCAATGGGAATAGTAGGCAGGTAGTTGCCTAAGTCCCTCTGCTCCTGCAAGAAGTCCCTGATCGGGCCCAGGTCTGCCCATGCCCACTGCTTCGAATCGATGCTCGGCGCCTGGGCTGATAGGCATATGTGGGCCTAGACCTACTTGTTTAAATCCTGGTATATAGATATGCTGATCTTCACAGCCAGTGGCATAAAAGTAAAGAACAACTGTGATGGAATGGAGATTTAGTGGTGCCCAAGTACTGGGGGAGTACGGGGTGCCATCTCAGAAAGTGAACCATACAGGCTTACAGCACTAGTGGTGGATTTAAAATCGTATGACAGTTTCAGGAATATACAATACGGGCCCACCGGAACAGAACCCAATGAAGATGGTTTGAACTGAAGGTGTAAATAATCAAAACCCATTTTTGCTATTTATTGTTCCTGGGTTTTGTCGAAATTGCGTGGCCCTCCCGAGTTCAAAATTTTGAAGATACCCCTTCCCATGGTAACCCCTCACCTGTAGTCAGATGGAAATAGGCGGTATAGGTCACAATTGGGTACCCGATTGAATACCCACATTAGATGGTTGAGATTGACAGTATACTTTGAAAATCTCATGGTTCCATAGGGCATAAATTTTGACCTATACCGACCTTTCAAAATACATCAAATATAGTTTTCTTTGAAACCATGGGCTGATACTGGATCTCTTCATCTTAGGGGTCCATAGTCAAAAATCCTATTACTGTAGCAGGGGGGCACCTGTTCAGAAGGTGAGGATTTATTGTTTGTTGTGGATAACTGGCCAACTATCCCAAGGACAATTTGTTTCAAACTTTCCCGGACTAAAAAGAGATGAGACACCATAATTGTTTGGGACTAGCTACTGTTACAGGGGTCTTGGCCAAGAAGCTTGACGAAAGAGTTTCAGCAACTCTTTCTGTGAAGGCTCCTTTGGGAAACGTTTTGCCACGCATTCGCGGAGAGCTCCTTTGTTCTTTGCCTAGGGAAGGATAGAACCCCAGCCACGACCAAGACAGTGACTTTCCCACTAAAACATTGTTGTTTCCCCATGTCATCATCATGTTGAATCCGAGCTACAATATATGAGAGGTGAAGCCTGGCCACTTCCTTTCCATACCCTCTAGGATATACTTGTGAAGCTTTGAGTGCTTTTGTGCCCTGCCTTAGCTGAGAAATGGTGCAAACAGCTACGGACTTCCGACCACCATGAGTTTCAAAGATCTTCTCAAGTGAGGAAAAAAATGGATTCCAAACTCTTTCATTGAAGACAACAACAATCCCCTGAACAGTGGACTAATGATATTGTTTCAAGCTTTGCATTTGGGGAAGAAAGCAAAAATCACAAATCAAACTTCAGTGATAGCTGTCTCGTTCTCCATAAATTTGGCTAAGACATGGACACTCTCTTTTTGCCATGTCGATCCCGGTAGACTTTCACCAGGGATATACCCTTTTTTTGCAAGCGTTTCTTCAGCTTCTCCCGTTGAGCCTTCGTGAGCTTTCGATACAAGCCTCCAGGCCAAGGCCTTGGTAATGCGCCAAGGTTTCAACGCATAATACTCGCTTGGAGATGGTGACATTTAAGTTGGCATGTTGAAACATGTCCTTACTCAGTGAGATTCCTACCAGAAAAAAGTACGCAAATTTCTTTGGGGTCCTTAGGGGGCGAGTAAATGTTTTATTGTTGGTGCCAAGAACACACTTGACAAATTAACATAAATTGAGTTCATGGCAACTCCAAATCAATTTCAACACATCCTGCGACATATGCAAAATCCTACTTACCTTGAATGTTCAAAACATGCCCAGGGTGAAGCCAACAGCATGTGCAAGATCTCAGGACCGAGACTTCACTTGCTTCACTGGGGGGCCGCACGCTGTTCCAAATAAGAGACTTGGCTTCGGTGAGTAGCCACCCCAGCTTCCCATGGACCTGGAATCGAGAGGGGCCGGTGACTGGGAAAGGCCAATTCATGGAATCATACTAATCGGGCCAATTTCAACAAGTGACCTGACAGGTTCTTATTAGGAGACCAAAAGCGGCTTTCAGGTCACTTGTTGAAATTGGCTTCTGACCTATCGTTGGTGGTCTTGCATTACATGTCTCATAGCCCGATTGGCTTCATCAAGTGCTTGTGGAGAAAGAGATTTCAAAAGATTTTCTTGGATGCTTTCAAACAGGGCTGGTGCATATCAGAACAAATAAGAGGCAAACATACTGGTCTGTCGCCAGGCCAATCCAAATAGCTTTGCCAGTAGCTGCGAGAATCTCACAAACGGCCGAAACCAGGGCATAAGTGAAGATCTTGGCTGCTCCACCAGAGAGTACAAGTATCGGCAGGCCGCCAACATCAGCACTAGAACCAGTCGACATGTTATCCTCGGCAGGGCCACGGAGCTACAGTACTACATGTCGAATAAACACATGTGGGAAAAACAACAAACAGGGCCACGGAGCTACATGCCGAATAGACACATGTGGGAAAAACAACAGACGATAAGCAACCCAACATGTTTTGCCTTTGAACCCTGGAAATTCAATTCACTCCATGACTTTTTTTTCCATGCTCAAATAAATTCTATTAAGATGATTTGTGGTTGATTTGTGTCTGGTGTTTGATCAGATCCAAATAATATTGAATCCAAGAAACAAGTTGCCAGAAGCTACAGATGGGATGGAGGTATCACCAGCTGGTGAATCACGCGACCGTTTGGCTGTCGCGCGATTCACCCACACCCAAGAACTGCAGGGCGGACCACAGTGAATCAACCCGTCAGCCTGTGTCCGTAACACGAGCTGAATCAACTTCAGGAATCCCCTCCTTAGTGGACAGAGGTGGGCCAGCCCACCCAAACACAGCCAGTTCAGCTTATGTTCCAATATAGAATGTTTTTTCCCAGCTAGGAAATTCCATTTAGTTTGGGGATGTTGGAATAGCGAAAAATTAATTCCAATTATCTTCCCATTACATTCCAAGTGTGTCCATATCCCAATATATACCAATTATATCCCAATATATCCCGATTATATCCCTATGGACATTGATTGCTAGCATGGGTGTATTCACACTATTGATATAAATTACGAAGTGCTCATATGAATGGGACGGTACTTACCCTTAATTTTGGGGTACTTTTTGCGTACTAATTCTCACCCACAGGCCACCAACTTCATACCATGTACAATGTAGCCAAAGCTTCGTGCTCGTAATGTCGTTTGACCTTTGATGTGCTTCCACATCATAGAGTTCCCTGAGTCAGCCCGGCCATGTGGACAAATCTAAGGAACAGCTACGCTGCTATGACGTTCTGGAAAACACTGGAGCTTTCAGCATCTCAGGGGCGCGCCCACGAGCACCTTGATCGCCTGAGTGTGGCTGGCTGGTGAAAACTAAAGGAACGTCTCTAGCCAGGGTGGGGGGGCATCCAAAGAATTGGGATAGATAATATGTTGTAATGATTGGGAATGCAAATCATTTCATACATAAAATCTCAAACGGCCTACGAGTCGTTAGATAGACTGCTCGGACAATCATTTTTGGGCAAAAGCTGCAAATTATTGTCAACTGTAGCATGAGGCAAGGACGGAATCCCTGAGATACTGAAGCTTTGCCGCTGAAGACATCCACGTAGTCCAATGTCTGGGCAAAGGGACTCAAAAGCATTTTGTGCATGCCGTCAGCCTGTCTATGCTATCCCCTTGAAGGTTGATTTTGTCTTACTTGTGCTTTTGTCTAATTAGTGAATATTTTTTGAGAAGCATCAGCTGAAGTACACACGAGAAACCATTCCTGAGTTCCCAACCCTGGATGAGACACTCTCGGCTGTGTTCTGGCACACAAAGTCCACGCAATGCAACCTTTGGCATGGGCAGTCAAAACCAGAAAACATAGTATATTACAACAGGTGTTTTTACTTAGGTGGTGGTCAGGCTGCGCAACCCTAACAATTTTAACATATTTGAGGCAAGTAGCATCAGTATCGGGCATCCCAAATTGAGTAACATGGCGATAGCCCTTGGAGACATTGCCAAGGGTGACTCACGCCAGCGATTGTTCGCAGGAGGCATGGTTGAACTGTAAGTGGGGCAGATGTGAAACTTTGGCAACCCACTTCGCTTGATCCAATCACCACATTAGATTGAGTAAAAAGAAAAAAGGCCAACCCTTCTACCATACCACATAGCAGCCACTGTGGCCATATTACAAGACAGCATGCAGTTGATTCACAACAGGTAGCTTTTGCAACACGACCGTCGAAAGCTCTATTGATGCCCCAAACCAGATTTCACCGGCAAGCATTTGCCAGCGCGCACAGGACAGCAGCACCCAAACTGAGCAGGCTCAGCGAAGCCGCATCACAAAGATCTATTTTAGACTGCAACAACAACAGCAACAACACAAAGATTATTTTTTATTATACGATGTTCTACTGTATGTCTTATGGATATATTGTTTCTTGTTGATGAATCAGCCCAGCCAGCACTGCCAGTCCCTACAGGTGATGCTCAGGTGATACTCCCATATCAGTTAGTTTCGGTTTCCATGGTCGACGCCAAGGCTTTCCAACCAGCCACCATCATGGCGATTCGCCACCTTAGCCGTGCCATTGGAAATGTATGATCTATGTGTTAGGTTTGCAGATGTTTGCAGCATTGTGATAAGTCCACATTACTGAATGCCCGGGTCCCGTTTTCTTTAGTTTTGTGATTTAGTAATACAATCATTTTTTTGGTGGGTGGTAGGCCGAATTTGCGCTGGATTGTGCCAAACTGTGGCAAACTGTGGCCCCAACGCTTCACAGACTCCGCCAAATTTTGCCCATCCTAGGCTGACACCTTCCAGCTTGTTGACCTCAGCGAGCATGCGCCAGCACATGGACCGAAGCTTAGGGAGTGAGGCTTGGCTGAGAAGTGAGCTCCAGCACACTACAACAAAAACATATTTCATTTCTGTTGTTCCATGTTGTTCCCATGCTTCTTGGTCGAACGATACCTACAACAACCAAGCCGAAAGACTGACACTGGTAGTGGGGCCAAACTCCGCTCATTGATCGACTTTGCACGGGATGCGGGCACTTTGTAGACGTAGAATGTCGCCCCTCTGTCCATCCTGAGGCTGACCATGTGCCTTATTAACTTATCCTTGCTCACCAAAGCTGTCTGTACTTTGTGTGTGGGACATGCAAAAAAAGATTGGCTAAGGTGCCAGCATAACGCCAATTGAACACACTGTCAAACCATCACCAGCTTGTTTCAGGTCTCCATTTGGGTGTCGAAGTGTGAAAGACCTAAAGCTCAATGGATCCGAACTGAAATCTTGAGACAACAAAGCCTTGCGATTGTGAATGGGGCCCTGCTGAGGACGTGACTTTTTGCTGGCCCAGTCTTCTGGCGGATCAAAGTGGCGCAAAGAAGGACGGGCAGCTGCAAGCAAATCCTAGCAGTGTTTACACCCTATATCGACATTATAATGATTATATATCATTCAGTCAATGCCCCCATGTAGAATATACGCGTTCAGAGTTTCAGTCCTGGGGAGTGGGTTTCTTCGCTGCTGCGTCCACTGCATTCTTGATTTGCTTGGGTGATCGTCCCTTCAGTGGTGTGTTCTTCCGCTTCTTTGGTTCTTTACCATTCTTTTTCGGCTTATTTTTCTCAGGGGTACCACAGACAGCTTCCTGTGAAGAAGATATCCTCACTGGCTTTTCGTCCCCATCGGAATCTGAGTTTTCTTTGCTGCTTTCCTTGCTGCTTTTGGCAGGTGCATGGTCGGCTGCTGGTTTGTCATCATCTCCTTTCTCCTCAGCCTTTGCTTCATGTGGTGCCTCTGTTGTTTCAGTTGGCTTCCCCCTCCCCTTTCCTCGAGACCTGCCTTTCCCTTTGCCTTTGCCCCTCCCCCGCCCACGGCCCTTTCTGTTGCCCCTGGGCATGCCATCATCGTATGCCTCCTCTTTGTATTTTGCATCAGAATCATCATCCTGTTCATCCTTGGGATCTCCTTTCGCTTTTGCGGCCTTTTTCAGTTGCCTCTGAGCCTGACTCGAAATCAAAAACTTCACTGGGAGAATTGTTTCTTTTTCAATGGTGCAAGTTGCATCGAGAAATTGAAACTAATGAAATTGTGGGACTACATGTGAGAATCCACCATGAATGAACGACCACCTAGCCTGCACCAAGCCATCTGCATGCAAATTGTTTGTAGATTTCATCCTGTGAATCTGTGCAAAAACTTGGGCTCGAAGTGAGCTATCTGGGAGCTTGGCAATTTCCGGTGTGAGAGGTCGGGTATCCTGGCGTGGCGGACCGAGGATCTTATCCACACCAAGTCACAGGGATTGACAACTAGCACATATCATAGATAAAAAGTGTCATGACAAGAAGCAACAGTGAGGCGCTAATCAAAATGATCAATGGGGTTGGTCCTTGTGCGCACCCGTAGTGCTTTGCGAAGGCTCAGCAGTAGACTTTCCCATTACGTCATCATCGTCACTATCATCAATCGTTTGTCCACCAGGTGTGTTCTCCAATTCAGTCGGTGCAACGTCTCCCGACCCTGCTCGATCAACAGACTTTGTTGGGGTTGAACCATACAGTTCTTCATGCAACTCTTCATGCAAAGTCACCGTCTTGCCCTTCTCATTTCCATCCCCCCCTTCGTCATCACTATCATCACTTTCTGAATAGTATTCGGAAGAGGGAAGGCGATCTGGAGGAGGATATGACTCTTTGGCTCTTTTTTTTTTCTTGGGTGGCTCACCCTCAGGTAACTCACGAGGTTGGGACGGTGGAACTTCTGGCGGCTGTTCTTCTCCATGTTCCTGGCACAATCCAGAAGCCCATAGCAGATTTTGAATCATCGTTGGAGAATGGGCCTATTGTTGACGGTACTATCGTGTGAGGTCAAAAAGACATTTTATTGGAAAATGGAATCATGTTGAAGATGTTGAACTACAAAATGCTACGAAATACTCACCGCTCCCTCCCCATAAATAGAAGAGTGGTTTCAAAGATATGTTGCTTCACTGTCCTGATGTGGACCCTGGTACACGCCTTCTCAGCAGGATCCAGACACTCACGGGACCTTCCATATGTTGGAATCTTCTTGCCGGAATCGTCCAACAGGCCTTTCTCCTGGGGACGGGCGTGTGCATGTTGACCTGCTTTGTTATTCCAAACTTCCCAAAGTGAATATATAGTTCTAATCACAGACTTGAGGCTTTGGAATTTCCAGTTGAAGGCGCTTAATATTCATAAAGGTTGAGGCATAGCATTGTGCTTGTTTTGGAGAGGTGTTCCAAGACACTTGTTAACAGTGAAGGGTGCAGCTTTTATTTGACTTCAACAAGCGTTCTGATAACATGGTGTGTCTTTGTGTAAACTGAACTAAAGCAACATTGATCAGTGATAAACCCCGACCCCCAAAGCCTTCAACTTCAGAAGCACTACCTGCTTCAGCTCGGCCATGTTTGAGCGACCCTGCCTCACATCGATGAACCGACGAAGGACTACAAACAGCAGAGCAATCATAATAAAATAGTAAATCCTACTGCAGTGTATCATGACACCATTCAATTCATGTCGAAAGGAAGTCTATATTAAAAATTATTTGCAAAAGTAGTGAAGGAACTATCACTCACATCCAACACCTGGGGGCTGGACCGAGCAAACTTTGTACGGACAGCCCGGTTGCACACATAGGAGGCCAGAGATCTTTGTTGGCCCGCTTCGATGATGCTCCAAGCCTGCAGGCATGTGCAAGCACCTACAACAGAATCGCAGAATTGCAGAGGCCATTTGTCATCCCACTTCTTGGCCATCGGTGGGAAGGAAAAAAGGATTTCAGGGTTAGCCCCAGGCTTCGGAAACACCCAACTATAATGCATGAAATTATGCTATAAACACAATAATCACAAAATTGATGTTGTTACATACTGTCTTGTAGTCAAAATCATGAATTACACCCGCAAAAACACCATAGTTTAGGATGTCGCGTGGGTGTGGGAATGGGGTTACATGTGGGTCGCTATTGCATGGGTTACATTTGCAACAAAGGTTCAATAAACTGTCTCAATTTAGGGCGGTCAACTCCATGATAAATTTTGGGAGGATAAAAGATGATAAAAGATGTAACTTGCTGAGTTGTAAAATGTTCATTGGCCTGCCCGGTAAGAACTACCATGGCAACATCGAAAACAAAGGCGGTTCAAAACCTGTTGGAACAAGATGGAACCACATCAGTTCGAACCATCAATTTTTCTCGCCAGTTAAAAAAAAGTGACAAGACTGAAAAGCCAATATTAATCGATGGCAACCTCACGGCATTGTGTGCCTGATGCTGCCCAAAGCTATCGAAGTTGTTCAGCCTCTTCTCGGAAGAGATCTTGGTCAGGACGTCCTGACGTCGAAAGCATGTGAGGGGCAGTCCTATCCCGGCTAGCTTGATCGTGAACTTATATTTGAATGAATGAAAACTCGAACATGCAGCAAATAATGATGTTGGCATCCTCCTCCATGGAAGGACTACACATGGTTCTATCATCATCCCCAAACCAAAAAAAGAATAGTGTCATGGAACCCTGGCACCATGGCCTCGACCTCCGCTTGTGTTGGCAAATTGCCAGTGAACGTCGCCAGGTAGTCCAGCAGGAACTTGTAGTTCGTACCCTTGTCCACCTCTGCAGTTGGGGAACTTACCCATTGCATTGTTTTCAAAAGACCTGTGATGATGAGACATTTAAATCTCTTTCCCTATCCATCAGTTTGTTCTTATGAACTATATTTCAATCAATCACTTGAAATATTGGGATTGGTCTCCCCGGCCTCTGCCTCTGTGACCGTTGGACCACCCAAGTTCACGAATGTGAAGACCTAAGTGCCGCTGCTAAGACAATGTGTCGATCCTACTTTGCGAACGGAATGAACAGCCGTAAAAGCAAACCGCATCTTATAAAATAAACTACTTACTTGAAAACTCCCTCTAAAAAGACAGACAGTTATAGTATATAGTGGTATATACCCTGAGCGTTAACGACTAAGTCTTTGTTCCCTATTGCATGGTCAAGCTCGTGCTCATGAAATGGGCCCCACACAGGCGAACTGTTGTTCAGACTGTGGCCCTGGCATGTCCACGTCCCTTGATGTGTCGGATCTCTTTGCGACGTTCAGAAATGAACTGCGGGGTCAGCATTTCATCATACATATCCTGCAGCCAATGGATATGATGGGGAGAAAACAAGATACAACTGTGAGACAAGATATAAAACATAGCATGTATCCACTTAAGCATTTGGCAGGTGTAAATTCTGGTGCCCCTCCAATTCTTGAAGTAGACTTGAAAATGCAGAGGTGTCGGAAAACACATTGGTGCTAATCGGAATGGCGCAACAATCCTTGCCCATTTTGAAAATCAAATTGTATTGATCAGAGCAGGTATTTGATCAAAATAGTTTTGAATTACATTCCAAATTTGGTTTAGCAGATCTGCCTTCAGCAGGGACATCCTCTCACCAGACATTCTGCTTTTCCGCCGCTTTGCCATGATGGCGGCGGCGTAGCTACCAACCCTGAAGAACCAAAATGTCCTGGATGAATAGTCATGAATTGATCAACACATTTGGAGCGGTTCTAAGCCAACTGGTTGCAAAAAATCACCATAGTCTGCAAATTACGGGATGCCAGGCATGCAGGGCCAAGGCGGTAGGCACCTCTTTCGTTCTCCTCGGCAGTCTCGTCATGCGAGAGCTCCAGCAAGTCCAATTCAGCATGGCCTTTGTGTAAGCCGGTGCGCCCATGACAACCATTTATCAGATTGATCAGGGTCAAGTGATTATTTTTGACAATCGTTGATTGAAGATCTTGTAATTGGAATTTGGCTATTGGATCCAGCAAGAACCTTTTCCCTGGAATCATAAGCATAATCTTTGAAATGAACATGATCTAAAGTCAATTTTTGATTCACCCATGCTAGGCTCCAAGCCCAAGCAAAGGGCCCGCTTCATCCATCATTATGCCTCAGCAGGGGATGGTGATTTGTGATTTGTAAACGTCTTTGTAAAGGGATGAGGGGTGGTTGTTATATCTATTTATATCTGGAATTTGATCTCAGAAAGGAAAATGAAATGATTGGTGCACAGCATGCTGGCAAGTGGCAAAGATGGCAAAGTGTTCCATCTAGAGCTGGCAGTGGTCCAACATGGCAAGGCCAGACTAAAAAGTGCGTTCTGGTGGTGGGTTCACGTCTACAAGATAGAACATGATGGAATTATGTTTATTATCGATATCTAACTGATTGGTAATGCCCAACGACCACACATGCATTGCCACCCCAATCATTGGTGGTCCTTCTGAGCCAATGCTCAGCTGCAGTGGTACCTCAGGGCCTTGCAAGTGCCAAAGTCTGGTCGAGGTACCAAAGTCTAGTCTTCTACAAAAGACTAGACAAAGACTAGTCGTTGACGCTCAGGGTATATATATATATATACATTTATTATACACACACATATATATATATACACACCAGTTTGTGCAAGGAATTTGCCCTAGTACATCCCGATTCCGATTGGGTGAGGCCGGACCATCAAGCCTTCATCGACGTGCTGAGCCAGGTGGATGCCAAAAAGGCGCGCAGAGTTGTGGTGCGAGTTGGGTGAGTGGGCTGTACACTCGGGGCCACTGTTGTGGAAAAGGGATGAATGACAATATTCTATGATACTGGCTGATGTACACTATCATTTTCACGATTATTCATACACTAGTTTTTTTTTTTGTGAATTATTTACTGATGATGATAATGATAGTGACAATGAGAATGATACGATAATAATGTTTGAATAATCAATGTAGTAATTATAATGATCATGATAAGTTTACTGATAATAATGATAGTAACGATGATGTCGTGGAAAACATATAGATGATAGCAAACGATGGATCAACGTTGATAATCAGCGTTTGTTTGTGGTAGTCATTCCAGATGCACAAGAGTGCTGTTTGATGACTACCATATTAGACCAGTGATTGCTTCATATTCTCTCAATTTCTATCATCCAAACCTGGCAGTTTGATGCAGTTTGGTGAGGTGAAAACCGCCTTCATGGCGAACAAGAACACCAAGTTGGCCGGACAGCCGCCGCAGCCTTGGCGTTACCGCGTTTTTCACATGGCGGGTTGCATCGAAGACTTGGCCGAGGTCGTGGCTGCGGCTTTGTGATGAGTTTGTCTTCGTCATTTTGCAGCTGAACATGAAGAGGGTAACTTGGAGAAAATCAACAACGATGAGTTGAGTAATGTCTAGTATATATATATATAGATTGATGATGTATATACAGGAAATGATATTTGGATGAAGAGGATCATGGATGATTCCCTACACATGGTCTTTGATCTTTGGTTAGGGGAAAAGCATCATCGACGTTACTTCAGCTTGGTGAACTCACACAGGGGATGGTCCATTCATAGGGGACCATTCAATGGATTAATGTGGATTAGATTGATGGATTATATACCCTCACATAGCCATGGAAAATTGCCCATTTATAGATGGTTTAGCTATTAGAAATGCTGATTTTCCATGGCTATGTTAAATAACCAGAGCGTAATTCTATTTTCGCACAAAAATGGGATCATCAATCCATTTTCATTGGTGTTTGGATTCCAACTATGGGATGGAGGAGCATCCCCCATAAACCATGTGTTGACCATGGTCAAGCACTAAAGAAACGATTTATTCTGGGTCACTTGCTTCCACATGTTTGAATTACACCTCATACTGCACCCATATATTTATCGTCATATGTCAGATGACATACCCTCTTGTAAACTAACATAGCTATTGAAAATGGCCATTCATAGTGGATTTACCCAGTAAAAATACCGGCGTAGTGTTTTTCCATAGCTATGTTAGTTTACCAGATGACATACACAGTGACAGTACGACCAATGAAGGCTGTACTACTGCGGACCTGCTGTCCTGCAATGTCCTGCATCCAAGGTAACCAATGAAGAGCTGAGCATGGCCAAAGCTTCAGCGGGTATGATGTCGGCAGCCGGTGGCCCCAACATTCTGTGACGGACGGAGCACCCCAGGTCCTGGGGGAACTATGGGGATCGTACGGGATTTAAGTCCGAGTACTTCAAGCTTTGCATGCGTGGAGTGTGACCAAAATCAGCAAAATTGCTGGAATCCCTCACTTTCAATGGACAAAAAATATGGCTACGGCTACTCATCCTCCATTTTTATGGCCATTATTGCCATGAATCCTCCATTTCAATGGGCCAAAAATTATGATGGTTCCATCCCTCGTTCCATCCCTCCATATCATTCCATATCAAGGCGGGACAGCAAGAGATGATTGCCAAGTTGGCATTGCATCGCAGCTTGGCTCTGTCAATGGGGGGATTTTTTTCATCCAGTGGCAACAGGGAAAACAGGGAAATGATGATGACATTTTTAGCCACTGAATCTGGGGGTACCATGTTTTCAGAGATGTTTTTAAGGAAAGACTTGTCTCACCGGATTCGATGCAACAGAATTTTTTGCTGACGCACTTGGAGACTTGGGGAGGGCATTCCGAGGGATTTTCGAAGCTTCGGTTGCTTCGACATTGAGGAATGTCCCAGCTGAACATGCACAGCCAGAAGGCAGGGATCATTAGGGATGGGTACATTCTGTTGGTGGATTCAGGGGTTACTTCATGTTATCCCCACAAAAAAGTGACAAATTAAATATTACAACAAATCAAGATTACAGTAACCCCAATGATCAGAATATTGATATCCCTCCAATTAGTAGTCTGATGGTTGAAAAACAATCCCGGGTACCCTCTAGAAATCAAACGTGGATAAACATGGCAATTTTGAACATCAATGTTTAATAGGTACATCAATTATATCCTCATTTTGATAGGTGATAAATGGGCCATGTTATAGGCTATATATATATATATATACGTATAATTATATATATATTATATAACAGCTATATATAACAGATAACCCCTCCGGGTACCAAGACTTCTGCGGCGTTTTTCCGCGTTTTTGGCGGCGTTTTTGGCCCAGGTCTTCCGGAAACGCTTCAATTTCCTGTGGAACCGTGATGTCTCCACAGCCCTGACTGCCATGGAAGGCCCGACCATCCAAGAACCTGGGACTCCCCGACTCCCCATCAATCTGCCATGACTTGGACGCTGTTGATGTCTCCCCACGTGAGGTGTTGCGCAAAGTCTGCGGAACTGCATGAAGAACGGCATGAACGGGGCCGCAGCTCGGCTGTTAAGTTGATGAGATTGCAAGTTTGAGCCCCAAAAATCGGAGTAGATCATAGTAGATCTAGGTACTGTATACATTTATATTCATTTATATATTTGAAAAATGATATATGGGGGGTTTCATGGGTTTCCTCTGGAGAGCGGCTTACCATCAGCACGCCTTCACCCCCTCTCATCCTCCCTTCTGTTCCATAAATGATACCCCATACGTACTATTGCCTTTTCTTTGTTTAGCTTTTACTAAGGAATGGCTTGAGGAACAGCTGCACGCTTACAAGGCTGGTGTGGAATCTATGTGTTCATCACCAGGGTGATGGATGACGAAAGATGTTCAAGCCAATGGGGTTGATCCATTGGAACGGTCCCAAGCCCGAAGCACCGACTGGCGCTGGTGTTTTTTCAGGACAAGGTCATTCTTGGAACCCTGAAAGCCTTGCAGGACTGCGTTGTGGTTATCCAATCACAGTTTATCAGCATGCAATGATGATGTGCACAAGCACATGGCTTGATTGCTACAGCTTCACTGGACAGAGCATCGTGTGTGAAGTATGTTATTTTTGTTTCAATATGCAGTTAGGAGCCAAGATTTAAAGGTAGACACGTTTGCGAGTTTGAACCTCTCCTGGATTCAGGAAAAGTTTGATGGCTTATTCCCAGTGGACTTTGCAATTCTGCACTGGCCTCAAATTAGAAAGACTTCTTTCTTGAAGAGTGCACATCACTCTGACATGAAACTTAACACAGTTCCGTGGTCCGTTGAAATTCAGACTTGATCCAGGAAGTCATTAGACTCAGGAACGGGCGATTCCCCTTGAACTCCCAGAAGCTGCGAAAACAGCACTTCGAGCCGCCCTCTCAGACTGTTGCGTACTGAAATAGTCCAGCAATGCTTAGCATGCTGCAGTGAATTGCACTTAAGTGGGATCCAATTTTCTCATAAAAGTACCAGCCAAGATGACACTTTAGTATCCGTCAGCCGTCAGTGCTCCGACATCCATGCCGTTCATCGGTATTGTTATTCCCATGCCGAACAGGTTGCAACCTGATGGCCGAACAGTGAGACAGAAGGATGCAACTCAGGACAGTCTGGCAAGAACCTGTGTACCAGATGAGCCTTTCATTTTTGTTGACTGGCAAGTAATCAAACAATGGATTGGTTTAAAGAAAATTTACAGGAAAACCCCATATTTCATTGGAAAATCTATGGTTTCCTGTAGATATCTCCTTTGAACCAATCCATTCAATCCATTGAAACATCTGTTTCAGAAGGTCATCCTGACTGGCTGGTTGCAGCTCGAGTTTGTAGCCGAAGCGGCCTCAGGAAATCAGAGACATGTGGCTGACCCCGCGCTACGAGAAAATGCAAAGCGTCATGGACTGCTCGGCCTGTTTGAATGGGATCCAAAGCGAAATTCTGCAACCCGTCCTAAACTGATTTGCTGGTTTCACATGGGTATAAATTCTGCAAATTGCAATAATTTTGCATCTTATTGCTGGTGTCACACTGCGACAATGTTTGCCATGGGTAAAATATGGTAAAATGATCTCAAAATATCTCACTTTGATAAGGGTTTTGAAGCCAACAATCAGCCCACAGCCCACAGCCCGTCACCAGGTGTCTGCACCGGAGACCAAATCGGCATCCAGTGGTCCTGGAACAATTCAGCCTTGGAGCTTAGTCCCAAGTCAACCTTGACGCATTGGAGAATGAAGCTGGGACATGTTCTCATGATCTTCGCTAGTAAAAAATATAATTAATATATATATATATATATATATGAATATATGTATGTAATATATTACTTATAATATATAATACATAATATATAATATATAATATTTAATACATAATATATAATACATAATATATAATGCATAATATATAATATATAATATACAATATATATTATATAATATAATATATATAATATAATATATATATATAATATAATATAATATAACATCTAATATAATATATATATAGTATTATATATATATATATATTATACATTATATATATATCATATAATATATAATATAAATAATATGTATATATATAATATATATAATATTATATATAATAAATGATATATATATTTAATATATATATACATATAATAATATAATATATATATATAATATAATATATATAATATAATATATTTTCATATATTCCATTTTGTGGGGTGTACCATTGTGTACTTCATTTTCAGACTTAGTCCAACAGGTAGCCAGCCAGGTAATGCAGGCGAAGGTTAATTATATTGCAGTGACCACTGCAAGCGCTGGAACGGGCTTTGCTTTTGACACCAAATCAGATACTTTGAGGTAGTGATGCAATAGATTAAAATATATTACGTAAACTCAGTAAACATATTAGATACACAAGCGATATGATCGTGTCATGGATGCAAAGTGTCCCAGCAGTGGGATATCGGAGTGAGCTCTTCATGATTGATGTTGTGTATATGGAGTTTTTCTGAGAATCGGCATACCCCAAAAATACAAATGTTATCCAAATGTGACAAAAATGATGATAAATCATCGAACCATCGAAAATTTCTGGGATGCTCGTAAAATTGTCAGACAAATCCATAGCAATTCGGGGCTTTGTTGCCACCAGGCTGAGCGTAGATGGTACAATCTCTGCATATGAAAATTTGCAGGACCGGATTGGCGAATTGGGATTCGGCGCTGACTTTGCCGCGGATTTGTCAATGGGGTATCCCCGACTTGGACGATCAGAATGTATTATCTGAATAGATATTATATGTCTGAATGCTGTTTTAACTGGGTGCGCCCCGTTTTCAGACACACCTCTATCATGAATTTATCAACATCTAATAGTGGTTGACACATAAATCGATGTTGAAATGATGGGAATCTGCCACGGCTGAGTGTAAAAGCCATTAAAAACCCATGCCTCAGGAGCAGCGAGAACGCGTGGAACAGATCTTTAATCTTCCTTGTCCAAGCCTCGGAGATTGGAGCTTTCGAGGAAAGTGGCCGTTCCTCTGAAAGTCCACAGTTGGGAGACAGAACATGGGAATTGATCTATGAAAATCCTGGGTTTTAATGGTAATTTATATGGGATATATCAGCAACTACAGCAACTATATTTATTGGTCATTCAAGTTTTGATGCCTTGATGATCTTGATGAAAACCTGGCCGCGAAAGTATGCGAAGACGTGCGAAGCTAGGTGTGGATCCTCCACGTCCTGACTATGCGGGTGGAGCGTTTCAGGACGATGGAAACTCCAGACGCAGACTGTCCGAAGGTCCATCGTTTCGGACTTCCGGACGATGGTGATGTGTCCTTTCTGATAACCATATGGGAGCCGTCCGTAAAAGCAGGTCACAAATTTATGAATTGATGCGTTTACTTTGCTTTGCGCGATTGCTAAAACCTGCATCGCGATAGGCTGAGCGATTGGTTGGCGATTGGTATACGGCTACCACGTATTACTACTACTACTACTACTACTACTAGTACTACTAGTACTACTAGTACTACCCTACTAGTACTACTAGTACTACTACTAGCTACTACTACTACTACTACTAGTACTACTACTACTACTACTACTACTACTACTACTACTACTACGACTACTACGACTACTACTACTACTACTACTAGTACGAGTACGACTACTACTACTACTACTACCTACTACTACTACTACTACTACTACTACTACTACTACTACTACTACTACTACTACTACTACTACGACACCAGAACCATGCCAATAATTGACATGGCCGCGCGGATTCCGCGCGCGCGGAATCCGCGCAGATGTTTTCAGGTCAGAAGGACATTCAAGCTAGCTCCAATTGTCAGAAACAGGTCAGAAACAGGTCAGAAACACCAAAAAGGCAGCACTTGCCTAGCATCCATCCATCCATCCATCCATCCATCCATCCATCCATCCACCTCAGCTCTTATCATTGCTACTTCTACTATTACTATTACTACTATTACTACTTCTACTCCTCCTCCTCCTACTACTACTACTATTATTACTACTACTACTACTACTAGTAGCACTAGTACTAGTATTTGGGTCACTAGTAATGATATTACTTTGACGATCATTAAAATTGTTCCTAGTTTGACTGCCCGTGCTGATTTGTTTGAAGTTGAAGAAGACTCCGGGAAAGGTCAGAAACAGGTCAGAAACAGGTCAGAAACACCAAAAAGGCAGCACTTGCCTAGCATCCATCCATCCATCCATCCATCCATCCATCCATCCACCTCAGCTCTTATCATTGCTACTTCTACTATTACTATTACTACTATTACTACTATTACTACTATTACTACTATTACTACTATTACTACTATTACTACTATTACTACTATTACTACATTACTACTATTACTACTTCTACTACTACTACTACTAGTACTACTACTACTACGACTACGACTACTACTACTACTACTACTACTACTACTACTACTACGACTACTACTACTACTACTACTACTACTACTACTACTACTACTACTACTACTACTTTCGAGACCAGAACCATGCCAATAATTGACATGGCCGCGCGGATTCCGCGCGCGCGGAATCCGCGCAGATGTTTTCAGGTCAGAAGGACATTCAAGCTAGCTCCAATTGAAAACAGGTCAGAAACAGGTCAGAAACAGGTCAGAAACACCAAAAAGGCAGCACTTGCCTAGCATCCCATCCATCCATCCATCCATCCATCCACCTCAGCTCTTATCATTGCTACTACTACTACTACTACTACTACTCCTGCTACTACTACTACTGCTACTACTACTGCTACTACTGCTACTACTACTACTCCTACTACTACTCCTACTCCTACTCCTACTTCTACTCCTACTCCTACTCCTACTCCAAACGCAACCTCTCTCTCTCTCTCCCTTGCCTATTCCCTCACCCTCCTACCAGAACTCCTACGCCTACTCCTATTCCAATTTCCACTACCACTACTGCTAGTGCTACTGCTACTGCTAGTGCACTGTGTGAGTTTTCCGGACCGTTTCCGGACCGCACAAGCTTATTTTGCTCCCAAATTTGAAATCGAATGCGTTCACGCATGGATCCTTACTCTCATTACTAGATTTGCTACTACTCTTAGTACTACCACCACACCCGCTGCTACTGCACCACCACTACCACTAGTACACCTAGGAATTTCTGCTCTTGCTTTTAAATCCAATTGACACGAGTTCCGCTGAAGGGTCAGAAACGAGTCAGAAACCAGTCAGAAACCAGTCAGAAACCCGTCAGAAACCGGTCAAACGCAACCATTTGTTTTTCCCCCTCTCTCTCTCTCTTTCTCTCTTTCCCTCCCTCTCCCTTTCTTCCCTTGCCCTGCTACTAGAACTCCTTCTCCTATTCCTACTCCTACTCCTACTCCTACTCCTACTCTTACCCCTCCTCCTACTACTACTACTACTACTACTACGACTAGTACTACTAGTACTACTAGTACTACTAGTACTACTGCTGCTGGTACTACTGTGAGTTTTCCGGACCCTTTCCGGCCCGCGCGAGCTTATTTTGTTCCCAAATTTGAAATCGAATGCGTTCACGCATGGATCCTCATTATATAATACATAACTTATATTTTATGTATATGATCTGATCAACGAAGAACAAACCCTTCCGCGATTGCTCACTGTGGTACCGCGGTTGCTACGCGATTGGCTGAGCGATTGAGGGCTGTCCGGGAAAAGGTATTTTGGACAACCCCCATATGACCCATATATGACTGGGATGAACATTCATATTGATCCATGTTGCTGTTCACCAAGCTACTAAAGACTTTTGACCCGGGGCCTGACCATTGATGACCATGATGACTCAGCTTTGCTTGGAATTCTGCGGCTCAGGAGTTGTGCTTGAAGTTTTTCAAAGGCATTCATGTAGATGCCATTCATTTCTGCAGACCACGATTGAAGGCTGGAACACCGGTCGTGAATGCCAGAGCGGTGTTTAGATTTAATGATTAGTTCGCTTGGTTCAATATCTTCAATATTTTCCACAATGTTCTAAGCCTCTCATTCTCACATGTTTGTTGATAAATCTTCCCAGGCCCCAAGACTGAACTGCCTTTCGTGAAACAATTTGTACAGTCAGTACATGGGTGCAGCATGTTGTAGCGAGAAAAAACGGAGAACTGGTGGACCTAGTGGCACTGGTGAAACTTGAAGTTGAGCCGAGGCCATGATGGCGAACCTGTATCAAGAAGAGCACTTGAGAAGAGCAGCTCGAGGGCAAGAAAGAGCAATGGCACTTCATCAGCTTCTCATAGGATACATCTGGGTAAATTATAATTATAACGACCTCACTGTTCTCCCTCACTATAATCATATAGTTAGAAAGGGGAATCATCCCCAAATGGCCGCACTATTCAGGTTAGTGAAATATGATAATTTAAATTAATTTATATACCCAGATACATGAGTACGATATGGGTCTAGCACTTTTCAAGGGATGAAAAACATGCAGAGTCAGGTTGATCAACCGGTGTTTTTAATCCCAGATCCCGCTCCAACTGGCTGTTTTAGGCCTTGCAGGAAAGTCCCGCTTTGGACTATTTAAAGGCCCGGTGCGAGTTAGACATGTGAAAAAAATTCGGCGGTGTGTGAAATGCAAAAGCTGGGAAATTGATGATAAACTTTATCAGATAAACCATTCGACTTGGGTTCCCCAAAATTTTCCAGACAAACCCAAATGAATGAACACTTGCACCAGGGCAGCCCGCGACAGGACTTTGGCGGGCACATTTTGGAGAAGCAGAAGACAAGGCTGGTGATTTTGGTGTACCACAAAGTAGCACCGAGTTTTAAGATGTTTTGAGATGTTTTAAGTACTCTATAGATATATCTATAATATTCTATAATTATTCTATATATTATTGTTCTATAATTATTCTATAGATATATCTATAATTATCTATATACAAATGATATTATGATCGATGTATCACCCTTTCTGGGTCAGCAAAGCTATACAAAAACACCACGTTTTTTTTGCTGGTGAATCTGCGCAGCAAAAAATGATGTCAGGATGGACAGCTTGAAGTCGGGACGCATAGCTCCACAAGTTGGTTGAGGTAAACACCTCCATTGGAAGCCACTGGAAATGGTCATGATATAGCCATGGATAAATCCATGGATAAATCCCCCCCAAAAAAATGTAGAGCATAAAAAATCAGATGGTCAAAGTCGAGGTTCCAGCTGTGGTTTTCTGGTTTTCCTCCAGTTGTTGCTACTGCTACTGCTGAAAGTGCGATGCTGCTTGCTTCAAAGGTGCAAACTGGCATCGATGGAGGCAGCCTTGAGAGAAACTGAGGGCGTCAAGAAGAATGTGGAGTACTAAGTAAGTACTAACATCAGATTGACATGTTCAGAGTTGAGATAGACGCAAAACTTGGCAAAGTCGTTGGTTGGTCGTCATTCTCACATTGATTCCGACAATTTGTGCACTCCACACTTCATTTGTAAGTGCGAGTCCCCGGCGTGAGTGCATTTGGATGTTTTTGAAATAAGCATAGTGCAACTGTGCAGAAAGGGGCACAGGTCCGATTAGGCAAGTGCCTGATTTGGACATAGGACTATGCTTGTCCATTGCGGCTCAAGTCGTGACAACTCCGTTTTTCCATGTTTTTCCAACAGCACCAGTCGGAAAGCTAGTTCTCCATCATTTCCCAGAAATGAACTCATGGAAGCTGTTGGAGGCTCGAAGCTGGACCATGTGAGAACCACTAGACTTTTATGAGTGCCTGGAATCACTACTTGGCATTAGGCCAAGTTCCCTGACTGAGACATCAGTGGGGTACAGTTTGAGGGTGCGAATCTGCTGAAAACAGCATCAAACATTTGGCATTGCGAAGGCATGTGCATAGCATGTTTGACCATGATTTTCGGAGAGGACAAACAAACTTCTGCCTTCTACATCAGAAATGCCGATAAGGCTGGCACCAAGACAGGTCTTATTGCTCCAAACGGTGATAGTTCCATTCCTTTGGACATCTTGGCTCGCTGAGCCCTGACTCAGCCCTGACGACCGTGTCCAATGGGATTTCTCAGAAACAATGGATGATGAGCAGGTAAAAAAAGGCCAGAAGTTGACTGGCAAAAGATGGGTTTTCCAGAACATGCTCCCATACCCATAGGATCCATGTATGGTATATATGCTAACATTTGGGGTATATTGATGGTAAATGTTACCATATATAGCATACATGGATCCTATGGGATATGTTTCTCATATTTTCTCATCATGATCCATGATTGAAGGGAAAATTACAGGAATCCCCAATATTTCCTCAATATTTAGAGGGTCAAAACAATGCAACCAATATATTTCTCAATATTTCTTCTAGATTTTCCGTGATTTTCCCAACTAATATATAAACCAATCCATTAAATCATTCTTCAGCTGTCCCATTTGGGGAGTCTACTGCCATGCTGCTCAACGGCGCGTTGCCGCCCGTTGTATCATCGCTCCTCTCGCGGTCTGCGCTGAGCTTTTTCAGATCGAGGCATTGGTTCAATCGATTCATAGGATGTACGTGGGGGATGGCCATCAATCCATTAGTAGGGATTTAAAATAGTCATGATAGCCATTGTCAGGATTCCCAATATGTACCATGTTTTGACCATGGCACATATAGATAATAGTGATATTTAGGAAAAAAGTGTAATAGTACTGGTCAACAAATCTATAATATTATTTGATGATGATAATGCAATAAATACTGCTTATATACGTATATACATATATATATATATCATATATATATGATATATATATATATGATATATATATATACATATATATATGTACATAATTAGGTGTTAATTATCCATAGATGCTTAAAAACAATGAGAAAAATTGGTGGTGACAAAATCAGTGTCATTCAGTATCATCATGTGTTTTGCATATATCTGACTTGTATTTGTTTGAACAACTACTATGATGATGTGAACATGTTTATATAACGTTCAAACGAATTCACAGGAATACTTTTAATGCACTTGCAGATGTTGTTAGAGAGGGAAAGAAGGTTCTATCAAATGAAAGCTATACTGTAATTGGTTCTTACACGGCATTTGTTGAGAAAATGGCCAACATAGACCAACTCTTTCCGGACTCGCGTGCCTTTTGAAAAGACCAACCCAACCTGTCCCCTTGGCATCCCCTTGGCAAGGACGTTTCCACAAGATCCACGATGTAATGTGGATCTTGTAGAAGGACGACGCGGCCTTTCTACTCTGCTGTGCGTCATCCCTCTTGCTGTCAGGCAAGTCCGAAGACGACACTTCAGATGCTTCAGATGCATGGTATGTGGCCATTCTGGTGTATCTGGTCTCAACAAGCGACCTTACAGCAGATGCAACCGTGGTACCAAGACCACCATAGCAGCCTCGCGAAGATCGGTGTCATCGACCCGACTTGGCCGTCGACGACTTGCAGAGGCTTCAAGGTCCCTGCCGCCGATGAGTAAAGACGGGGGCACGGAAGAGGAGTTTGAGGAGTACTGGAAATGGTTTCAAGCGCCACAGTGCCTTGGTCCGTGGGTTGAGAGAAGAACACATCCTCAAGTCAGTGTTTTGCCTTACTGGTACAATGCAGAGACACAGGAGACCGTGTTTGAAGCGCCGGTCAAAGACAAGGGAGCCAAAGTGCTACCGCTACCTGAGCCTTTGGAATTGGAAGGTCTCATAGCAGAGCTCTCCGTCAAAGAGCTTCGTGCGAAACTTCAAGATCCAGATGAACTGAGCCGATTGAAACTGACTGATGCAATGCTGGCACGTCGCGCAGTCTGGGAGTATGAAACATTCATCCCAAGAGTTCTGTCGTGGCATGACTACCAGTACAATACATTCTGGTTCTTCATTGAAGAGCGTGAGTCAAAATCAAAAGGTCGTCGTGAAAAGCGCGATGACAAACGTGGCTATTTTGGACCACAGTCCGACAACCAAAAACTCTTTGCACACGACAGTTTCTTTATGGAGGTCGCCGCTCTCGCTAGTCAACGCTTTCAAAAAATACATCCCATCAACCTGGTGTACATGTTATGGACATTCACCCGGGCAGGTGTGCAAGCCACAGATTTTTTCAACCTTGCAGCGGAACATTTTTGTGGACTTTTGCCTTCACTGGACAGATGCGGCTTATGCACCTTGGTTTGGTGCTATTCTCGGCAGAGAATCCGCCACACGCGCTTGTTCGAGCAAGCTGCTCAGGAGTTGCAACGGACCATTCGAGTTCGCTCCTTGGCGCCCAGAAATTTCCAGAATACCATGATCGCGTACCGATGGTCTCTGGGTGGCTTCAAATATTGTTTATTTGATTTCAACATGTTTTGTCCCCACATTTTGCGGGAATGATCCCAACTGACTTTCATTAGTTTGCTTCCGGTAGGCTCAACCACCAGGTATGGAAAAGGCCAAGAAACAGAAGCCTTGACTCAAAAGCTTGCACAGTGGCTGCCGCGGCTTTTAGACGACCATGACGAACGGAAGCCAAAGCTAAGGCCCGACGGCCTCCCCATTGCTGCGGACGTGCAATGGACTAGTTATGCTTGAGGTTACAATATGTTACAATGTATAAGAAATCGAAATCATTGTATTCATGGTTGATTGCAACAAGTACCACCCACTTTGTAGGTTTATAGCTGATGTTCATGGATTTTCCCATATTTTCTCATTGAAACCTCCATTTAGTTCGGGGATTTTCCAACAAGCCATGTTTGACAACCAGAGGGCATTGGTTTCCAGACGGCCATTGGGCCTTGCAGCTGACCGACGTGAGTCTCACGTGCAGGAAGGATGTCATGTTCTCCTACACTTGCAGAGATGGCTTGGCTGACCTGTTTGTTTCAGATTTTCCCCATTATGTACAGTCATCCTGAACTAGATAGAATATGATAGAATATGGATGAATATGGGATTTTCATGGATGTTCAAAGATATTCCAATATCTTTCAATGCTAATTAGTGAGGATGTTTTGACATGTCCATGTTCTATCTACTCCAGGATGGTCATATATCACATTGGAAATATCTCTTGCAAGGACTTTGACATGTTCAGGTTCGGAAGTTCCAGCTGATGCATTTCGGATCAATGGCCGGAAGCTTAGCAGAAAGCATAAATTGACTTTGGTCAATTTGTCCACACGAATCATGTTGAGTTAGTATGAACTTTGCATGTGTCACAGCATACTGAGTCTTGTGTTGTGTGGACAGAACCTTGCATGAAAGATGAGCTGATTGATACATAGGAAACAAATGTGATGTGTAGAATTTCTTGTTTCTTCTTCATCTATCTAGACTCGCTTCTCCTTCGCCAAATAACTTGAAATGAAGCACAGATTGATGAACTGTTCTCAATGTTGTCATCCTATGAAAATCCTACTGCTTGCCTCTACAAAGCAGCCCGGACGTTTGATTGCAACATATCATATTGAGTCGTATTGCCCATTGGAACCGTATCAATCCATGTATTTTGAGTTTTGAGTAGATAAGGTGAAGGTGCCAAGTAGTAAGTAATGATGAAAAGAAGGAGAAATAAAACAAGCTTGTGCAATCAGTGGCACAATTCGAGAGGTTTGTTCGATATTTGTTGCTTCTTGCAGTTGCCCATCTGTAGTTTGAGGTCTAAATGTCATCGCTCGTGGTTTTGTCTACTTGGACATATGTACTCCAGAAGTTGAGGCTGGAAGTTGGGGAAGCCTGCCGTCTAGTGAACCACCAGACAAAAGCCAAAAAGGATCGTAATATGTTGTTGTTCCCTTCCTTTCGGAATGACATTATGTGTCTACATATATGATTTGCTTCTGGTTCAATACTCCTCGAAGATTGAAGGCAATTGAGATTGTTCTCTCTGGACCAGGGATCTCAGTCAAAATCCCTAAGATCATAGGGCTGTTCCTTCCTGACCAAAGCCTCGGGCGTGACCATCAAGTAACAGCCAATCTTAGTGTCCAGCTGGGAGGATTGCCTTGCGTCCATGACTGATTATGTCATCCGCAGCGCTGGAAGATCTCCAGTGTTGACCTTACCGCGCTTCCGCGGTTGGATGTGACTGAGATAGACAAACGCATTGGACATTGGACGCAGTTTCAAAAGCCAAGTTGTGCATTTGGGTATGGTTCAATACCTATGGAATCCTATAGATACCATTTTGAGTGGGTTATTCACATCCATAAATCCCAGCTATGACTTGATGTGAACTACAGTGGATTCCATAGGTTTTGACACACTGCCATTTGGCACGTCCCCCAGTGTGGTAAACCTCTGAGGTTTGGATGAGGACAGACGGAGATGTGTGCATTTTTGCGACCATTGTGGCAGAGGCTGGGGCCGAGTTGTTCCTGTTGTTACTGGAATGGACAGTTTATGCTACGTGGTGTTTAAAGATGTCTATATAAATTAAAGTGCACCAGCCACATTGATTCATCTAATGTTCAAAAAAGTGACGCTACCCTGAAGATCCAACCAGCCCAAATTTGAAGCTAGTAGCTCTGATTTTGGGCCGGTAACATAGGCTTTTTAGATCTTTTTAGTGCCAAACCAGCCTTAAATCAAGGCTGGTCACCTCGCTGCCAGGCAGTAGTGAAAGGTTGGACCAAGGCGCCAGCGTTGCTGGAGAAACTCGAGGTTCCCATGCCGGGCTGTGGGGAGGACCTATCCATGAAGGTGGGTCCAGAAATGGGAACGGGATTTTAAATGATTTTAAATAGGGGATATAAAGATATATAAAGAATTATAAAGAGATATAAGGGGAGATAATAGTTGCATTGATATGACTGAAATGATGTTTGGTGTGCCTGAAAATGGAGTATGCCCGAATTTATGACCATTTTGACTGGGACAATTATATCCATCATGTTTTCAGACACAGCCTTGACAAGAGCTTCGGCCCAGATTGCTAGTGCTGGCGACGCCACTAGGTACCCAGTTTCAACTTCTGATATTTTTTGATCTCAAACAGATCTTGTCATCTCAAAAACACATTATGTATCATTATGTTTATATGTCAAGGAGTCAAGGCGCCATCAACATCATAAAGATTAGAAGATCAGCATTGATCCGATCAAAATTTCCCGTGGAATGCTGTTGCAGGCGCAGCCTTCTTTGCGTCAGGGAGCCAGGCCTCGAGAGTGCCGACCTGAGGGTTAGGGGTAACAGTGGCTGCGAGTTACCATATGATGTGAGAATAAAAGTGATAAATTATGGTTGGCTATAGTTGGCTGATGATTAGTTCAGGCATTTTACTACCCCGTATATATGGGGGACTGTCATAATTCATGGACTGAGAATCCCGTTCTCAACCAACCAAAGATTTGAGGCGTGAACTTTGTTTTCGATTTGTTTTTTCAGCTAAGATTGTCCCAACTGGAGACTGCCATTGAAAAAGCTAAGATGCAAGAGCCTCAGAAACCTGTACCTTTGGCCGTATGCAGTTTGTACTGCACTTGTCGTGCATGCGCAGTAGATGCATTGGCCATCAAAAACCGGGTTTGTCAGAACGATGCGATTCACCAACTTTCTGTCAGGGCAGTTTGACAAGCAGCGAGGCGTTGGCGACAAAAAAATGCGGCATTGGCGCAAAACAGCATCTTGCTGCCACAGCTGAATAAAATGTCGCCAGCATACTGAAAAATCAATCAATTGATGCAAAACATTGCAAAACACATATTTAGTCTTTGACATTGTGGGCTGAACTGGAGACCTTTTCTTGTGATTCTTGCCGATGGCCGTGTAGACGTTGGATGAGTTTGGCCCGTGGGAATGGATTTTGATATAGTTTGCCCATTTGAATCCATTTTATTCAAACAGGGCCTCATCCAGTCAGGTTAGATTCCACCTTGTGGTATCCGATGGCATGCCAAGAGCCAATTCGTGATATTGTGCATTCTGCACCTTCATGTCATATTCTAACGTTGCATTTATTTATGACGTTAACATGTCAATGTGTTAACATGTTTTAGATTGTTTTAGCATGTTTTAGCATGTTTTAGCAAGGTGAGACCTTTGCGGCTCCAAAGTGGCGTAGTTTGGCATGTGATCAGAATCGCTGCATCGCATTCCTTGGCCCTGTGATGTGTCATGATTTGTCCATGGTACAAGTTGGGCAAGTTGGTTTTTGCAAAACATTCACAGCAGCTTGGCGTTCGCCGGTGATGGCCGACGATGGGGCAAAGTGCTTCCTTGGAGGTACGGAGTGGCACGGAGTGTGCTTTCCTGTCAGCTGAATTTGGGGGGCGGGCTGCTCTGCCAGGCAGCTGGTCAAGATGACAGGTGCAAAACCGCAATGGACTGTTGAGATCTGTTGAACAATTCAATCATGGCAACGCCTTAAAAGATGAAACAACAAAATTCTGCTAAAAATGAGGTAATTTATGTCCTATTGATTTTGTATGAGAGTTTTATGAATTGGGTGTGACCCAAACATCATCATCATTCAGAATCTGTCCATTTTGGAAACCGCTGGTTCTGGAGTCCCTCACTTTTCCGAGACATCATATCTTGTTGATGTTCGGCTATATTAATATAATATATAATATAATTATATATAATTATATATAATTATATATTTGTTAAGATTCGGCAAGTGTAAATGATAAAGATGTTCTACGTCCAGATCAAGGTCTTAATGAGTGAACTCCTACAGTGATTTGCATTTTTCGACCTGCAGGCGTCATGGTTTCAGCGCTGCGGAGTATGCAAAGCTTCAAGAAAGGCTCTCAGTGCAAGGCTCTGGGTCCAAGGTGTACGGGACTTAGTGTCACTTTGGCGCTTCAGAATCTTGCAGACTTGGGTGATCTGGGAGTTTCCGAAAATAGGGGTACTCCCTTAAATCATCCATTTTTGGTTGGGAGTGTCCAATATATCCGTCCATTTTGGGAGACCTTCCATTTACGGAAACCTCCAGTTCGGCATGGGCTGCCAGATGATGGTGTGCCATCACCTTCGATCACATTGCAAGGCACTTGCCACGAGTGGAGCTTGCTGATTTTGCCATTGCCTTAAGGGAGTCTTGGGAGTCAATTCTTCATTATTACTGTTGTTACATGTTGGATCCTGTTGGTACTGTATCATTGTTACCATTACTATCACTACATATCACTACTATGTTCACTCGGTATTACCACGATATTACCGCCATTACTAGCTCTTGATCAATTGTTCTTGGACTGCGAAAAGCTGCCGAGGTCACCTGTTTTCCTGCCCACTTGCGCGAGGGCGCCCAAGGGACCCATTTGGGCACTGTTGTATAGCGAGAGTCACTGCTTGCTGATGAGGTTCGTTTGTCCAGCCCTTGTTTTGCTATTTGGGGAAGGTGCGGCACGGCTGTGTCCAAAAATGGGGTATACCACCAAAATTGCAATGTTGATTTGGGAAAATAGGATAAACCGCTGAATTTTTGAGGTGCGCAATTTTCAGACGAGACCAAGTGTGTGCGGAATTTCCGTTGCGTCAAGATAGTGAAAGATGTTTTCTTGCAGGAACGAATTGGTGAAGGATCAGCAGATTGGTGGCTGATGGCATGGTTTGAGGATGCAGGGCTAATGGGTTGCAGTACTTGTTCAGATCATCAAATGGTGAAGGTGCCGGGAGAATTCCAGCATATTCCAACCACAAATCTGCTACTTAGTTGCTCTTTGATGCCAGGGACCACTTCGTTCAAGGCGTTTCAAGAGCCATCAAGTCCGGCTTGAGATGGTCCGCTCCCTGGTTGAACATGTTGGAATTCCACTCGCACGCGCTAATACTACTGAGGAAAGAACTCCTGGAGGCCGGTTTTGTCAGTGAGAATCATATCAGATTAATTAATATCAAGTGAACATGGTATTTTAAATCAAGTAGCCACTGTTTCACCTCACCAGTTTCAATAGTCAGTACGCACATGTACGCACTTCCTAGGTCCATCTAAGTCCTAGGACTTTAAGCTGACCCGTGGCCCGTTCTTCAGCCACTGTTCATCACTGCTGTCAGGTGTGGGCAGACCGAGATGCTGTCCAGGAGAGATCATCAACACGAGATTGTCAAGTGGATAAAGATTCCCATTAAGGATCATTGAGGGTCAGAAGATGGCAGAATGCTCCCCACGAAACCAGCGAAAGGAGGCCCCCAAAAACAACATTCACAAACATTGACAACTCATTCCAGGTTTTGGTCACTGCTCAAGTAGCGTGGAAAAGCCCTTGAAAATGATTGGTAAATGTGTCCTGTTGGGGGAGGATGGTGAGACCAGCAATTTGGATGCACTAGTGGGGGAGGACAGCTACCGAGAGTTTCGCAGTTTCGATGTGGTTTTCAGATTCAATCTGCCGCCGAATGGATCGAAGATGATTGAAGTGACAGATGCAAGTTGACTTCTTTCATGCTTACTTACTTCCTATACTTCGTGGCTTTCATTGTTTTGTGCTAGTCCATGCTTGAGGCTCGGAAGGACCAGAGTCTGTACCTCATTGTTATTCATTTTTCATGTTCAAAGATGTTCAAATGGCCTCAAGTGACTTTATTTGAAAATGTTGGGTACTCCTTCTCAATTCAGTGGTTGATCATCATGTTCCCTGACCCAAAGAGACTCTGATTTTCGGAACCCGTGGACAGGTTGGAGCTTTGCTTGGAGCTGGCTGTCTCCTTGTCAAGCTGACGTTCATTGAAAAAAAACACGAAACTGGGTCCATCTTGGATGACGACTCTACTACACTTCAGTAACTTTAGTATACTTTAGCAGCCATAAATGGTGAAGACATGCTATCACCAGGAAAAAAAATAAGAGTTGCTTTGTAACAGAGTATCCATGGGTATCCGAGATTGGCAAAACGCGTTGAGTCTTGTTTCGCCTCCTGACATCTCTTTGCCAGGTGTTTTTGGTCTGCCTTTTCAGATCGAGACATGGCCTTGTCGCCAGACCTTGCCGTTGGAGACTCGGGGTGTGGATGTGGGTCATTCCACGGGAAGTGGTTTTCCATGGTTTTCCGCCTACAAACCAGTGATACCAGTGCTTTGCGTCAGCAAAATGTATTCTAGAACATTTGATATTGATAAATGATGATAAATGTTGACAATGTCATCTTGGCATTACTCTTGCACACCTCATGTGGCTTCCAAGTGCGGTTACAACAGGTTCTCGCTACTGTAACCCTAGTTTCGTTTCAACGAAGCACTCAAATGCTTGCTGCATGTGTGTCCGGTACAGCAAATATGGTCAGTGTTTTCAGTAGCCAAGAACTCTGAAACTGTGGACTCAACCTGCAGAGCTGTGCAGGTCGCAGTATTGAAGTCCTCTGTCAAGATGGACAAGTCACTAGCTTCGTGGCTCGAAGGTCAGGCTATGGAGTTTTCTGCTTCCAGATGCTTCCAGCATGGAAAATCATTTGGTTGCAGGCAATCTTCCGATGCTTCCCAGTGTGGTTGGATTCTGCTTGTCTCAATCATTGCTCGGCATGGAAGCGTCCTCAGTACAGTGAATCCATAGCAATTGGGTCCGTCAGCGTGTGACTTACAGGGCCACATATTGACCACCGGTTGCTTCAGGTGTCTCCAGCAATCCCTGAGATCAAAAGCCGCATTTTGGAGGCCGCGATCTCCGAGACCATCCGGGACCCGCATTTTTTGAATGACGTTGTGATGTTGCGATCTTCAGAGCGAGGCCAGCACACACCTGTTTTGGCCTCAGTATCCAGCAAAGTCAATGCAAAGTCATAGAACATAAGCTGAAACTTGAAAGCATTTGAAACCTGCTGAGCCGTTAACTTTTTAAGTGGGGAAACAGTCAGGCAAGCTTTGAACTAATCCCAGAAGCACCGTCACTTATTTGATCTCCAGCATACCCTCCAAGTGGTAGGTCAGTCTGGAGAGCAGTTGAATCTACAGAGAATCCACGGTACTAGTAGTAGGATCAATTGCGGCTATACTATAGTAAGTTTCTATTCACTTTGCAGCACTTTGGCAAATCCAGTGCAAGTTGAAGTAGAGATGTAAATTTCAAAGTAGTTCAGGGGAGCCTTGAAAAATAATGAAACATTAATGTATAGTATATACGCGTTCTTCTGTGAATTGCCGTGAAAACTTCACGGAGATATATGTAGCGGCACAGGATCCCACGAGTACTTCTTGCTAAAAACGTCTAAAAACATTCTACAAGTCTACTAGATGGTTTGACCAGTGAAGTCCAATATCTAAACTAAACATATCTAAACATTGTTCAAGTGAGTTGATTCACCGTGTATAGGAGAGAACGAAACAAGTTCATAGCAAGACGATTGATAGGCGTAGTAGGCTTTGTGGTCCTCCAGGAAGGGGCAAAGTCGAGGCTATTGCGCAGTTGCACCGCTCGACTTTGGGAGTGGCGCTCTCAGTAGCTCATTACCTTGCACTCCTTTGAGACCTTTGAGCAAAAGCATCCGTCAAAACCAAAAGGTCACCATTTCCTACTAATGATTACTAATGTTGGAAACCCAATACTAAAATATACTATAAATATACTAAACCTACCATTTAAGGGATGGTTTATAGAAGTGCTGTGTTCTTGGTTGCTAAGGTCGGACGAATGGATGCCTTTATATCGCGACTGGTGCGATGGCAGATCCTTCAATGCTTTGCTGAAGGACCATCCACCGACATGATGGCTACGGTTCAGAAGGAATTACCCATGACGGATCCATGGTGCTGGTATATATGCTAACATAAAGGGTGTATATTGATGGGATCCATGTTACCATATATATATATAGCATACATGGATCCTATGGGTTATTGGTTGAGAATCCGAGCAGCACAGAAATAGAAGATGTAGTAGAGAGTTTAAACTCCAAAATGGAGAGTGCACCGGACGCAGATGGTCCTGGTGTGAGACGTTCATTGAACCATGAACTTGCGGTGATTGAAGAGAAGCCTGGTAAGAGATTAAAAAATATTCGAAAATGGAAAGCTGGACAGATGCCTGAAACAAATACACCAGTGAGAGCCGGAACAGATATCAAAACACCTTCTAGACCGAGAATCGATGAGAAGAAAATCAGAGAGACAGTGAAAGAGACAGTAGACGTGGTAGTGATGGATATCGAAGAGCAAGTGAAAGACCTGAAAGCAGCTGTGAGTGAGCTGGAGGACAAATTATACGAATGCCAGGACGACCAACAAGCCTTTAGGCGACAACAACTCTGGAGCTTGAAGTCACAAATAGAAGACCAAAGAGCCGCAGCAGCGAAAGAAGAATGCTTCGTCGGATGGCCCAACCAGGCCACTGCAGACCAGAGATCTCAGTTTGTGCTTTGGTGCTTGCAAGCTGCAGGACTTAGTGCAGAGATGTGCCAAATATCACATACTGCAAAATCGTCAGAACTATCCCGCATGTCCATCGTGTATTTCAAACAAAGTTGGATGAGAGCTCAACTTGACAAATGGTTCAAAGACGAGTACATCAACAAGAAACGTCCTCTCAACTTCTATGTCAACGGAACCCATACAAATGACCAGATTAAGATGAGACCGCAGATCGGCTTGTGGGACAGATTGAAAGCTGAACCAAACAAAATTGTATTGAAAGCCTTGGACATTGCTCACGAGAAAGGACAGCTGAGAACAGATCTGAGCAAACTGAAACCCTATTGGGGTCACGATGCCATCTACGATGACTACTACACATACTGTTGGGTACATTTTTCGGTCCGTGGTGTCCGTGCCACAGTCTTCTTGGACAACACCATCTTCCAGAATGTAGCAGACCATTGGTCGGAAGCGCTGGATGAAGTGAGATCTGGAAATAACAGACAAGCAAACAAAGGAAAAGGCAAAGGAAAAGGGAAAAGCAAGAAGTTCGATACTCCAGGAGGAAACTATCCATTCGACTATAAGTTGGCCTCTGTACAAGACTGGCGCTACGATGAACAAGTCAACAAACGCAAAGAAGATGAGGACAGCCTTGACTCTTGACTAGGCAGACCAACAAAAGCACCAACAGGGCTCAAGTACGCCCAAAATTCGCGTGATGTCGTTTCTAAATTCGCTTCTACTTATTGCCGTCAAGACGACGGCAATTTGACTTTGAACTCCATACCTTCTCTGATCGGTATAAGGACTGATGAGTCAGTACCTCCTCCAAATTTACACAGCACTCAAAACACCATTTCTCCTTGCATTGTCAGCAACTTACCGCTGCTTGGAATACCACCGACCAGAGGTGAACCGGCTCGGCCGCGAGGAGCTCAGGCTCCACTGCGGAGACGTAGAGTATATCCCCACAGGGCTGCTTGCAAACCTAGAAATCGCAACAGAGGTTTCCGTAGTAAGTCTAGGACAGAGGGTCGTAAAAAAGAGAGAGTTGAGAGAACCAAGTACAAACGTCGTCTATTTCGTCAGTTTAAGCAATTTATGTTACAATACTCCTTTAAGCAGAAAGCCCTAGAGATGCGGAAGCGATCAAGTACCTGGCGCCTCTTTGGCAAGCCAGAACGAAGGCGGCAGTTTCACCATTTCTCAAAAAGAGAGAAAGAACAGAAAACTGAAGACGCACCTAACATGGCCTATGGAAAAGAAATTAAAGTCGCGTCCTTAAATGTCAGAGGCCTCAAGGGAGAACAAGCCCACATCAAACAGAAACTACTGATCGACATCATGAAGAAGAACGCTTATGATGTTCTTTTGCTTCAAGAAACTACTGTGAACCGAAACTGTGTGCAACATTTAGATGGGTTCAAATTCTTCTTCAGCACTGATGTCAAAGAACAAGAAGTAGCAAACACTCAAAGACGGCTGGATGAAGCCATTGCCAAAGGCGAAGGCAGAGCAAGCGTACAGAGAACAGATATTGAAAGAGCCGGAGTAGGGATTGTACTTTCAAAACATATGAAGCACTTCCTTGCAGATGTTCAACAAGTTAATGGGAGAATCATGTCTATAAAGTTGCGATCAAAGGGTCGTAACTTGAGGTTTGTTTCTTGTGATGCCCCCCACAGTGGATACAGCACCGATGATAAAATTGATTTTTGGGAAACCCTTTCTAATATTGCTTCCAAGACAAGAGAAGTGCTTTATATTGGAGGAGACATGAACGCACGTTTGCATCACAGGTTCCAAGCTGAGGAACACGTTTTAGGACCACATATTTTCGGAAGAGGGTTGAGCTATTTACGTAATATCTCTGATGCTACACTCGAAAACCGATCCTTGTTTCTCCAGTTCTGTGAAAAATCAGATTTGCGAGTGATGAACACCTTCTTCCGAAAAAGTTTGAAAGGATATTGCACCTTTAGAGAAAACACAACAGAGCACGGAGCAGAATGGACTCCGACTAGGTATGCGCAGTTAGATTTCTGGTTGGTTGGCGAAAAATGGGCAAAAAGTTGTAAAGATGTCACTGCAAGACCTGATATACACTTTCCATCGGATCATCATATCGTTGAATCCACAATTCGAATCAAACTTCCTGGTTTCAAAGAGAATCCAAGGCCAACTACTCAGGAGTGGAACAACTACAATCAACAGTTAAAAGAACAACTGGGAGATGTAATCGATCCGAACCGTGATTTGGATAGTTGGGACAACTTTGCAGAGATTATTTTCCGCACAGCGTGTAATACTCTTTCCCAAATTACTCCTCGACAAAAACGTAATTACATCTCCCGACGAACGTGGAATTTGATAGAACAAAGACAATGTGCGCACGAAGCTGAAAACCATCAAGTAGTAAAAGAACTCACGAGGCAAATTAAAAAAAATGCCAGAAAGGACAGAAAAGATACAATACTTAACTCTTTGAAGGAATTGCCGGACGCAAGGGAAAAATGGCAAGGTGTGAAAGACTTGAAAAGAGAACCGCAACCGCAATTTATTAGGCTAAGAGATTTGAATGGGGAACTTGTTGCGCCGAAAGATAGAGCCGAAACAATCGCAACGTACTTGGAGCAAAAGCATTGGAACAACCCCTCTGAACACACTATGCCTAGGTCTGATGCCCTTCAAAGATTGCAAGACCAATTCAATGTAGGACAGTTCACGCTGCCAGAATTTGACCAAGCCCTCAAAACAACAAAGAACAACAAACAAGCGGGGCCAGACGGAATTGCAATGGAACTGTTCAAATGGATGGACGCAGAGAACCGAAACTTTCTCCTCAATATCATTAATCATTGGTGGCGTCACAAGCAGGCGCCCGAAAGCATTTTTCGTGCTAGGGTTGTGTCAATCTTTAAGAAGGGTGACACGGATCTTCCCGAAAACTACCGCCCTATCTCTTTGCTAACCACAATTTACAAAATATATATGATCATGATCAGGAAACGTTTGCAAGTCGTACTTGAAGACCATTTGTGCGAAACACAATATGGATTCAGACCTTCACGAAGTACATCGCACGCTATATTTTTGACGCGTAGACTTCAAGATATTTCGGAGCAACAAGGTTCTAACATGATCCTACTCTTTCTAGATTGGGAGAAAGCTTTCGATCGGATAAAACATGACCGGTTGTGGATAGCTTTGCAATGGCTAGGAATCCATGAGCATTTCATAGATGTGTTGCAAGATGGCTACAGGAAAGCTTCGTTCTTTGTGGAAGACGAATATGGAGCATCACAAACTAAAAAACAACGCGCAGGCATAAGGCAAGGTTGTCCTCTTTCGCCGTATCTCTTTGTCCTTCTGATGTCTATAGTAGATGAAGATGTAAAATACCGTCTACAGAACCCACGTAACTTCAGAACCCTCAGCAGTTCCCTGCCCATACATCGGGTATACTATGCAGATGACACAATCCTCATTGCAACAAGTACCAGAGCTGCAAACAAGCAACTACCAGAGGTCGAAAGGGTTTCCCTACAGTTTGGTTTAAAATTGAACAGGGGTAAATGCAATTATATTTCAATGAATGGTAATAATGTGATAAAGTTCCCTGACTGGCAAAAGATGGAAAGAGTTGAAGAAACCACGTATTTAGGGCATCAAATCACTCAACAAATGGACGTTAAACATGAAATCAATCACAAAATGTCGCAAACTTTGAGAACTTGGTTCAAACTTGAAACGTTCTGGAAAGCAGTAGACTGCACAACAAAATGGAAACTGCAAGTCTATGACGCAGTGATCCGAAACAAACTACTATATGGTCTAGAAACGGTACACTTGACGCAAAGTTTACAAGGGAAAGTCAACGCCTTTCAGCTCCGAGGGCTGAGGAAGATATTAGGACTAACAACTACCTATGTAAACCGGCAAAACACCAATGAGTTTGTCGTAAGAAAGGCCAACGAAGAGCTTGGACATCAACCTGGGACCCCGCTGAAAATTAAACTGTTCTCTGACCTGTTAATAGATAGACGAATTAGACTAGCGGGGCATATTTTACGTAGCAATGACAATGACCCGCTTAGGCGGGTTAGTTATGAACCTAATTCCGCAGTAACGTTTGATGTAGGTAAAAGAAGAGTAGGTGGCCCCAGGCAGCAATGGACGCAATACTCCAATAAATACGCGTGGGAAAATGCTTTAGGGAAAGGAAGGTATGAAAACACCGCCCAACAAAACCAAGAACTATTAAACTGTGGACGCAGCCGCCAATTTTGAAAACCGATCGCTTCCGCATGCCCACGGTTTCACCCATATGCCAATACCGGCATGAAACCATGGCTGAGAAAAAAATTGGTTGAGAATGAGCCCAAAAAAAAGCCGAGCCACAATGGCCATGAGGTATTGATGAATCCCCAATTGGAAATATTGGGAATTAAATCCTCAACAGGTGGATGATATCAAAATTTCCAACCCCATGGAGCTTCAAACTGACTGTGAGTCCTCAAAGTGTTAAGATGACATCAAAAATCCCACCCCCATGGAACTTCAATCTGACTTGGAGCCCCCACAAGCTAAAGATGATATCAAAATTCCCACCCCCATGGAACTTCAAACTGACTTGGAGTCTCCACAAAGCTAAGGTGATATCAAAATTCACACCCCCATGGAACTTCAAACTGACTTGGAGTCTCCACAAGGTTAAGATGATATGAAAATTCCCACACCCATGGAACTTCAAACTGACTCTGAGTCCCCAAAATGTTAAGATTATATCAAAATTCCCACCCCCATGGAACTTCAAACTGACGTGGAGTCTCCATTACGTTAAGATGATATGAGACTTCCCACCCCCATGGAACTTCAAACTGACTTGGAGTCTCCACAAGGCTAAGATGGTATCAAAATTCCCACCCCCATGGAACTTCAAACTGACTTGGAGTCTCCACAAAGCTAAGGTGATATCAAAATTCACACCCCCATGTTACTTCAAACTGACTTGGAGTCTCCACAAGGTTAAGATGATATGAAAATTCCCACACCCATGGAACTTCAAACTGACTTGGAGTCTCGACAAGCTTAAGATGGTATCAAAATTCCCACCCCCATGGAACTTCAAACTGACTTGGAGTCTCCACAAAGCCAAGATTATATCAATATTCCCACCCCCATGGAACTTCAATCTGACTTGGACTTGGAGTCTCCACAAGGTCAAGATGATATTAAAATTCCCACCCTGACTTGGAGTCTCCACAAGGTTGAAGGTGATATCAAAATTCACACCCCCATGGAACTTCAAAATGACTTGGAGTCTCCATGAGGTTAAGATGGTATCAAAATTCCCACCCCCATGGAACTTCAAGCTGACTTGGAGTCTCCACAAAGCTAAGATGATATAAAAACTCCCACCCCATGGAACTTCATATGAGTGCCCCTTCGACGACTATGAATTCCTTGGCGCGACGCGTCTTGAAGTTGTGGGAATGACTTCGGACGTAACCGAGAGAAAAAAAGTGCTATACTGCTGCTGCAACAGGGGAGTGAGTTTCATTATTTGTAACGATTTTCAAACGTCGGATTGTGAAACTTGGAAGTCGCATTCTGCTACTTGAGGCTTTAATTATGCAACTTGGAGTTTCACAGTTTCCTGATCTGCCTTCAGAGATTCGCAGTACCCGTGAAACCATCTCCACCTAAAGATTCACCATCTCTCTGCAGACTTTCACAACACCAGTTTCACAATCTCCCCCCAGATTTTCACAATTTGTCTTCAGAATTTCACAATCTCAGTTTCACAATCCGTCCCCAGAGTTTCACAATCCGCCTTCAAAGATGCACAATCCTAGTTGCCCAATCCGTCCCAGAGTTTCACAATCCGCCTTCGGAGTTGCACAATCCTAGTTTCACAATCCGCCCCCAGAGTTTCACAATCCGTGTTCAGAGTTGCACAATCCTAGTTTGACAATCCGTCCCCAGAGTTTCACAATCCGTCTTCAGAGTTGCACAACCTCAGTTTCACAATCCGTCCCCAGAGTTTCAAAATCCGTCTGCAGAGTTTCACAATCCGCCTTTAGAGTTGCACAATCCCAGTTTCACAATCCGTCTTCAGAGTTTCACAATCCAACTTTGGAGTTTCACAATCCTGGTTTCAAGTTTCACAATCCGATTTTCAAGTTTCACAATACTAGTTTCACAATCCGTGCGGCAAGTTTCGCAATCCAAGTTTCACAATTCGACCGGGAAGTTTCACAATCCGACCGGGAACTTTCACAATCCGACTGGAAAGTTTCACAATCCAACGTTGACCCCGAGCGAAATGCTTGTTTCACCAGCAGTGAAAAAAGGCAGATTCGTCTACATTTGGGTCATTGTGAACTGTTGGTCAAGATTCCTTAGAGATTCCAAATTGGGATATTGAGATGTCCAATTTGTTCAACATGCAGGGGACACTCTTCTACGAAGCGCCGGCAGTGGTTCTGCTGCAGACACAGCAGGGGCATGTGCTTGGTGGACTTTCGACGTGACCTTGCCACGCTTGAACACGTAGGTGTCTGAAATGGAATGATTATTGCACATAATTGCGGGATGCCCTAAAATGGCTGATTTAAGGATGGTATTTGTTTTTGTTTTGTTTTTCATCCTGGGGAAGCTGTCCTTGCTATTTGCTGCATTCTGGAGCTAAAATCTGCGTTTTGCATGCATTTTGGAGCTAGAATCTCCCATTTGCGTGCCCACTTGGCTTTTGGTTTTGGCTTTTGGCTTTGGCTTCACTTGGCTTCACTTGGCTTCACTTGGCTTCAGTTGGCTTCACTTGGTTTCACTTGGCTTATGGCTCATGGCTTTTGGCATTTGGTTTTGGTTTCACTTGGCTTTGGTTTTGGCCGTTCACTTCACCTGGCTCTTGGCGTTTGTTGGGTTTTAGTATTGTAGTTTGCATATAACATTTCATGTAATACATTGCATATATATATATATATATATGTGTATGTATATCATGTAAACTGCACCAAAACTACAGACATAGAGTATAGGAGTTTGTATGCATGTTGTTGTAAGAAAATAACCAAACCATCAATGAAAAAACGTAAAGAAACCCTAAGCAACAACCCCAAGCGACACCCTAAACGACTCCCTAAAGAAACCCTAAAAGAAACCTTTAAATTACTTTACTTCGAGTGATCCCCACCATGACATATCATGGCATACCTTCTGGCATTCTATCTGACATTCTATCTGGCATATCTTCTCACATGTCTTCTGGCATTTTATCTGGCATATCTTCTGGCATTCTATCTGACATTCTATCTGGCATTCTATCTGGCATATCTTCTGGCATTCTATCTGGCCGTTGAGGTCCAGCGGTGCCCACTGAGCTCGGAAGGTCCCAGGTTGGACCGCGGTGCCCACTGGGCTCGGAAGGTCCCTGGTTGAGGTCCAGCGGTGCCCACTGGGCTCGGAAGGTCCCTGGTTGAGGCCCACTGCGCTCGGAACCTTGCGGTTGAGGTCCAGGCGTGCCCACTCAGATCGGCAGCCGGCAGTGGAGGCCCAGCAGTGGGAGAAGCTGGAGGACGAGGAGAGGGAGGAAGAGGAGGAGGAGAACAATTGTGGTAAAATCTAACAACCCTCACCTGGCAGGTGGGGAAAAACCATAAATGAAACCGTAAAAGAAAACCAAAATAAGGCCCTAAAGGAACCCTAAATGAAACCCTAAAGAATCTTTAAAAGAAACCCTAAACGACACCCTAAATGAAACCCTAAATGAAGCCTTAAATGAAACCTTAAAAAAAACCCTAAATGAAACCTTAAAGAGACCCTAAATGACATCCCAAACAAACCAAGAACAACACCCTAAAGAAACTCTAAATGAAACCTTAAAGAAACTCTGAATGAAACGCTAAAGAAACCCTCAAGAAACCGAAATGAAACCCTAAATGAAACCTTAAAGACCCTAAAGAAACCCTGAACGACACCTAAAAAAAATCCTAAAAAAACCCTTTATGAAACCGTAAGGAAACCCTAAATTAAACCCTGAAAAAACCCTACATGAACCTTAAAGAGACCCTAAATGATATCCCAAGGAAACCAAAAACGACACCCTAAAGAACTCTAAATGAAACCCTAAAGAAACCCTGAATGAAACGCTAAAGAAACCCTAAAGAAACCCTAAATGAAACCCTAAATGAAACCCTAAAAAAACCCTAAATGAACCCTAAATGACATCATAAAGAAACCAAAAACGTCACCTTCAAGAAACCCTAAAAAAACCCTAAATGAAACCCTAAAGAAACCCTAAATGACATCCGAAATGAAACCCTAAAAGAAAACCGAAATGAAACCCTAAAGAAACCCTATATGAAACCATCAAGAGACCCTAAACGACATCCCAAAGAAACCAAAAACGACACCTTAAAGAAACCCTTAAAAGACCTAAATGAACCCTAAATGACATCCTAAAGAAACCAAAAACATAACCCTAAATAAAACGCTAAAGAAACCCTAAATGAAACCCTAAAGAAACCTTAAAAGAAACCCTAAAGAAACCCTAAACGACACCCTAACGAAACCCTCAATGAAACCCCAAATAAAGAAACCCTAAAAGAAACCCTAAACGACACCCTAAACGACACCCTAAAGAAACCCTCAATGAAACCCTAAAGAAACCCTAAATGAAACCCTAAACCCTCAAGAACCCTAGAAGAAACCCTAAAGAATTTTTGAAACTACGGAAAGATCATTGAAGACGATCAAGAAAGCGATGAAAACCATCCAGACATCGTTGAAAACCATGGGAAAATTGGTGAAACCTAAAATGTTGCAATTATCGTGCAAATGTACGATTTTAGCTACCCAAATTGGCGACTTCAGCTCCGAAATGCTGCAAATAGCATGCAAAATGACAGATTTTAGTTCAAAACACAGCAAATAGCACGAATAGCACGCAAATCAGAGATTTTGGCTCCAAAATGCAACACATAGCACGCAAATCAGAGATTTTAGCCCCAAAATGTAGCAAATAGCAAGGAAAACTGCCCCAGACTGAAAAAACAAAAAATAAAATAATAAAAACAAAAAATAATCACCACTATTTTAATCACTTTTAATAGAGAAGATGGTGATAAACCATGGATTTTGGGAGTAATTGCTCAATTTCCAGACAAACTATAATATTGAATTTGATATGTCATAATAGTGTTTTCAGCTTGGTCATGCCCGCTGGGATCGGCAGTTGGCCAGGGTTTGGACGGACAACAATGGCAAGTACGCTGGTTCAACAGAATGCTGGCTGTCAGTGACCTACTCTAAAAGACCAATGGCTGTGTCTAGGGTGTGCCGCAATTGCCTCCATCACATCCATCAATATGCATTCCCTTGATGGAATCTGCTGGGACCCGCACATTTATGCCACAGTCAATGTAGGATCTCGGCCCTCGGTCATTTAGCAGCCGTGAAGCTGAGGTTTGCTCTACAACCTGCTTTCACTGTGCAGATTCCTTAGATTTCATTGCAAGCCTGACATGAAGTCATGAAGCATCTTGAACTGATATTTTTATCATTTCTTCAGGTGTAAAAGCACCAGTACCTCTGGAAACTATGCTTACCTGAATTCGACTGGCTCTTAGCAAAAACATGTTGTTGCAGTGTCAGATGCCTGCAGTGTTCCCTGTTCACTTCATGAAAACAGTGACCTCAAGAAGATAGAAAAGTAATTGTTCAATATTGTTCATTCAATTTTAGTAGGTTTTTGTATAATGGTGTTACTATTACTATAATTTCTGTTGTTATGGAGGTTGCTGCTGCTGATTGTCTTCCCGAAACTTCCTCGTACATTTTTTCCTCGGACCCGACCGAGGCGCAACAAATATGCGCCACGTGGCTTGGGCTTTGGCGGTCAGGAAGGTTTTTTCAGGCGCGGTTTATTCGTCAAAGATGGTGTTGGTTTGTGGATCAGTAACAAGAGGTTCGGACCTGAAAACGGGGTATCCGTTGTAGCCCAAAATTCCAAAATCCCAAAAGGCTTTTGGGGTTAACGTTGGTGAACAAACATGTTACCCGTTGAAATTGCCATAAATTCGCTGGTATAGCCAGCCGATTCTCGGAGAAACCAATTTGTAAAGTGCGGGCTGATCGTGGCGGACCATTGCATGTGTGCATTTGTTATGACAGCTATGGCAGGCTGTGGATTGATGCTGACTTTGAAGAGTGCTACGTTCTGGAAAGCGACGCGACTTACGCCCCGGGATTGCCAGCTCCTGAGTGGATCAGGGGACTGGAGAGCAGGAGAAGCCGTGTTTTCTCTGAGGCTGCATCCATCCAGCGGGAGCCTACAAATTCCCTTTCAGCTTGCAGCGATTGAGGCAGCAATGCAACTGCATGCTACTGCAACGCAACGCAATATCTGCACTGCAACCAAGTAAGTTTAAGTTGACAGTTCGACGTTTTGTTTCCTGCGTCAGTTCCACACATTGTTTGTTGTGTTTGTTCAAGGTCAAGAGGGAGGCACTGACAATTACAACTCATTACATAATTATAAAAGGGCTGCCGCCCCCTGCCACCGACCCCTGTTGTCACAACACCAACTTGTGAGATTCAATGACATGCAGTACCCATGTGCACAGGTATACCCATAAGCATCCATAAGCAGTAGGCTGCCAACTTGGCATCCCAGGTCCCATGTTGTTTCCGGCAGTCTGTGGTGCCTGGCGTTGCTATCTGAACCGGCAAGAAACTAGCTCCAAAAAGCAGTTCCCACACCAAAAAAACAACATCTCCGCCACGCCCACCACGCTTTGGCCTCGGCATGCTGCTGGTGCTGGCAATTTGTTTAAGAAACGCGACTGGGGGACCTTGGCAAGAAGCAACCCTTCGGAGGGCTAAAACATGCTAAAACACCATAGCAGTGAAGGACGGACGGGCTCCGTTTTGGGCGGTCTGTGGTATAACGTTGCTTTCTGAACCGACAAACTAGCTCCAAAAAGCAGTTCTCACACCTAAAAAAAATTAAAAAACGACATCTCCGCCACGCCCACCACGCTTTGGCCTTGGCATGCTGCTGGTGCTGGCAACTTGTTTGGGAAACGCGATTGGGGACCTTGGCAAGAAGCATCCCTTCGGAGGGCTAAAGGAGTATGGGAGTGAAGGACGGACGGGGTGCGTTTTGGACGGTCTTGTTCTTGCACCTAGCCTCTTGCTCCTCTTGTCCCCTCTTCTCTGACGCGCTCCCTCTGCTGTCGGCGGGGGTCGGCGGCTTGCATCGTCGTTGATCACGTTTACATGGAAGGTGTGGGGCTGCGGCGGGCTCGAGGTCCACCTCTCAGCAAAGTGTGGATTTTTTTCAAGCATTTGGCGGTCCTGCAACACGTAAAATGACTTAAAATAATACGTGACGTTGGACGGGCGTAATTTAAAAAGTTATGCATATAGTTATGCAAAGTCAAACAGTTCATCTTCGCTCACGTTTCAAGATCTTCAAGGCTGCCAAAGTGCAGAAAGCACATCGCGAACGCGTCGAAGGTGTTACAAACTCAGGAGGAAGGATGGATTCATGCAGATCTTGTTTCCTCAGAAGACTAGACATGGTCAATTCTTTTTGGTGCAACAATAAAATATATCATTTGGTTTCATTTGGATGCTCTCGTTTCCAGTTTTTCTCAAGTTCATCCAGTAGCCATCGATGACGACAGCATTCTCAGGTTCGGGAGCAAGCGCGCAAGGCCCGACCGTTTGTTGCGCCTCGGGGAGCTGGGCCATTGGCACGACATGGCACGACGGATGGCGTAGGTTGACAAAGCGAGACTGTGCGACAACGAGTTTGACAAGGAGATGTCGCATTCCCAGAGAGTGTTTCGTCCGTGGGTTTTCGATGATTATAATGTTCATTGATTATCATTGATTCATTACATCATTCATGGATATTCATGGTATCAGACAAGTATAGACAAGTCAGGTTCCTGGGCAACACATTTTCTGCCACAGCTGATTGTCGGGAAGTTGCTGAACACAAGAAGGTTGGCGTGGTTCCGGGCATGGCTAAGTGGGTGCAGTGAAGAAAGTATAATCAGTAAAAATGCACTCCAAAAAATTAGAAGCGACTACCGCTTTGATAATAAAATCATATTACAAATTCTCTAAAAATTAGTGAAGTGATTATATAAAGTTAATTTTCTATTTGTTTGATCCTGTTTGGAGATTACTATAGTGTATACTGTATGTCATTTAAAATGTTACGACGTGGCCATTTGAATGCGGAAAACTGTTAATAAGAACCATAGGATTCTGATTGACCATATGTTCAGCCGCTCAGGGTGAGGAATGAGCTACCAAAGGGGCTGCTGCCAGCTCAGTCCAAAGCGACTGTCGATGTCATCGGTTTTCAAGCTGCGGAAAAGTGACACCTCGAGAGGTTCCGTTTTCTTAAAATTACAATCTTACGAAGTGTGTTACTGTTGAGGGTTTGAGCATATTTTGTTCAGGACGTCAGAGCATTTGCATGTTTTTTTGCTGGTTTGATGCACTTTGCGGAAACATTTGAGAGCTGTCTCTGACAATCTTTGATTGCAATGTACATGACCGAAGGATTCAGGACCAAACAAACAAGTTGGATCTCTCTTTTTTTGTGATTGGGTTTCAGAATTCAGCAAATGAGTGCGGACCTCAATTTTCATCAGGTTGGTGGTTCCAAGCATTTTTTTGTTTCATCCTATTTGGGAAGATCCAAAGTTGTGTCAGGCAGCCTACCATGGCGCTGTGGTATAGGCCTGCTTTGTCTCAGGCCGTTCAGATGGGAACCTGTCGAGACCTTTAGACCGTTAGACAAATAGATGTGCCAGCAAAATAGTTCAATACCCGAGTCATTTACATCGGTTTGCTCCCTGGAAAAAAGCTGGCCAATGCTTTTCACAGTCTTTCTATATGTTCATATATTTTCCTGTGATTGTTTCCTCTGTTTCTTATGTATGTAGTATGTATACCTGGATATTAATATCCTATGAAAGGTGTTGTAGCGTTGATAGTTGAATGGTTTTTATTAGTTGTGAGATATTGTTGTGAGATGTTGCGACACGTGACCAAATGCCAGGCAGTTTTCAGATTTTTTCCAACGGCATGTTGCCCTCCAATACTGACTCGTGCTGCCCAAAATGGCCAGGTGCGTATATGCCCAGATCTACTCCTTCGAGAAGGACTGGGTTGTTTTCTGTTTGCAAATGCACTGACTGACGAATGACTGGGTTGTTCCTTTACTCACATTATCCATCATTATCCAATATTATGTCGCCCTGTAATCAAACATGGCGTGCTGGAAATGTCACCATTTAGTTCGGGGATTTCCAAGCAAACGCCACGTAGCGCCGGTAACGGGTAATAGCTGGTCCCAAGGGGACTGTTCAATCCAAGTCCAGAGCAGGAGCTCCGGTATAATACCCATAGGATCCATGGTGCCGGTATATATGCTAACATAAAGGGGGTATATTGATGGGATCCATGTTACCATATATAGCATACATGGATCCTATGGGATATAGAATCAAATGTCGCCATCACAATCGATCACAAGTAAGTTTCTATCATCACAAGGAAGGTCCTATCAAGCGTGGCTTGACATGACAAGACTCTTTGTGAGCAGCATGTTGCTCAGATGGCATTGCCTGATGCGACATCTTTGCATACTTTGTATGCTTTCTATGTCGCTCTCTCAGGGCAACTTTGTCATTTGTGGAGAGTTTCTATTTGACTTTACAATATTTTACAAGTATACATATATATATATATATAATTTATTATATATAATTAATATGTCATCATGAGTTCATCATGTGTCTCTTGTATGAAACTTGTCTCTGAATTCTGGCGGTTCTGGTGTTGCCGAACTTGCGATGTCCAAAACCATGGAGAATGTGCACCACACAGCTGCTAAGCTCCGGAGCAGCATCATGACCGAGGTCTATTCTCACCAAGACGCCCCAGAGAGGACCAGTTCTCACAATTCTCACATGTGTGGACACGTCATGCAGATGTTCGTGGGGATGTTAATGATGGTGGTTGGTGATAATGGTCATTGAGCAGGTATGTCTCATTGGCAGCTGGAGAAAAGTGACAATGCTGAGCTTACAGCTCATGGGCACATGCAAACCCAGAAATTTGGGAAAAAACAAATTCTGATGTCTGCACGTATTGACTGATGAGTATGCACATTCAAAGTAGGCGCAGTGGATTTTGTCGACTGGTTGATAGATGAACAGATATGATATGGTTGACTTTTTTATATTACGATTCCATCCTTGATATTAAGACTGTGGTGGCATAGGCATGCATAAGTCCTGTTAGTTGTTAGACCTACGATTTCCGGAAGATGTGGGACGGCAGCTGAACAGGATGCAGCAATTCTTTATACTTTGATCGTTGGTAACATCAGTCGGATTCTGTGCCTTTCCATTGGGGGGGCAGGTCGTGCAATAAATGCAGAGATAGCTCCAGCTGCATGAAGTTGAATATCCTGGCTGAACTGCCCGGGCTGCAGGACTCTTGGACAGCCTTTTGTGCAGTTTCACAATTTGATGTGTTCAGCCCAGCTGGGTAGCGAGATACGAGGGAGAAGCGAAGCTTTTTAGCGGCCTGCTGAAGTGTCCCCAGTGCTGCCCACTGCCCGCCTGAAGGTTTACAGCCACCAATCCTGCAGACGCTGAAAAAGCGAAAAACTACGGCGTGCGCTTCCAAGCAGTGCCGGATTATGATGTAATTCTTCTGTCTTGTTGATAGATTTCTTGTTGATAGATTTTGATTAATGTTGATGTTGATAGATGTTGATTGACAGCAGTGTGCTCCTCTTGTGGCAAGTCTGATCAAAGATGTGCCACAGGGGGTGCAGCTGAGCATCCTTCCCTATCGCAGCTTTTGGACGCTGATCCAGCCGTCCGAAAGCCCATAAATTGCGGTTAGCGCAGTGGGACTTGGGCAGAAGAGACGTTTTAGGATCTTGAGAAGTCTATACTCGATCAATTTCCATCAAGCTTTCTCAATCTCCATCAATCCATCAATCTCCATCCATCTCCGTCCATCTCCATGAAATAATATAATTACAGGCATTAAAACATCAGAACCTCATCAGTGAAGCCTGGTGAAGCCTGGTGAAGCCTGGTGAAGCCTGGTGAAGCCTGGTGAAGCCTGGTGAAGCCTCATGCAACCTGTTGAATTCCTTAGACTGTTTCTCCAGTTTCTTTCTTGAAGACCGATGGAATAGATACACCAGATAGATGCAGCTGAAATGAATCCCGGGTCCACTTGCATTTTGGGGGGTCGGGTCCATTTTTGCCCGTTTTCCCCGTCATCCTGACATTCCGAGGGACAAATTCTGCTCTACGGCAGAGGATGTGAGCTGCTGAGTGCATCACTGTCCTTTTGCAGACAGTATGCTTGAACCATGCAGTGTATTGTGGTGGTAAACTTATACGTAGATTACGTAGTGTAGACTCAACAAGGCAGCATCACACCCAATTTTGCCATTGAGAGGTTTGTATAAGTCAGCAGCGTTCAAAAATACCTTAGAATACCTTAGACCCCTAGAATACCTTAGACCAATTTACAGTAACAGGGAGTTAAGCTATGGTGTGTCCGTAAAAGGAAAACAGCTGAGTGCAAAAGAGCTTCACGAAATGGTGTCAGAGATACGGAGAAACCCCGTGAAGGTATACGCGAGCTAGACTCACAAAGGAGTGTTGTGACTCCCAAAGGTATGCGGTATGCTTTGCCCCCCTGGTTCTCAAGAACTCTTTTCGCTATAGCCCGCTTGTAATGATAAATATGAGAAACATCTCTGGCCAAACATAGTTCCCCACATAACAGGGCCTCCACTAAAAGCGCTGCGAAAGTAAATAGCAGCAAAGATGCTCCAGCCAAGCCAAAACTGTGGTCGCGAAACCCGCCGCAAAAGCCGCCCGAAAGCAATTCCATGGGTTAACCGGCTAACCAGTTACAGTAATCAAGTGTGTTCGAACAAGGCTCAAGTATATTTAAACCATACCACAGTCCATACAAGATACCCTTAAATCCCAGAGTCTGCTAACTTTTCTCCTTGGATATATCATCCGATGGCAGGTCAGAGCAGGTGTTGCCAAAGAAGAGGGAAAGCTGCAGCTCTTGCATGTGTTGATATCAGTTGGTGCTGATTTTCCCTTTATGAAGTAATTTAATCATATTAATGTTGGATGTTCACATTCATGTTCCCTGTCATTTTGACTTTGGACACAAAGCTGAATGCAAGGCAGGTCTTCCAAAATGATCGTCGGATGTCGGCAGGTTGGCTCACAAATCTCCCGGACAAAGTGATGAGAGTGTGAACCTGTGACCTTCTGGAGCCATTTGGAGCCAAGAACCCTGGGTTGATTGATGACATTTGATGACTATAAATGGGACCATGCAATAGGAGATTATCACAATATATCACAATCCATGAACCGGGACATGTTCAGAAAAGGGTGATGAAATCATGAGTGCGAAGCCCACCGGGGTTGACGCAATCCGGCTGAAGGTACTCCCATACCGTCAACTTTGGATCATCCACTGATCAACAGGCGATTCGGCTTTTTTGGCGTAGGCTCCCATGCAGACGGCGTAGGTTGCGTGGGCATTGGCATAAGCTCGTTTTCGCCTACACCGCGTAGGTAGGCTTTGCGTAGACATTTGTTGGCAACATTTAGAACTCATTTATTTTGCCTTGTTTAGTTGTGATATTTGTGGTTTGTGGTTCCAAAGCCTCATGCCACAATCGAAACAAAGAGAAGCAATGGCCGCGTAGGCAAAGCCTACACCGCGTAGGCTCGCGTAGGCACCCTTTAAAGACCATACCCCACATAGGCTACCTCATGCAATGGCGTAGGCTTGGCTGCCTAGGTTATATGTTACTGGTCATCGAAAGACAAGGATAAAACACAAAAAACACTACTCAAATGGGTGTGTCTAAAAAGGGGGTTATACTCCCACAAATATCAACATATATCAACAAATTGTCATTTTATAAGGCAAAAACGATCAAAATGATGATCAATCACTGGATATGTTCCAAGGTTTTCCCATAGTTATCAGACAAAGATCGCAGATCCAAATCTCTAGCGGCTAGGTGCCAGTGCATTCGACCGGTGTCTACATTCTGGTCTTCTCAAACTGCGGTGAGTTCAAGGATGGCGAGGCTATCCAAGCTGTTGCCTGGTCAGTTGGTTGGTCACTTGCTACTACGGTTTCCAACCTGTTCTTGTTGCCACCAGTAGTTTTGCATTTCCACATCACTCAAGTGCAGCCAGGTCAGCGGCAGTGTTATTGCCAAGAATTCCTATGGCTTTCTGCCGGGCAACGAGTGTTCCTCTCAGCTGATGAATACCGATGCGAGCAGGCCTTGACGCCAACAGGAAAGAGCTGAGGTATCACAAGATGCCATTCTACGGGTGGCTGGCCATCGTGGAATCCCAAGAATTTTCAATCCTGAAATTACAGTAATTACGATGTCCTAAATATTATACCCTCTGGTAAACTAACATAACTATAGAAAATCACAATTTTCAATGGGAAAATCCACTATAAATGGTCATTTTCAATAGCTATGTTAAATTACCAGAGGGTAAATCAGATGACAGTCATTGTTCCAGTCAGTATCTGTCGTTGCCCGCAACGGTTGCGACGCCCAATTTGACAAATGGCCGCCAAGTTGTACATCTTTATGGCGATGATTTGGATGTGCTTGTCGTTGCGATACTGGCGCGAACTTTTTCACATTCAGCCATGGCCCTAACGCTGAACGCAACGGTTTAACCGGTTTAACGGTTGTCTGAAGCCGGCATGCTCAGTTGATCATAGTTGGGGATAGTTGGGGTATGACAGTATGGCCTATAGGTATTGCATCACGGCTGTGATTTTCCTCGGCCTGGTACACCAGCCTCGCTTCGGATTCCGCGCTGGATGGCGGTCTGTAAAGAAAAAATCCGTAGCTGGATTCAGGACGACAGAAAGTAAGAAGTTTCTTGCAGCCAGGTAGAAGCATTCCTACAGTGGAGATTCTTCATGGACTGGAACGAATCTGGGCTCCGTGGAAGGCCCTGAGCACATTGTTACTTCCAAGGAAAGAGCTCACTGGGACTAGAGTTCCTTTGGAAAGTGAAGATGTATGAAGATGTCATACTATGTAAAGCAGCTGACACTTTCATGCTGCCCCAGAATTGTTTGAAGGATGTTGAAGGAAGAATCTAGAATCTAGACACGTTTGGATATTTTGTGGCAAAAACCATGCTTTCCCGAAGTTTTTCATTTTTTTCCCTCGAATCAATCCATTGATAGTGCTTACCGCCGTAGATTTGTCTTCGTTCTGGCCATCTTGGCAACCGTCGTCAAGTCGCTGCCACAGCATGGCAGTGACCTTCCAGCCAACGGGGAAACAGATGGAAACAGGGTCACTTTCTCATTTTTCTCCTGAGGTCGATATTCTCCTACATGCTGGTGCTGGTTGCTTCCCTGGGTTGGGGTGTTACCCGGCCATACCTAGATCAACCTACCATCCTCAAGGCCTGGTGCTTATTGATGCTCCAGCACTCAGTGGATCTCAATGGCTTAGCAGCCCTTGGAGGTCCAGGCTTTGTCCTGCTTTTACATCGTCCTGGACTTTATTCGCGAGTCGGCATTGTCCTCCAGGTGCATGGAAAAAGCATCTCATGACTGCCGAGTGATAGCGATACGCATTGGGGTGGCTTCCATGAATCAGGCACAGCCACTCCCTGTCCATAGCCTTTGTCCTACTTTGTTTACTTCCAGTGTGTGCCTCAATTTGGAAAGAAGTGGATAAGACTGAAGGTTGCAACAGAATAGGTTGTTTCTTCCATCCAAAAGCTATTGCAGTTCAAGCATTCAGGTTGCATTACTGAATGGTCCCTTGCCTCAGCGTGATGATCTTTGAAAGCGCTTTTTGCTTTCCATTCGGAATCGGCGAAGTACTCAGCCCAGTATCCAGTGCCTGTGTTTTTGAGGAGTGATTTTCTACTGGATTTTCACTGCGCTGTGCCGTCCTCGGCCCTTGTGTCATCGCTTTTGCACGCCGTCGAGCAACATGGATTTGTTCTCAGGTCATCTTTGATAGAGACACTTGCCGAGCGCAAGCAACAAGAAAAGTGTCCCTGGCTGTTTCGAAAACAGATGCCCATCAGACCCATTTGCAGAGACACGTCCCCATGGATTGCGGGTTGCTGAATGTGGCTGCGCCAGGTTAAGGGTATTTCAGCGATTGCGACTTGTCTCAGGGGATCCACATGGATCCACTCCAAAGAGGGCCAGGGATGGATTTGGGCCATTTTGGCCCCGCTGGAAAAAACCCAAAGTAGCATAAGTAGCTGGGAATTGTGTGAATAACCCCCCCAATATTGGGCCCAAAGGTTTGAACCCTAATATACCACAATATACCTGATTCACGTTCGGAGTTCAGGATGGCCAGATTGCAAACCGAGGTGGAAGATTCTAGTAGCTGCCCTGAGTTTGGCATCCTTGAGCTTGCAGCTTCTCTCAATTTAGTGAACAGATGTGAACAGTGCTGATGTTTGCAATCATAATCAAGGGCAGTCAAATGGGTCAGTATGGCCGTTTCAGGAGGAAACACGATGATAAATCATGGGTAGAAAGCCATTATGCAACTCATTGTTAGGCAAATCCACAGATTCTACAACCACTCCCAATTTTTTGATGTCTCTCAAAGTCCCAAAACCATCCAAAACCGCTTTGCGAAGTTTGCTCCAGATGTCGGATGTTGGAACAGCCACTGATATCCACCGAGGCTATTTCAGCTCTATGACCTGTCTAGAAGTATCAGCCAAAGATGGCACTATCAATGGTTCTTTGCCGACGGAGTTTCGCACATCCTTTTTTGCATGGTGACCCGGCAGATCCCCGCAGCAGTCAGAGCTGGTCAGAGCTGATTACTTCTTTTGCGCTGCAAAGTGATTTGTTTGGCAGGTACTTGGTGCGATTATGTTTCTCTTCGCGCCGCACACCAATAGCCAGCGATTTGCTTACAAGCAGGCTGTTCACCAGCTGAGTTGTCCTGGTCCTTTGTGATTTTGGTGGTCTTTGATTACATTGTCCCTCTGTGTGAGTCCAGAGTCCGGCATCACAGTTCTCTTGTGGAGGTGGAAGGTGAAGAGAAAGGGGAGAGCTCTCAAGTTGCGGATGATAAGAATGTTTGGGCAGATGAGGTGCGCTTCACTGGTCACGTCCGTGTTGGTCCGTAGGGATTTTCAGAAACAGAATGGGAAAACGTCGTGGCATCAGTGATTGGATCACTCCGCCAACTGGAAAACTTGGAAACCCCCCAGTCCCACTCCAGAGTCAGGGCAAATGCTGAGGATCACACAATGCCCATGTCTGACTTGATTCACAGCTATGCTGCCAATGCTGTACTGGCTATGCTATGCTGCAGGGTGGTTTGGACGAGGAGGAAGATGACTCCTTTTGGGCTTCAACGCATGGGAAAGGGCCAGGACCCCAAAGCTTCAGAACGCAGTTCATCCATGTCCCATCCTGCGGATGGTCAGGATTGGGGTAACTATCCCAAGAGAACCAAGATTAAATTTCTACGGATACTATCGGATACTATTAAAATATGTTAAATCATGTTAAATCAAACAAAATAGATCAAAATAGATCAAACCAGCCCCAGAAATGAAGAGATCCAAGTTCAAACTGGTTCCTTTTGGGAGCTTATTTCATCTGATCCCTACAAGGGATGTGTCGCGAGGTCCAAGCCAGAGGCAGACATCCTGGGAAAACAGGACCCTCGGAGACCGCAGTGTTTTGACGATGCGAAGACCATGAAACGCCCACAGGATTTTGATGTATGTTGATCTGGTTGGTGATTTGGAACATGTTGGAACATGAATTTTTATGACTTTCCATATCTATTGGGAATGTCATCATCCCAACTGACGAACTCCATCATTTTTCAGAGGGGTTGAAACCACCAACCAGTAATTATTATTATTGATATTATAACCACTATTATTGATGATTATAACCACTATTATTGATGATTATCCCATTATTGATGTATTGCTGTCTTTTTTTGGATTTCAATGTTCAACAGCTCCACCACCAGGACGATGAATCCAAGATCTGATGGATTCTGGTCTGGATTCCGCTCGCGGAAACCGGGCGGCTGCTCAGGATATTTGGAAATCTACTTCCAGGTGTATTGATGTGTATTGATGTGTATTGTTGTATATTGTTTGTTTGGTAATGGTGACTTTGTGATTATTTGTGACTTAGCGTGTGATGTCATTCCAATATGAGAAATTCTATGAAATGGATTGAAATGTTTGAATGTTTGGATATGTTTGGATGATTGGCATATTTGAGACCGAGTCTAGCCATAGCAATATCGGAGTGGTCAAAGTTACCTGCCTGGAACGTCTCGAAGCAGAGCAGAGGACGCATCGAGGCATAGCAGAGAAAGGGCTAGTGCAGCCTTCGCAGCCTTCAGCGTCAGAGAACACGCGACTTGGAAGGGGAGTATCCCAAATCAAAGGAGTTATGGAATAGTTTGGAACTCTTCATAGACATTGCAAAAGGGCTTTGCGGATCTTGCGCAGGTGTGCAGCCTGTCCACGCTGCATTTGTTCTCATTATCTCAAGCTGAGGCTTAGAACAGCCTAATTTGATACAGGCTTTGCGCCATGACTCGCCATGAAGCAGCAATGACTCATGCAATGACTCACCATCCCACCCTTAGATACCCTATGACTCGCCTTAGAATGCCTTAGATACCCACCAGATGTTGAACTGAGTTGCAGTTTTTTATTCAACTTTGGGAGAGTTCATGTTGCTAGACATTTATTGCTTCAAACGGCTCCGCGATGCCATGATTCCAGGGATTCCAGGGCAGGGCTCTCCTGAGGCGGAGGCTTTTTCCATGGGTTTTTCCATGGCTATTTCTACCAACCCTTAGAATTGGGGATGGATTAACCTCTGGAAATTTAACATAGCTATGGAAAATGGCCATTGAAATAGTTGATTTAGCTATAAAAAATGGTGGGTTTCCATAGTTATGTTAGTTTACCAGAGGGTATAAATTGGGTTCTAAACGTTTCTAAACCATCCCCGTATCTACTCCACTATAGCCACTCGTGGTAATGTCGGGGATGGATTATAAATTGGGTTTTGCTGCAGTAGTGCCCATATCTCCTGAATAATTGAGGACAGACCCAGACCGTTCAAATTTCAAAGTACAAATCAATGAGTTGCAGGACAAAACATGAACACCGCACATGTGCATATTCAGGAAAGGGCACAAGTGTATCCAAAGTTAATGAAGTTCGAAACTGGTTTGCTGAGTCCTTCAATTTGAGGTTTTTCAATGCTGTACTCGAAGTGACTTGAATATATCTTGAGAATTCTTGAGAAATTCCAGGATGAGGGAATTGGATGCAGAATTTCAATGAGTTTCAGGTATATTTCGCATAATCGCATGGAAACACTCTGTTGATGTTGTGGTGGTCAGGAGGATTTGGAAAGCATCGAGGATGAAGGCTTAACTGGGGCCGAAGCTCGAAAGAAGAGAAAGTGACTCGGCCGAGAGCAGAAATGTCGGAAGAGCCTGGAGCGGGAGATGGAAATTGCTGAGGGTCCAAAGTGAGTCCAAAGTAAGTCCAAAGTATGTACAGATTGATGTGTGATGAAAGCTCTCCCAACATCAAAGATCATGAAAGTATGGCAAAGTTCCGATTGCGGGAATTTTGCGAGGTGATACAAGAGTGATAATATCATATAATATCAGCATAGTTGTCCATCAAAATTGACATCCCCTCAACCCCTCGGTGATGTGCAGGCAGAGGCTTGAGGCTCGCGAGGCAGCCCGTCTGCAGCGACTGGCACAGAAGGCAGCAGTGCTGTCGTGCTGTGTCACGTGATTTCTGCGACTTGACGTGGATGAAAAACATTGAAAAACACGGAACAACACTTGACGTGGGACGATGTGGGACGTGTCTGTAAATGACTGAGACACATTCATCAAGCAACAATAGCAACAGAAGTTTGTCCAGCAAACAGTGTTTGGCAATGTTTGGAGGTTTCGAAATGTTTCGAATCTATGATATCCATGGGCTACCTCCAAATCATCCGGCTGATCATCCATTACCCATAGGATCCATGGTGCTGGTATATATGCTAACATTTGGGGTATTTTTATGGTAAATGTGACCATTGTTTTTCGCAGCACCATGGATCCTATGGCTTATCATTAAAATTTTAGATGGATGTTCAAAATGTCCATGAAAAAAAAACATCCAAAACACCAGCTATTGGGGATCCCCCCAAGGGGATCCCCAAAAGGGGATCCCCCATCCACAGGCTGCAGCAAGGCGTTCCGGGTCTTTTGTGGACGAAAGTGCCGAAGAGTCTCGCGTCTGCGCCTCGGGGATGATCGATACAGAGGTGATGGTCGCAGACAGCAAGCCCATCCCCTTATAGTGGTTAATAGATGTTAATAGTGGTTAATAACTTACTGTTAATAACGGCTAATAACTGCTAATAATGGTTAATAACTGTTAATAACTGTTAATAACTGTTAATAACTGTTAGTAACTGTTACTAAGTCATGGTGATACCCCAAATCATCCAAATTCGGACGAACAGATTAAAAGCCAAAGTGACTTGGGGATCCCTCATGTTGGGAAACCCCCACTTGGCTACAAATCCGCCCGCGCCGAAGGTGCCGGAGCGTGGTAGTTTTGGGGTCAAGCGAATGATTGAATCAACGATTTCTTGGTACAGCTTCAGCTGCGAGAGCAAAAACATTATAAACAGGATTTCTGTGACATATCTTTAAGTATCCAACAGTTATCTACAGTTTCATGTTTTATTTATACATAGAAGTTATCAATGCTTCAAAATTGTTTACATAACCTGTATAATTAATTTTGATATCAATCATATTAATTAGCAGGTTTTAAGCAATGAAAACAAAGTTTTCTTGCGGTTCAGCGCACGAGGGTGCAATATAGAAGGGGTACGGTACGGTGGGGACGGTGGGGACGGCGGGGACGGCGGGTACGGTACGGTGGGTATACGGTGGGTACAGGGACTCTGAACATTATGTACTGACGTGTACTGTATTGCGGAACAAATTGCTTAATTGAAAACGAATACACATAATACACAAGTTCAACTTGCTATGTAATAGTATAGCTGAGCCAATTGCCTAGTTGAAAACGAATAATTACATAAGTGTCATGTTAAAAACCTTTTCATTTTGCTGAACAAATTGCCTTGAAAATGAATACGTGAGTGTTGTTGTGATCCTGTTAGTATCGCTGAATATTGCTGAACTAATTATATACAGTAATTGCTTAATTGAAATTTAATATGATGTACATATTATGTTTGAGAAATGCCTAACTGAAATTGAAATGGACTCTAAACTTGTTTGAAGTTGAATTGGAAATGACTTTTCCTTGGAATTTTAGGAAGGTCTCCAAAATGCGAGCGCATTATTTTGGGGGCCGTCGCTACAAAAATATTAGGCCTTTGAAAATGGTTAAGCTAGCAAAAGTAATTTGCTTCAAAGGGGATTCAGAAATCAAAGTGTGTTTGGCCCAAATCCCCACAAAGGTGGAAAAGTATTGTTTTCATTGTGCTTCTGAGGTGGTTCAATGCTAGCTACCCCGTTTCGAGTTTTTTAGTTCATTTTGTAATAAGGGATTAATAAAGAAATGGATGCATTCCGACCTTTTGAGATGTTAATTAAGTTCTTTGAGGTGAGATCCAAGACAAATCAGGAGATTAAAAGAAAATCCGCGAAAGTCATGGAGAAAAAAAACAATACGGCCAAAAGCAGCGGCCTGCGTACTTTGTTAAGGGTTATTTTCTTGATGTTTTTCTGGGATTCGGCGTACTAAAAATTCTGATTGGGGTTGCTAATGTGAGGTGAACATTCGGTTGACATGGCCAGTCCGGTCAGTCCGTTCATATTGATTGCAGTTCACAATCAAAGACTAGACATGACTAGATCACACTTATACGATCTTATAGGTGACATGATGAAAGCACTCCAGATTCTGGAAATGTCTCGAAATATTGTGCATTGTTTGACATAGGCCAGGAAAATTGCCGAAAAGGCAACAGCGAGAAGAGCCAAGTTGCAGGCAATGATACTTGTCGCATGCTGTCACCAGCTGTAGCTCGTGGCCAACGCTGTCAGAATGCCATTGAAATCCGTTTTGATTTGAATTGAATTACATAAGTTACATAAGGCATAGAAAAAAGGGTGTTGCTTTGGAATGTTTTATAATATGTCTCACCGGCAGAATATGCATGTTTGATTCTTGGACAATGGTTTGTGCAGGGGGGGTGCTCATGGGTGCCCCGACAAACACACATGCTGCACAGGCAAAAGCAATAAATGGTGGCGAAGGGGAGATGTCACCCAAAGAAGAGGCAGCGATGCCATGCGATGCCAACCATGTCGGCCATGGAAATGGAGACGCAGAGACTCCTTCGCCCAACCACTGGCGCGTGTTCACTTGACCTGCGGTAACTTGCAGGAGCCGAAGGACCTGAAGGAGCCCAGAGAAGCAGAAGCCAAAGCTCCCGAGGTTTGGTAAAGATGCGCTGATTTCTAGCCCTTGAAGCTGTCGTGCTAACTTAAAGTCGGCTTTATTGGATTGGATTGTTGCATTGTACTGTACTGTACCGCATTGTATTCTATTGTGTTGAATTGTATTATAGTTATATTATAGTTATATTGTATGGTATGTAGTATTGGATTGTAGTATTGGATTGTAGTATTGGATTGTAGTATTGGATTGTAGTATTGGATTGTATGTTCTTAGAAAATCAAAAATTTACAAAAATCAACGCAGCAATCATGCCATCAAGATGCATCAAGGGGGAAGGCCCGCACTGCCGGAGGCCGAGAAAGATGAGAAGCCCAAGGATCCCAAGGATCCCAAGGCCAGGCCGAAGCACTGGGAACTGTAGAGTAGAACTGTTGTTGTTTTGTTCTGGTATTTCTGGTGTTGTTTGTTGAATGATATTGGTGTACTTGGATGGATTTGGAACTTTGGTATACTTTGGTATACTTTGGTCCTTTCGTTTCTCCTCCCGAAAGAACAACAAAAAGCACCCAAAGAGGAAGAAATAACAGGACAAGGAAAATAGGGGGCATTGGAAAGGGAAAAGAGAAGAAAAACAAAACACAAAACCCGAAGGATGAAGAAGAAAGTGCAAAAATTGCCCTTCAACATTCTTCAACATGTTAGTTTT